CCATTCCTCACAGGGTGTTGCCCCATCCCCTTGATCATTTTTGTTGCCTTTTTCTGAACCTTTTCCAACTCTATACTATGCTTTTTGAGGTGAGGCTGCCAGAACTTTACACGGTATTCCAAGTGCAGTTGAACCATGGATTTGTGTAACAGTATTATGACCCCGGCCCTTCTATTTCATACCCTTCAACATTTCTTCGATGAGAATAAGGATGTCCTATATAATAATAATAATAATAATAATAATAATAATAATAATAATTCCCTGCTCATCTGACTGGGTTGCACTAGCCACTCTGGGTGGCTTCCAACGTATATAAAAAACATAATAAAACATTAAACATTAAAAAGCTTTAGATGTCTTCTAAAGGTTGTATAGTTACTTATTTCCTTAGCTCAAGGTCTCATAACTTCATACCCTCCAACATTTATCCGATGAAAAGTGGGACATCCCGGAATCAAATCAGAAGCTTCTGTAAATCTAGGACTGTCCCTGGAACACAGGGGTGCTTGGAGGGTCTGCATTTTCAATCCCTCTCCTGATGATTCCTTCCATAGAATTCACCTTCTTCACAGCTGCCACAAATGAGGTGGACATCTTCATTTACCTATCCACTATGACCCCAAGGTCTCATTTCTGGCCAGTCACCAAGGACACTTGGGGTGTGTGCAAGAATGCTATTTTTGTGAGTATAGTAGACTTTTTAAAAAATTCCCCATTGTATTATTTTCTCTTCAAAAAAGTGCTTGTGCTCTAAAGTCACTTCTAAATATGCTAGAAGCTTGATGCTGCCAGAACCCCTTTCTGCATTTACTCAGGAATCCCACTGAAATCTCCGTCAAATAGGATTGCAGTCAAAATCTACGCACGGCACTTTTTGTATGTAACTTTTGCTTAGTAAACAACCAGATGCAGATTTGGGGCATTGCATCTGTAAAGCTTTGTTTAGTATAAGTAGCTATTTGCTATTTGCATGCTTGGTGCATATAGATATATATATATATATAATCAGTACAACATCCTGAAGGAGACATCCTGTCTCTGTTAAGAAATACTCTATGCTTCCCACAGTTTAAGTTAGGATTTAATTCAGTAGTTATACCTTTTTATTGAAGTGTTATTTAAATCACAACTTCATTAATGATAGTATCACATTCTTTTCAGGTCAATGAGTCTAATTTTCCTGTGTTTACAATGCATTTCACTTGTCACTCCTTGGCTCCAGGAAGTTGTGTGTGTGTGTACGTGTGTTTGTATTCCCTAGATTTTCTTGGAAATAAGCCTAGGGAAAACAGTAGCAGTTCACCTGGGGGATAAAGACAATCAATCTGTCATAGTGGCAATGTGAATTTCAACAGTGTAAGTATTGTAAGCCAATATTTCAGGTAATGCAGGTTCAAAGAATAGGAACAAGGAGAACAATGATGTGATTACATGTGTGTGAATGTGATGTAGTAAGAGCAGACCCTCCAAGTTTCCCTATTTTCCAGGGACAGTCCTGGATTTACAGAAGCCGTCCTGGTTTCCGATTCGATACCAGAATGTCCTGCTTTTCCTTAGGACGCCCCTATTTTCACCGGAGAAATGTTGGAGGATGTGCACGTGATCCCTCACTGCTAGCTCCAGATCTGAGCAAGCCTTGGGCAAAATGGCCGGCGCTGCCACAGGAGCATAAGGGGCAGGCAAGACGAATGCTGCTGGACTGATGCAAATTTAGTCAGAGGATTTTGCTGTTGTTTAGTCATTGGGGCCACGTTTTCCTGGCTGCAGCAAAAAATAATGTGCCGCTTCTCCTCATTCCATGTAGTACGGATTGGTGATGGGCTGTTTTGCTACACCTGTGGTAGAAAGCCAGGTTGTGAGGCCCAGGAGAGGCTGTGTGCCCAATACAAAAGGGGTGTGTGTGTTGAGGAGCTCAGGAGGGAAAGGTACCTCCTGTGGTAGTTAATTCATTCTTTAGCATTTGTTTTTATTTATTCAGACAACTTATGTATATACCACTTACATTTTTATCAGTTTTGAATTTTGAAATCTGGAGTTTTGAATTTTGAAATCTGTTGCTTTAAATCACACGAGTTCTATGTGTAATTCTTATAAATATTAGTATGTGTGAGAGAGCTGCTTTACATACACAGAAGGAAATGTAGACACCTCAAGGAATTGACCGTTTAATATTTTTAATTAAATACTTAGCACGAATTTAGAGCCTATCATGTCTGGGGGATGATAAGCTTCATAAACTACATAATACGTAGACACCTGCCCTAGTGCTGAGTAGCACCAGTAGCACTTTTAAGATTCAGGCAGTGTGACGGTGCTGTATGGCAAATAAAAAACAGGTCTTGCGCTCCTACTTGCCCAAATCTATGCTCAGGTTTTTCAAGTTCATCAACTTTTGTAATCCACCAAAATGCAAAACTACTGTGAGGAAAGAACCTTACAACTACAGTACATAAGTATAAAAGGGAAATAGCTGAAAATGAAAATATTACACATTTTCTCTTTTATGAAGATACTTGCAATAAAACCAGCAGTAAATTCAACTGCAGCAGCAGATTACAGGAAAGGACACTGATCATTTGTTGCCTGAAATTACTGACTCTTCTGTCTATTCTCTGTAAGTACACTTTTCCAGACAGCCCAGTAACTTTTAATTAAAGGTAAGGTAACTCAAGTGTCCTTGTAGTCTGCTGGGACCCTAGACAGACCAATTGTTCCCCTGCTTTTATAGATTTGGGTGGGGGGGATGTGTCTCCATGCTTTGCGTATCCACTGAACTAAACATGTCTATAATTACTGGTAAATGGAGGTTGAGTTCTGGCAGTGTAGATTTAGCTCTACACACTCCTTTACTTCCAGTCTCAAGAGCCCATGCAAAAGTGTAGTAAGGAACACTTTTAGTCCTACAGTCCAGTGTTCTGTCTAAACACTGCCAAAAAAGAGGAAATGATTCCCCCCCCCCCAAAAGGACACGTTAGCATGTGCTAATTTATATGTGTAGATGCAAACTGAGAAACCCATTACTGTCATTTAAACAGAAACACAACACAGCTCACTTTATTGGGGAAGTATGTGACCACATAACCGGTTCAATCTACTACAGTGGTGCCTCGCAAGACGAAAAGAATCCGTTCTGGGAGTCTCTTCGTCTAGCGGTTTTTTCGTCTTGCGAAGCAAGCCCATTGACGGATTAGCGGATTAGCGGCTTTTAGCGGCTTTTAGCAGTTTATCAGCTTATCGGATAAGCAGATAAGCGGCTTAGCGACTTAGAAAAAGAGGGGGGAAAGGAAAAAAAAACCCCAGGAACTCGCAAGACATTTTCGTCTTGCGAAGCAAGCCCATAGCAGATTCGTTTTGCAAGGCACCTCCAAAACGGAAAACTCTTTCGTCTAGCGAGTTTTCCGTCTTGCGAGGCATTCGTCTTGCGGGGCACCACTGTATTCTGATTCTGTTTATGGAAAACATCAAACCCCCTGCTCTTCCTTCTTATGGTTCCTTGTCATTAAATTGGCCTTGGGCTGGACAGCTCTTCAAATCGATAGCACTTTCAAATAAAGGGCTGTCTTCTGTAAAGTTCAGAGCACATATTCTGGTGTTGATCTCTGTTCAGCCTGTGTCTCATCACTAACCCAAAATTGCTTGAAGTTTGTTGAGGGGTACTTGTATCAGGTAACAATACTAATTAATTACTGAATTGTTAAATAATGTGTATTGTAATAATGTGTATTGTATGGCACCCTAGGAGTGTATTTTTTATTTATTTCTTAAGTGCACATTGTTGCAAGTTTCATGAGGTGGGGTGGGCCAGATAGCAACTTGACGGGTCCCTGGTGCACTCGAGGATGAATGGGTAGAAAACTGTGGTCTTCATTGATTTTAATAAGACTTGTATGTGTGGAACTGTGCACATACACATTAGGGTTGCTGCCTACTTCTAAATATATTATCATCAATTGTTGGGTAAAATGTCCACATGCTAGGATTTTGTCCCAACAGGAATAATGGAATTTCACAGTAATTGCCACTTTAATCTAACAACATATTTTAAATGTTGTGAGGGTTTTTTGGAGGGGGGGGATAGGTTGTTTGCCTGAGTCCCTTCTCATTCCCAGATCCAGCAAGGATTTCAATTATTGCAGGCTTCCTCAACTTCAGCCCTCCAGATGTTTTGAGACTACAATTCCCATCATCCCTGACCACTGGTCCTGCTAGCTAGGGATCATGGGAGTTGTAGGCCAAAAACATCTGGAGGGCCGAGGCTGAGGAAGCCTGAATTATTGGAAAAACCAGGCCAGCTTCTTGGTAACAGCATAAGCTTGGGTCCATAAGGGAACAAAAGGTAGTGGCTCCGTGCCAAAGGGCTCCCTCAACTGGTTGGTAGCTAGAAGGACAAAAATCAGTGAGTTATGTACATGTGAGAAGAGGGCTGAAGCCTCTGATGGACATAGAATCATAGAATTGTTGAGTTGGAAGGGACACCAAGGGTCATCTAGTCGAATGCAGAATGCAGAAATTTCAACTTAAAACATCCATGATTTCTGCTGGAATCTAAGGCTGTGCCTATGAAAGAAGCAAGACCTTCTTGGGGTGTTCATTGTGTGAGGCCCTCCCATTGTAAGCTCAGGTTGTATAAATGTGAAAATAAACCATACATCCTCAAGATACATTCTACATCTTTTCTATCTCTAAGGCTTCACCTCGGCGTCATTTCGCGCATGCGCAAAGTGTCCTCGCCGCCACGCATAACTCGTCGGCTGACGGGCGAGGCTTGACGGCTCTGAGCATGCGCCTAGTGACCTCGACCCTATCCTCTTACTTCCCCACAGCCCTGAAAGTTTTAAATGTAACGATTTCGGTACGTTGCGGTAAAAGCACACACAGTCCTCCTGATAATCTTCCATTTTCGTCACGCTCCCCCACGAAAAACAACTTTGCCTCAGCCTTCGCGTAATGCGCAGGCGCAGAATTCGCCCCCGTCTCGTCCTCCTGCTATAGCAGAGATGAGGGGAGTCGCGCGCACAGAACGCTGTGCCTCAGGTACGTTAAAAATTCGAAAACAGATACGGCGGTTGCCCGCTTGCGCATGCGCACTCACGCGAGCCTGTCGCGGGGTGAGCCCGGAAGAGGAAGTGGAAGAGCGGGGTGAAAGGTCAGTGGCTGAGGGAGACAGCATGGCCGGCATCCCGGGGAAAGGGAAGAAGCGGCAGAAGGAGCAGCACGATGCTGAGAGAACGAGCGAAGGGCTTGTCCCTGAGGGGGGACAAGGCAGCGCCCCCGAGCAGGGCCAGGTCCTGTTCCCGCCGTCTTTCAGCGTCTCGGAAATCAAGAACAAGCAGCGGCGCCATTTCATGTTTCTGCGCTGGAAGCAGCAGCAAAGGAAGGTGCGAGTTGTGAGAGGGAGGGAGGGAGGTTGGGAAGAGGGGCCGCTGGCAGATGATACGTCGCAGCTGTCCGGAACTTGGGGAGCCTGAAATGAGGAGGAGGGAGAGGGATGGTTGGAAGCTGTTGGGGCGTTTAAAGGCGCACACGTGGTTGGGGGGGGGCGATGAAGTATTAACAAAATACCGAGACTGGGGCAGGGAGATGCTTCGTCGTGAGAGGGATCGGGAGGTACTGTACGTCTTTTCGTTTGATTTCGGTTGATCAGGCCCGATTTCAAGTGCCCACTCAGAGGCAAAAACTCAAATCGATGGGCTGGGCAAGTCAGTTCTCTCAGATTGAGCCACAGGGTGACGGGGGGGGGAGAGAAAATGGGATAACACTACTGTGCACATCCTGGAAGAGAGGTAGGGAAGAAATGTGGCAAGTTCTTCTGCCTTTAAAACTTATTGTTGAGAGCATTGTATTGAGTTTTTATCTCATCTATGTGATCAGTACCTGAATTTCTGTATATACTAGCTTTGCTATCGTTCGTGAGAAGGCTGTGCCTGTTCGTTCATTCTTAGTGGCCAAGTTTATCAAAACGTTTTGTTTTCTTTCTTTCCCCCCTGTATGGTCCAGGAGAAATTAGCCATTAAGAAAAAGAGAAAAAAGGAGCGAGAAGCACTTGGAGACAAGGTAAAGGGGAAGAAGTAGGAATTTAATGTGTCTTAATATGTAAAGGGCCATTCACGGATGACTCTGGGGTTGTGGCGCTCATCTCGCTTTATTGGCCGAGGGAGCCGGCATACAGCTTCTGGGTCATGTGGCCAGCATGACTAAGCCGCTTCTGGCGAACCAGAGCAGAGCACGGAAACGCCGTTTACCTTCCCGCTAGAGTGGTACCTATTTATCTACTTGCACTTTTGGCGTGCTTTCGAACTGCTAGGTGGGCAGGAGCTGGGACCGAGCAACGGGAACTAACCCCGTCAAGGGGATTCGAACTGCTGACCTTCTGATCGGCAAGCCCTAGGCTCTGTGGTTTAGACCACAGCGCCACCTGTGTCCTGTCTTAATATGTACTTTTTTATTAATAAAAGTAAACGTTCATTGACTTGCAACTGACTTTGTAGAGTTTATTTTCTCTTGTACAGTGAATTCCTGATATGTGTACATTTGTTGTAGCAAGTGGTCTTAGAAAACATTCTCGCCATTGGGTGCAATACCATTGGATAGATAGGTTATGTGACTGTGGGGACTCAATAAAATACTAGACCTGCAGGGGCCTTCATAGCCTATGTAGTCCAACCTCCTACTCAGTGCAGGAAATTAGAACTAGAGCATCCCCAACAGATGGCTGCCCTGTCTCAGCTTGAAAGTGGAGAGCCCAGTACTGCTCTAGATAACTGATTTCATCATCAAACTGCCCTCTACCCAGTTAACCAAACTTTACCCCCCTGTAACACACACACACAATGTTTTCACATTATGGAATCACACCATCCGTAACAGAGAGGTGATAATACTATTCTGCCTTACGTGGATATTATTGCAAATAAGAACATCTTCCAGGCTTGAGGGAACCTCCAATGAAAAATTGCTGAATGGGAGCTCCTTGGTATGTTTATGAATGGTGAAGGGTAGCAGAAGTTCCATTATTTGCAATATGTGACTGTAAGCACCCACAATTTGACCACAAAGCCCTGGCATAGTATTGCTCCTGGGTGTTATGGGGAATTGAAAATGGTTGACAGCAGTTATCTCCTGCTAGATAAAAACTGGAAAAATGTGGGTATGGGTCGAAGACCCAAAGCACGAGAGCCTTCAACCCTGGTAAGACCCTTGGCAACTGAAAGTGAAAGGCACTGACAGTGGGTTTGAGTACTGATCTGCAGCTGCAGACCTTTGAAAAGATGCAATGTGATAACCAAATACTAAGGTGGTGTTGCCATTTTGGTAGCCTTTTCATGCATTACAGAAGTATTAGTGAATTTTATTCTGTTGTAAGAAAAACAGTTTTGGAGCACAACCACTGCTTGCTTGTGTGCAAATGTAATACATTTTAGTAATTGCAGAATTTTGATAATTTCTATAGTTATAATTCTGTTTCGAACCTTTAAACATTCAGAAATTATTAAAATTGATTACACTTGATGCGAGCACATTGTTTTGAGTAGCTAATAGAAACTTAGCTACTTTGCGGTACTGTTTCAGAAAACAGTTACTTTTTGGTGTGAGTACATTTTGGCTAAAGGAGGTCCTACTGCCAGACTTAATCAACACACTTAACACAGTCTGTGGAATGCTCTTCCCAGGGAGCTTCATTATACATCTTTAGGCGAAAGAAGTTCCTTTTTAACCAGGCCTTTGGTTGATTTGATTGACATCCTATGTCCTTTTAAAATGTGGGGGTTTGGGGGGGGTTATTGGGTTTTTATTTTGATTATATATTTTTTGGTTTTATATTTTGATTTTGTTCTGTGAACTGCCCTGAGACCTCCGGGTATAGGGCAGTATATAAATTAAATAAATAATAATATTTTTACTTTTAAAAACTACTGGAGCAGTTGTTGGAAAAAGAGATGACATGAATATTTATTATTTTATATTATTTTTATTTCTTACAGGCACCACCAAAGCCGGTACCAAAGACAATTGAAAACCAGCGTGTATATGATGAAACCACAGTTGATCCAAACGATGAAGAGGTAGCACTATTTGAGAAAACTATAGTTTCCCTTAAAATGTGCCAATGTCGAATAACATTTCCCTTTTGTATATTCTGAATAGTTTTTGCATGATTACATTTAATAAATAATCAAAGTAGATGGATGTGGATAAAATTATTTAATTCCTTTTTTCTGTTTTGTAATAGGTTACTGATCAAATGTTAAATTTTCAAGCTGGTAGAGCCTATTTCTCAATAAAATATTAAACACTGGATTTTTATTTTGCAAGATAAAGCAAGTTTCCCTAAGATTTTTCTCAGAAGGTCCCAGGTTCAATCTCTGAAATCTTAAGTGATCAGATAGCAGAAGGTGTGAAAGATTGGAGCACTGCTGCAAGTTAGATAAGATAATAATGATTTAGATGGGCACACACAGTCTGGCCTGTCTTAAGGCAGCCTTTTATGGTCCTGTCTTGAAAATATACCTGAAGCATCTGCCTGACGGTAGATAAAAAGAAGTGCCTCTGAGCCTTATGTTACAGTCTTATTTTAAAAGGCCTCATATGTGTGGCTTAATATTTAAAGATTGTTATCCAAATGTCTACAAGTATATGTATGGTTCTGGTATGAAGTGATTACCGGCTGCTAAAGGTTTCGATTTTTAGCATCATCATCAACAACAAAAATACTCTTGTGTGATTTCATGCAATATTTATCATTTTATATTTCCAGGTTACTTTGGATGAAGCTACAGATGAATTTGCACCCTATTTCAACAGGCAGACGGTTCCAAAGATTCTTATCACGACATCTGACAGACCCCGTGGGGTAAAAAAATACTTTTAAATAAAATACAGTGGTACCTCGGGTTACATTTGCTTCAGGTTACAGACTCCGCTAACCCAGAAATATTACCTCAGGTTAAGAACTTTGCTTCAGGATGAGAACAGAAATCGTGCAGCAGCAGCAGCGGGAGGCCCCATTAGCTAAAGTGGTGCTTCAGGTTAAGAACAGACCTCCATAACGAATTAAGTTCTTAACACGAGGTACCACTGTAAAAAGAAAGATGGTAAAAGCTTGTTATACCTAGCTTATACGTAAGGTCAGGAGGCATAACATTGCGGGATTGTTTATTTGCTCCAGATTTCTTATCAGTTTGTAAATTATAATGTGTATGATCTACTGCCAGTTTCTTCTTTTTAAAAAAGAATGATGCACAATAATCTTCATATAACCTTAAAAATTGAAGTGCAGTGACCCATTCACAAAAATCACATGTTTGAAGAAAAACTCACTTAAAATATTTGGTGGCTATAATGGAAGAATAACTTGATACATATATTTTTTTTAGCCAAGATATCAGAATTAATTGGTTATCTGCTATATTTTCCCCAGAATTATCTCACCCAACCAAGTCTTTTGCATAAACTTTTTTTTTTTTTTGCAGAGAACTGTGAGATTCTGTGAACAGTTATCAACTTGTATTCCGAATTCACATGTTTACTATCGAAGAGGACTGGCTCTAAAAAGAATTATTCCACAGTGTATCTCAAGGGACTTCACAGATCTGATTGTTATTAATGAAGATCGTAAAGTACCAAGTATCCTTCACATATGAGACTCTCTTTTATACAGTAGTTATTAATGTTACTGTTGGTAATTGCTGTCCTTGGCTCTTTGGAGGGTGGGAGGGCAAGATAGATAAATAAAGATAGCACAATTAGATTATAAGCAAAAACAGCATTTTAGTGGTACTTAAGGATGTGCATGTATGATATGTAATGTGGAAACTGCAGTTTTGCATAAAGTATAGAATGGTAAGTGCAATAATTATTACTCTTGTGCTGGATAGTCTGTCACTATTTTAAGTTTCTACAGAAGCTGCCTTTGTACCGGGTGCTTTTATGTGAAAATTATTTAATTATGTTTGTCTTAACTCTGTTGGAATAGATGGGCTTGTGTTAAGTCACTTACCTGAAGGTCCAACTGCTCATTTTAGGATGAGTAGTGTTCGTCTGCGTAAAGAAATAAAGGTGAGTTTATTTTCACAAGCAGAGTCTTCCAACTTGCGAGACTGTGTGCTCAGTGTAATACTCTGCTATTTGTTCTAGCGAAAAGGAAAAGCTCCCTCAGAACATCAGCCTGAAATAATCCTGAACAACTTTACAACACGATTGGGCCATTCCATTGGGCGGATGTTTGCTTCTTTATTCCCTCACGATCCCCAGTTCGTTGGTAGACAAGTAGCTACATTTCACAATCAGCGTGACTATATATTTTTCAGATTCCATAGGTGAGTGGAAACTTGTGTTGCAAGGTATGAGAACTCGCTGCGCTTGACATTTTTGCTAATGTTTCCCATCATCTTTTAAAGATACATCTTCAAAAATGAGAAAAGGGTGGCAATTCAAGAACTGGGCCCACGTTTTACACTGAAATTAAGATCTCTTCAAAAGGGAACGTTTGATTCTAAATTTGGCGAATATGAATGGATTCACAAGGTATTATATTTCAACAATCTCTTAGCAATGAAGGATTCTGTATATGTAAGAAATGTCAAGAGGCTAGACAATTTACAGGGTGCAAATAGTAGTGCACTTAATTGGGTATGCAACATCTTTCTTCTACAAAATATTTAAAAATTGCCTTGAAATTGCCATTCCCATATTCGTTTTCCTGAATATGGAGTGACAGAGTTTTATATATTTAGCTTGGACAGCAGCCAGAACGCAAAGAGCCATACATCTAGTTCATGTGTACTCTTTGTTCCATGGCAAAACCATATTTTGGGGTAGTTTCAAGGTTGCTTTTTTAAGGCATTGGATCAGCTGTTGAGAGAATTCCATCTTCCTTTGTGCAGTTCCTAAAGTCAAGCATCTACAGATTTGGGCTGGCTTTCATTACCAAGCCAGAAGTTTGCTTGTGAGGGCCTTATCCATATCATTCACTGTACTTGTCAGCACCTTGTCCATTTGAGGCAATCCTGTTTTCAATTATGCTTGTTCCTAGGTACATCTACCTATTTTAATGTATTAATGGGCTTGTCTATAACAAAGCAACCAGGGCAATTTGCCGAGCAAAAATAATTTAACTGGGAGTAAGGTCCATTGAACACAGCAAGCATGCACAGGTTCATGCTGTTGGTCACTAGTCCTGTGCCTTTTCTATTACTGTGGTTGGGGACAACCCCAGCTTGCTTTCTTCAGTTCCATGTTTAGAGCTGAAGGGGCAAGCAGGCAGTTCCTGCAGTTGCACTTCATATTAGGTGGTCACAGAAGCCCAGTGCAATTGTAGGGATTGTCCCTTCCACTTTCCAGCGCCAAACCAGGAGCAGGGACTCATTTGGGCATGTGCCAAAACAAGTCCTTTTTTTGCCTACCGGTGTCAAAGTAAGATTTAGCTGCCAGCCCAAGTGGCATCATCTTGCCATCTGCCTCGAGCAGCGAAAGTCTTGGGCTAGCCCAGCCAGGAAGCACAAACCAAATTATTTGATGACCTAAAGTGAGGCTGACTTAACTTTTGATGTGCTTATGTGGCTACCTAATCCCCTACCTAAACTCCTTGTATCTGCCTGGTATTTAGCATTCCTAACATGCAAAAAAAAAACAAAAAAAACCCCTATTAAAATTGTTTAATATTTAATAATCTGTCTCTTACTCACGACCGCTTTATCTTTTAGCGCCGTGAAATGGACACAAGTCGAAGAAAATTCCACCTGTAACAGACTAAGAATGCAAAACTGCTGTTTCATTTTCTGCTGAGTTTTCAGGAACACGGGTTGCTAAGGAGTTGCCTCAAGTCTATTCTTGGTCTACACGGAAAACCCCCAAATGACTATTTTCACCAGACTTTACATAAGCATCAGTCGAACTACCCATCTTCTTCAGTGCCTTGAGTACATTCCTCACATCACTGCTACTTTGAAGTGGAAGATTTCATGTTACAATAGCAAGAAAATGAATAATCTGCCAATAACTTGTATTTAAGATATGAACTCTTAATCCTGTTCTTTGCAGAGGGCGTTTTGTTTCTAAAGTAGGCTCTGTTTTAGGAGTAGAATCCTGATACTTGGAGAACAGCACACATGCTCATTCAGTTGTTTATCAAGATCAGTTGTCAAAAGTAAAGATTGTCAAACACCATTTTCAATAATTTGCAAGGGTTGTCTTGTATCTTAACTTGTATGGTCACGTATTCAGTGTTGATTAAGGTATGGAAATACAAGTCAAGTATTGCATAAATCTGTAATGGGGGAGGGAATCCAAGTCTCTATTTAACTCTGAAAATACAAGAGACAGGAGACAGTGAAGAGCACTGCATTCTGCTTCATGGAAGGCAGTGCACCCCAAATTTCTCCCTTCTTCACAGAAAAACTTCAGTAAGGGTTAAAGGCATATAAAACAGGTTTCATTAAAAACCACTCTTCATATATTGATTTAAATAAAAATACAATAAAAAAACTTTGCTAATTTTAAATCCGAGTATTACCTTGCAGTTATTATTGTTTATATGCAAAGCAGCTCATTTAAGTCCTGGTTTAATGGTTGTTAAATGTATGGCCTACCACCCATGCACAGCCACAAGGAGAGAGGAATTTGTTATTTTAAACTAGCTGTGGCTTGTTAAGTCTTAACTGCCGGAAACTGGTGAGTTTAAACTGTTTGGTCAACATAAACTTTAAAACAGAGGTAATAACCCTAAGCAGCTTCCATCTTAGAATAATGCCAAACTGGTTGCTGTCCTCAGTTGTAGAATCCTTTAACCCCAAGGTACTTGATGCAGTCCCCTCTAAATATTGAGTATAACTCACATCAACCTGACAATTAACTGCACCCAGCAGGGGCTGTGATGGGAAGTTGGGAGCCCAACATCTGCGGGGCAACAGGTTGACTACCCCTGCTCTAACCATTGTAATAAGAACAAGAAGTGGCAGGCTGCTGCTGCTGCAAGCAGTTTGAAGTTGTCTTGCTTGTGCCATTTTAGAAAGCTACATTTTGACAATGCCCTGTTGTTGTTTTTTATCTAATGTGTAAAGCATTATACCAGCAAAGTTATTAAATCAACTCTTTATTGCTTGAATATAAAATTGATTCCATCATGATAACAGAAGTTATTGCAACTAGCATACAAGTTTAGAGAGGTAGATTGTAAGAAGTTTGACAACAGTAGCAGTATTACTAGTTCTAAGTTGGCACATTTAACACAAAGTTTCTGTACAGGTTCCAGGTCACTCTCTTTCACTTCCATATTCACCAAACCCACAACAGATTAGATCTGAAAAACACAAAAGAAAAACTCATTGCAGGAAAACTATTTGCTGGTATGTGTGAATTCTGAAAACTACTAACTCCTTCAACTGAGCTCTTCTGTCTGCAATTCCAAATACATAGAGCTAAACAAAATTGCTAAGATGCAAAAAAACAACAAAAAAAGCAGCTTTCCTCCCATGTGGCCACTAAATGTTTTTTAAGTTACAAAGGAAGTTTGCTAGTCAGGCTTATTTTACTTAGGAGTTGCAGGGAGATGGGTGCTCTAGGAAGGCTGAAGGCTAGCTAGCCCTCATCTGTGTATCTGTCGCTGAGAGAACATACAGCAGGTTTTCCCCCAAAGATCATATGGCACATGGGATTATCTGCTCATTCATATATCCTACATAGACCAGCTTCACCAACCTGGTGCCTTCCAGCTGTTTTGGCCTACATTTCCCATCACGTTGGCTGAGGTCAATAGGCATTGGACTGCAGCACAAGGTTAGGAAAGGATGACTGCCCCAGCTCACAGGCAGCCAAGAGATTTAACATTAGTTCTATCAAAAGTCACTAAGAAGTTTTTAATGTGAAACGGTAAATGGAGCCCTGTATCTTCACAAAATTTAATTATTTAAAAATTACAGTATGTTAGTAGCTATGCACAATTAGTTCTCATTTATGATTCACAATAACAAGTTCTTAGCCGGGAAACTGGTGAAACTTAAGCTGCACTACTATACACTTGCCTAGGAGAAAGTCCTATAGAACACAGTGGGACTTACTTTCTAGAAAGCATATCTAGCATTCAACTCAAGTGGGTGTTAGTAGCATAACTCTGTAGCATAAGGAATGGAACCATAATTATTTTGGGTAGGGTGAGGAATATGTTCCTGGGCTACAGCTTCCAGCATCCCTAACCCTTGGGACATGCTAGCTGGAGATGAGGGAGCTGAAGTCCAACAGCATCTAGAGGGCTGCAGATTCCCCATCTCTTTTATAAAGACGCCTAAGCCATAGAATTCACTTAAAAGCTTACCACTAAAAGAGTCCACGTAGGTCACACAAGTTAGAGAAATGAACACACTTTCTGCGGCCTAAATGGATTTGTACTTGAAGAAACTCCTGTTAGTAGGGGGTCATGATGCGCATTCTGCAGGCAAAACTGCTTCAAGTCAGCTGCAGCTTGTGAAACCTAGAACAAATTCACATGATTCAGTAATATACTTAATAGGATGTTAATATGCATATACTAATCAGAAATCAAAATGGATTCCTCACCCCACCCCCCAAGGTACCAGTTGGACTGATCTGGCCCAAGCCTAATTGTTTTCCTTCACTGGCAGCAGATCTCCAAGAAGCAGCACAGCTAGGTAATTTTTGATCCTAGACTTCATGGACGAACCTTCTGACAGCTGGGTGTATTATTTGAGTCATCAAGTACATAGTATTTCTTCACCCACTCTACATGCTTTAGAACAAAAGCTAACAAAGAACATCAAATCAGAGCCGCCGTCATGCAATCTGGGGAGTAAGCATAATCTGGTATACAAATACTGTACATTTAGGGATGCGGGTGGCACTGTGGGTTAAACCACAGTGCCTAGGACTTGCCGATCAGAAGGTCGGCGGTTCGAATCCCCGCGATGGGGTGAGCTCCCGTTGCCCGGTCCTTGCTCCTGCCAACCTAGCAGTTTGAAAGCACGTCAAAGTGCAAGTAGATAAATAGGTATCGCTCCGGCGGGAAGGTAAACGGTGTTTCTGTGTGCTGCTCTGGTTCGCCATTAGTCATGCTGGCCACATGACCTGGAAGCTGTACGCAGGCTCCCTCAGCCAGTAAAGCGAGATGAGCACCGCAACCCGAGTCGGTCACGACTGGACCTAATGGTCAGGGGTCGCTTTACCTTTACCTTACTATACATTTGGTAAAGCAAAATTAGTAAAGTGAGCACCTGTATTTGTGTACACACTCAGTTGACTATACTACTTTTTAAAACCAGGAAGGATGCGGTGATCTGCATCAGCCCCCCATGAGGCCACACATCAGTCCTACTTAGCACCACTGCCTTTAAGACCAGCCATCTGAACTCTTATTAATGGGAGATGTCACAGAAGAATCTGGCACTACACCTCTAACTTGGGGCGGGGGGGAGATCTGTGGCTCCCCACATGCTGCCCTCCACCTCTCATCAGTCCCAGCCAGTACAACCAATTGGCAACCGTGGTGGGAGCTGAAAGTCCAACAAGATCTTGAAGGCCACAGGTTGCCCCCCCTCCACTGCAGAACTGTAAGGTATTCTCACAAGAAAAACACAAATAGAAGATGTCTAGATGTGGATATCCTGGGGGCTAAGTCTCTTGCTCTGAAAGAGCCACGTTTCCCTACGGAGACATGGTGGCACCAGAGGAATAATATTTGTGGGATCCTGAGACTTCCGGTGGAGCGCGATCCTGCCACAAGCGAGGATTTTTCCGTGAGGAGAATCCTGCGCTATTTCGGGTGATAGGGGGAGCTACAGGGCGCAGTAGCCCCCAAATTTAATCTCTGGGGGGATATCCGGAGTGACAGGTTCCCAGCAAAGCCAGGAGCAGCCCGCCCGGCCGTCAGGTAACTCCAAAAGGAGCGAAGAGAACGGTGGAGCGGGGCTGCGGGAAGCCATTTTCTACACCCGAATAGCGAAGCCCCGAGCTTGCAAGAGAAGCGCTCCATTCTCAAATAGAAGAAATTCGGACCAAATTGGATTATAATTTTATAGCAACAAAATAAGGAAGGATTCGAAACATAAAGAGAAAAGTTGGAGTTCAGCTGTCATCTGGAATCAGGACAGACGCAACGCAGCGCGTAGAGCTGGAAAGGGAAAGTGAATTGCCACTGGCGGTTACTGTTTTCTTTCTCTCCTAGAATTTTATTTAAAAGTAACTCTTTAAGAAGCTACAAAGTATTAAGGCTGCTAAAGCTAGAAAGGGAGAGCAGAGAGTTAAGATTGGAGAAGTTTGAGGTCTTTGATGTAACAGAGGGAAACACAGAGGACTAAAATGCTTGGTTACTTTCACTTTTAAAAGAACAAAGAACTCTGAAGCGGAAAAGGAGCTTCCGACTCCATTATTAAAACTTTGTTGGAACAATGGTAAGGTGGAAACAGCGGATAAAGGTTGTTTTTCTTTTTTTAGACTTTATTATTGGAATCTTTAATACCAAAAAGGATTATAGCTGCCTCTGTCATTTAAGTACATTAATATTTGCAACTACTTACTTTTCTTTTCTCTTTTTTTTATTAATTGGGAGCCTCTAAATTTAAAACTGCGTATACTAAAGGAGGTGTCTGTTATCCTAGTGGAAGGAACGAGATACTACAATTTGTTTTTCTTCGATTCTTTCTTCCTGGTGAAGGGATATAATACTGAGAAGTGACCTGTGCCTCTTTAGTTTGGGGAAGTAATCTGCGCTTGTTTTCTTACTGTTTTCTTTTCTTCATTTTTTTTGGAATTACGCCTCTGGAATTCTGTCACTTGGACATAATTTTTCGGAACGTTGTCAATTGGATATAATTTTGAAAAGGGTTTTTCATGGGAAGATTTTTGGAAATTTTTGGAAATTCCTTCTCCTTTGGGCAAGGTATTGGATTAATTTGGGAAGCAATCTTTTTTTCCCCCCCCGGAGGAATAGCCTAAGTGGTGGCAAGAAGATTGTTTTGTTCCAGTTTCTGCTTTGATCTCATACTCCTCATCATCCCCAAATTTCAGTTAAATTATATGTTATAATTATAAACTGGAAAATTGATAGTGTAAAAATTGGTTTTAATTAATATTTGAAGACTGTTAGAATATTTAATAAAGATGACACACCAGCAAAAGAAGGGGGCAGATGGGCGGACACCAGCAGAGAGGAAAGGGTCTAAACAAGAAACAGAGTTTAAAGCAGAAATTTTGAAGATGTTTGCTGAAATAAAAAAAAAGTGAAAAGAATTTAGAATCAAAATTAGAATCAGTAGATAATAAGATTGGGAAAATGGATAAAAAAATTGATGAGACAGTTAATGAACTTAAAGGTCAATTAAAAGAGGTATCTAAGAGAACTCAATCGCTGGAGGAGGGATTTAAGAGGACGAAACAAGAAATGAGGTGAAGCGAGAAGAAGAGAGGATCAGAGTGGAGACGTTGGAATTAAATAAATCACAAGAAGAAATTAAAGATTCGATTGCTATGAATGAACTGCGACAGAGTGAAATCAACCTGAGGCTGAGAGCCATTCCGGAAATTCAGAACAAAAATATCAAAGAGAGATTGATATCGGAATTAGCCCAATGGATGGAATTACAAATAGAAGAGGTAGCTAAAACAGTACAAAATGCATTCAGAATGAGAGTAAGAACATCTAAAACAAGAAAATTCCCAGGAGACTGTTTAATCACTTTTAAGGATAGGGAAATGAGAAATTTGATACTATAGAAGAACAGAGAGAAAAGACTGTATATAGATGGAAGTTACATAATCATCTTTAAAGACATACCAATAAGATTATTGAAACGAAGAGACCCATACAAACCATTGGTACAGGTCCTTAAGAAAAACAACATTGAATTCAGGTGGGAATTTCCGGAGGGAATTTCATTTTTTTACAAAACTAAAAAGCGCAGATTGACGAGTCCAGAAGAAACAGGGAAGTTTCTGAGAAGGTATAAGGAACTAAAAGCAGAAGATGGAGAAATTGGAGAAGTCAAAGGAGCAGAAAAAGGAGCAGGTGCCAAGGATGAATCAGAATCGGGGGAAGAAGAAGTGAATGGGAAAAAGTCAGAAGAAGAAAAAGAAGAGGAAGAAGATAAATTATAAAAGAGAAAAAACTAAACTAAATTTATTTAATTGGAAATTACCATGGCACTAAAATTATGGAATTGGAATATTAATGGGATGAATGAGGGGAAAAAACGGAATAAAATTGAACAATTCTTAAAAAAGAAAAATCTGGACATTATATGTTTACAAGAGACACGTCGCAAGGAAACACAGAAAAATTTTGATTAACAAAAGATTAGGAAACGAATTTGTATCTTCAGATAAAGAGAAAAAAAGAGGGGTAGTTCTATATATTAAAAGTAAAATTGAATCACAACAAATCTTCAAAGATGAAGAAGGAAGGATGATAGTACGGATCAAATGGCAGGGTGAGAACTTGATAATTGTCGGGATCTATGCACCTAATGGAAATAAGACAGACTTCTATAAAACCTTAGAAGAAAAACTGTTTGAGTATATGGACCAGAAAATTATAGTAATGGGAGACATGAATGGAGTGGTCTCATTGGAAATGGATAGACTAAGAGATGGATCAAGCAAAGAAGGAAAACTGCCTAAGACTTTTTTTTCCAATGGTCAAGAATTACAATTTGATCGATATTTGGAGACTCAGATATCCATTGGAAAAACAATTCACTTATTTTTCTGAACCGAATCAGTCAATGTCAAGAATAGATCAAATATGGGTCTCGAACGAATTGACCCCAAGAATTCTTCAAATTGAGATCCAACCAAGAATAATTTCAGATCACAATCCAATAAAAATGGAATTGAAAGGATTCGAGGAAAGAACTTTTAGATGGAGAATTAATGATTACCTCTTCGACGATCAAAAGGTTATTGAAAAAGCACAAAAGAAATTAACTGAGTATTTTGTGGATAACAGTAATAAAGGAACGAAGATGAGCGTAGTATGGGATGCAAGCAAGGCAGTGATGAGAGGCTTTTTTATCCAACAGAATTCATTGAAGAATAAGAACAGAGAAAAAGGGAAAAAAGAAATTCTAAAGCAGATAATGGACAATGAACAAAAATAATAAGAAACCAAATAATTCAAAAATAAAACAAGAGATTAAGACTCTACAAACACAATTTCCAATGATTATAAATAAATAGAATTGAATATTAAAAGGTTAAGACAGAAAAATTTTGAATTCGCGAACAAATCTGGTAAATGGCTTGCGTGGCAAACCAAAAAGAGAAGGGAGCAAAATACAATTAATAAAATTATCGTAAACGGAGAAGAGGTTGACAATCCGAAAGGAATTAGAAAAGGATTCTTGGACTTTTACAGACAACTATATAAAAATAGCGAAAGAAATAATATGAGGAAAATAGAACGATTTTTGAAAGAAAAAAAGGTGCAGAAGATCCCGGCAGAAAAGAGAGACCAACTGAATGCCCCAATAGGAAATGAGGAGATAAAAGAGGCTATAAAGGAACTGAAAAGGGGGAAAGCCCCTGGACCAGATGGATTCACATCAGGCTACTATAAAGAACTGAGAGATGCTTCAATGACACCATTGAAAGAAGTCATGAATAATATTTTAAAAGAAAGAGACATCCCGGAAACATGGAAAGAAGCATTTATTACACTTATCCCTAAACAGGACTCAGACTTAACACAAGTTAAAAACTACAGGCCTATCTCACTGCTCAATACAGATTACAAGATATTTGCAGGGATTTTAGCGAACAGACTGAAAAAGATATTGCAAGAAATTATTCACAAAGATCAAGCGGGTTTCCTTCCAGGCAGGCAGATGAAAGATAACATAAGAAATGTAATCAATATTTTGGAATATCTGACTGCCAGGAATGAGAAACAAGCTATATTAATGTTTGTAGATGCGGAAAAGGCCTTTGACAATATTGCTTGGGATTTTATGTTGAAGAATTTGGAGTATATGGATGTAGGGATAGAGTTTTTTAATGGGATAAAGGCAATCTATACAGAGCAGAAAGCAAAATTAATTGTTAATAATGTGACTACAGAAGATATCAAAATAACAAAAGGAACCAGACAGGGATGTCCACTTTCACCACTACTATTTATAATGGTCCTAGAGGTTTTTTTAAGGTCGATGAGACAAAATGAATTAATAAAAGGGGTAACAGTTGGTCAGAACGAGTACAAAGTGAAAGCCTTTGCAGATGATCTAGTAATTACGATTGAAGAACCATTAGAAAGTGTAAAAGAGGTATTGGATGAGATTGAGAAATTTGGAAATGTGGCAGGGTTCAGACTAAATAAGAAGAAAACTAAAATAATTGCCAAAAATATGGATCAAAGTATGGTAGAAATAATGCAACAAAGAACAGAGATAGAGGTGGTGAAAAAGGTAAAATATTTATGAGTTTGGTTAACTCCTAAAAACATTGATTTGATTCAGAACAACTATATACCGGTCTGGAATGGAATAAGGTAAGATTTAGAGATGTGGGGAAGAATGAAGTTATCTTTTGGGGGTTGAATCTCTATGGTAAAAATGAGTGTCCTTCCAAAGATGTTATTCTTGTTTCAGACTATCCCCATAATAAAGGAGGTAGTAATTTTTAAAGAGTGGCAAAGAGCGCTTTCAAGGTATATCTGGCAGGGCAAGAAGCCGAGAATTAAATTTAAGTTATTAACGGATGCAAAAGAAAGAGGAGGCTTTGCCCTGCCGGACTGGCAACTATACTACGAAGCAGCATGCCTTTGCTGGTTGAAAGAATGGATAAAACTAGAGAATAAGGAGTTACTAGATTTAGAAGGATTTGATAACAGATTTGGATGGCACGCGTATCTATGGTGTGAAAAGAACAAAATTCATAAAGGTTTTGGGAACCACATATTTCGGAGTCCACTAATAGAAATATGGGATAGGTATAAAAACCTATTAGAACCTAGAGTTCCACACTGGTTGTCTCCACTAGAGGTTATGAGTGTAAAGAAAATAAATATGAGAGGTAATTGGATTACATATGGTGAATTGATAACCAAAGAAGGAGGAAAATGGAAACTAAAGCCATATGAACAAGTTAGAGAACATGTTTATGATTGGTTGCATTACTTTCAGGTTAATGAAATGTTTAAAAAAGACATTAAAGAAAGGGGTTATGTAGAAAAAGATTCAAAGTTCCAGACAGAAGTGATAAATAACGATTGTAAAATTTTGTCAAAAATGTATAAAATATTGTTGGAATGGAATATGAAAGACGAGGAAGTTAAATCGGTAATGGTACAATGGGCCAAAGATTTTGGTTACAATATACAGTTTGAGGATTGGGAAAAACCGTGGAAGGAGAACTTAAGATTCACTGCTTGTATGGCACTAAAAGAAAATGTTATGAAAATGTTTTACAGATGGTATATCACACCGGTAAAATTAGCAAAAATGTATAAGACGTGTAATAAGTGTTGGAAATGTAAAGAAAAAGAAGGAACGTTTTATCACATGTGGTGGGAGTGTAAGAAAGTGAAGGGATTCTGGGAGATGATATACAATGAAATGAAAAAGATGTTAAAATATACATTTGTAAAGAAACCTGAGATTTTTCTTTTAGGGATTACAGGAAAGGAAATAAGAAGAAAGGACTGTAAACTTTTCCAGTATGCAGTTACGGCAGCAAGAATTCTACTGGCCCAGAAATGGAAACAAGAGGAAATACCGATGGCAGAAGAATAGAGACTGAAGCTGACAGACTATGCAGAACTGGACAGACTAACTGGGGAAATTAGATATCTTCGAGACCAAAAGTTCATCGAGGACTGGGGGAAATTCGTCGAATATCTGAAAAGAACGTGTGATGTGCAAACAACGCTAGTGGGGTTTCAAGAAGCACTCAACTTCAAGAAAGTTGAGATATATTGTTAAAAAGAAATAGAAGTGGGAGGGAAGCTTAATGGCAATATAAACAGAAGAAATGCGTAACTGAGAGGTATATATGGATGATTGTCAGAGAAGCTGAAGGAAGTTCAAATGGAACTAAATTTGTGGAAATTTCGATATGATTGTTTATTTGTGTTGGAAAATTAATAAAAAATATTTTAAAAAATATATATTTGTGGGATCCTTGCTTGCACAACAGATTTCCCTTGCTGGAACGGAAGGCGAAAACGCAACAAGTGTATTAACAGTTAACGAATCAGTCACCAAACGAAGCGACGCTGAACATAAGGTTGCCAGGTCCTCACTTCAAGAAGCAAGCATTCTCAAAAGATCTTACTCGTGGGTTCTGTATGCAAATGGTAACTCCGCTTCCCGACGCGAAGTGCTTTGAGCGCTTGAGGCGGAAAAGCGACCAAACTTCGCCATTCTTAAGTGGGCCTGGATTGCTCGGAACGCCCGAGGCCAAAGGCTCAAAAGTGCTTGTTTTTTAAGCCGGGGATTCCCCCGCCCCGCCGCGATCTTTCTTCCTCCGCTTGCCCGGGGCCTCGCACACTTCCCCATTTTGCGGCTTGGGCGGACTCAGGCTCAGCTCGCCAGATCGCTCGCTGCGCCTCCCCTTCCTTCCTTCCCTCCCTCCGAGGAACAAAAAGGCTTCCAAGGGAGAGAAAGCCGAGATGACAAAGCACCCGCTTCACGATTTCTGAAGCGCTCCCAAGCCAACCCCTCCTCCTCCAACTGATCCCAGGAAAGTCAACAGATCCCAGGGAAAAAAGGGGGAATAACGAGATCCAAGTATGGGTGGGGACTGGGCGGCGGAGACCAGCCGCTTTTCCGGGAACAAGCGCCTAACGGGCCAAGCTAGAGAGAGATCAAGCCAGTTTTAACCTGGGAAGGTCGGGTTGGGGTGTCTCCTGCGCCCCGCTTTTGGCGAGTGCGTTGGATTTTACGCACAGGGTTTTTACGCGCGCTCTGCCATTGCTAAGGCGCTGCGTACCAACTTTTCCTGTGCCTAGCGAAGGGAAGTGCAAACGAAATATATGAAGCAATTGTGTGAGCGGGAGTAATAGCTCCCGGGGCTCAGATTAACGCCCCAGGGAGCAGCCATGAGTAGGCGCTCCCCCGAGGCGCAATAATGGCGGCAGTGGTAATGGCACCCTCTCCACCCGCGGCTTCCCCCCGGCTCTCACCTTCACGCGGCTCACGCTGGCCTCGAGGCGCAGCTGCTGCACGACCTTCTTCATGGCCGCCACGTTGGAGGAGCCGGACATGGTCTCCTCGCTCGCGGATCCCGCTCGTTTTATGGGGCAAGCCGAGCCGAAGAGACGCCTTCGCAACTTTCCCAACTAAGTTTCCGGCGCTCGGCAAACTCTCCCGCCCGCAGACTCGCGGCGGCTTGCAGACTCACGCGCAGCGCTCGCTGCCGGGCTCCTTTTTGGAAGAGGAAAAAAAGACTGCCTCCCGGATCTCACCCCACCCCACCGCCCCAAGGGGCGGAAGAGGGAGCTGCCCAGAGGGAAATGAAGGGAAGGGTTTTAAAAGGGAAGAAACGAGATTTTAAGGTTCTTCCCAACCTCGTGTGGTGGCGGGGCGAGGTTTAGAAACACTTAAGAAGCGCGGTGCATTGCATTGCAAGGGGTTTTGGCTACACGACCCTGGGGAATCCCTTCCAACTCTACTGTTCTACGTAGGTGACACCCACATTTTGCATCGTAAACGTTAGGAAGATTCTTGACAGTAAGACCTGTTCCACTCCCATGAGAGAGTCCTTCCTTGGAGTTTTTAAAGCAAAGATTTGATGGCCGTTTGTCACTCTTACCTGGAAATAGTTCTGAGTTCACGTAGGATAGCCGCGTCAAAACTGCTGAAATCAGGCTACACTAGCCGCAGTTTTAGCCGTGGAAGGTTCGTAATCAGCCTCCACCCACCATCCACTTGCAATATGTACTGTAGTGGGAATAAATAAGGATGGTTTGGTTATCTATATCTGCAAGGTAATTTTTTAAGGATTAGGGGCAATGCTTGGATTTGCTTCTGGGCACTTGATTACAGTTACATGCAGTTCCTATTATTATTATTATTATTATTATTATCCATGTATTAATACCCTGCCTTTCTCCCTGACAGGGACTCAAGGCAGCTTACAGATAAAAACAAAGCTGGGTGGGGAGGCAATAATTTAACAAACACATTTAAACATTAGCATAATTAAAAATGTATAAACTTCTACAATATGTTACGTTATCATAGAATTGTTGAGTTGGAAGGGACAGCAAGGGTCACTCAGACCAACCTGGAATGAAGGAATATTTTGCCCAACGTGGGGCTCGAACCCATGATTCTCCCTGGAAGGGGATCCAGAAAAAGCCTTAGCCACCACCGAAAGGGAGAATGTGGCCAACCCTGACAAGCCCTTGGCGATTGTGGATGCCACCCAGACCAATTCCATTGATGGGAGGAAAATGCCTCACCCGTTGCTGTGTCAGCAGACACACTTGCTTCCTGTGTGACTTCCACAGCTAGTGGAGCAGAACTGACATCTGTCCCCCAAGGCATCCAAACGTGCTAAAGTTAAATCAACAGCACCCTGGTTAGACTTTTTCTTTTTGTTGCTGCGGCCAGCTGCCAGGCACTTCCCACTGCAGTTGCTGAATTGGAAGCCGCAGCTGAGGCAGGGGCTGATTTCTGCCCCTCCAAGGCCTCAAGGCATGTCAATATAGTGCCCCCCCCCCAAATCTGGCTTTTCCACCTCCTCAGGTGAGGGGGAGGGGGTTGACTGCCCACGCTTCCTCTGGGGTGCAGGTGGCGCCGTTCCTTTACCCATAGGGCCTCCCCTGCCTCCCCTTGCCTTCACCTGGAGCCAACCACTAAATGAGACTCGGCATGACCTTGCAGTTGAAGGGGGATTTTTAAACCTGACCTCTCTCAGCTCCTTGGGCTTAGTGCGCTAACCACTATACCACACTACCTACCGAGAAAATAACAAGACCACAGCAAATGAGTTACCAAGATCCAGAAGAAACTCCCTTCACCCTTCCCTATACGACTGCTCAAGCCCAGGCCTCACAACAGCAAGGGCAATATTCTAACCCCAGCCGCTGCTAACTGCCTAAATCCCTCTGGGGGGATTTTCCCACAAAGGAGACCCCCCACCAAAAAAAGGGCTGGCTGTAATGCTGTCCCCCTGCTCTCACCCCTCCCCCAGGTTTATTTTATTATTATTTTTTTAAAAATTGCTTTTCCAAATTTATAACAAACAAATAAAACAAGAACATCAAAAACAAACAAAAACATTTATCTTGACTATAATAATTCCATTTTTGTTAACATTGTTAAGTGACTTCCTCGAATCCCCCTGGCTGAGTTTCCATATAAATCATTGTAGCAGTTTTCCAAAAGTAATTTCACATAAAATTTACATAGTCCTATTAACATATTGACTTTTATCCATAATGTCCAAAACATCACATATTTAGATCCTAAGCCTATTATGGTACTCACAAATAATTCTATTTAAGTTATCTTAGCATATTTAACTAAATATTCTTTAAATTTCATCCATTCTTCTTGGTGCTCCTCCACCTTCTGATCGCTGACTCTTCTGGTCAGGTCGGCTAGCTCACCCCCCAGGTTTTGTAGGTCTCCCAATGCCTCGGAGGGCCCTCCTGCAACCAGTACTGCAGTCCGTGTTTTGCTCAGCCGGCAAGGCCTTCAGCAACTGCCAAGTCCTCTGCAGCCAGCAGGCTCCAGCCTATAGGTTGCTCAGGATCCTCCTGCAGAAGTCACTGGGTCCTGCCTCGCCAACTGGCCTTCCTGTGAGTAAGGGAACGGGTAAGGAGAACCAACTCTCCTCTCTAGGCTCACGCCTACCCTTCCCCGCTCCACTGTGTTCAGGCCGAGGTGCCAGCCTGAGCCCAGATTGAGGCCTCCGCCTGGCATTGCTGCTGCAAACGCAGAGGCTGGAAGGGAAGTCAGCTTGTTTCCCTTAGATTGGCATCAAGCCCTGCACCACCCCCTCCTATCGGTGCCAAGGATTTCCTCCACTCTGCCTCTCTTTGCCAATGTGCCCAGCCTTCAGGGCACCATCTAGGCCAGGGGTCAGCAAACCTTTTCAGCAGGGGGCCGGTCCACTGTCCCTCAGACCTTGTGGTGGTCCGGACTATATTTTTGGAGGGGAAATCAACAAATTCCTATGCCCCACAAATACCCTAGAGATGCATTTTAAATAAAAGCACACATTCTACTCATGTCAAAACACGCTGATTCCCAGACGGTCCGCGGGCCAGATTTAGAAAGCGATTGGGCTGGATCCGGCCCCTGGGCCTTAGTTTGCCTACCCATGATCTAGGCCTTTCTGCTGAACGTTCTCTGTTTTGCCCTGGGGGAACCGAGGGAGCGGGAACGCTTCGAAACACTCCCGTCCAGCCTCTGGGGGCAGAGTTTAGTCCCTACAGAGAAGCCTGATGCCATGCGTGGGCCTCTCTCCTCCGTAAACCTTCATGCCTAGCTGCCCTTTCTCCCCTCTGCCGCCAGTAAGGGGGCGATGGAGACACAGCAGAAATGAGAATTTTGCCCTATTTGTGTACCAACCAACCAGAGGAGGTTGGTCCATTAGAGCAAACAGGACTCTCTGCCCTAGAAATGAAACGGCCTGCAATTTTATTTATATTTATATATATAAAGTAAAACACACCCAACCACCCTTTCCTAGCCTAGTGAGCTCTCTCCTTTGCTTTTTGTTATTCTTCACGGGTTTAACTTCTGAACTCATTTTATAGCTACACCAGGAGAAAAGTAACAAATGCATGTGAGATGATTGCCCGGGCCAGGCTTTTTTAAAAAAAAACAACCCACAGTTAATTTCGTTTTGGTTTTGTTTGTTTAAATCTGTGTGTTTATTTGGAAGAAAATTCCACTTATTTCAGTGGGGTTTGCTCTCCAGCGCAGTGTGCATCCTTCATCTTGCATTTTCCTTACATACAGGGTTGCTGTCTTTCGTATGTTTGCCCTCCTCCCTTAAAACAAAAACAAAAACCAACAGCAGGCTGAATCAAGACTGAATCATTGATTCCTGAATCAATACAGGCATCAAGCAATCCCATTCATTTACCCCTGCCAGGTAAAACTATAGTCTTCTATATTTTCAAGTGAGAAGGCTGTTAAAACGCACAGGAGCATGTCCAGGAAAACACAACCAGTGGCAAATGGCCTACATCTGGAAAGTATTGGCATGATTTTTCTCAACAGAACTTCATGTCATTAGATAATATCCTTTGATGTAGTATGCTGAGTAAATGCGTGGAGAGGGAGGGACGGGTGCGGCAGGATGATAAAAATGCCCGGTTCAGAAATTAGTGAGTGTTGCTAGGCGTACAATTGCAACAGTGGAAATTCCCCAATCTGTTTACTTGTTTGTCTTTTGAGGGAAGATGCCCACAAAGGCAGCAAGGCAGCAACCAGGAGGAAGACATCATAAAATATCTGTTTTATGACCTAACCACAACTCGCAAGTTTTGTGATCTAACCAAGGTAGCAAAGGTGACAGGAAGATTAGTATATCTTTAATGAAATACAGACTCACTCTCACAAGATAGGATCGGGAAACCAAACTTAATAAAAACAACTCAGAAACTTCAACTGGTCCAAAAAGCAGCTGCCAGATGACAGGTTGTGGTTCCTTTTAGATCTTGTGTAACTCCTGTTTTCGGTTTGTTTCCAGGCCTGATTCAAAGGCGCTCGCACTAGTGTTTAAAGCCCTAGACAACTTAGTTGCCAAGTATTCCCTATAAACTTTCTACTTCCCTACAGAGCCTCTTGGGTGTTAAGACTGACCAGAGTAGTAGTTGGTAGTTCCATCACCCTCAGAGGTTCTGGAGATGGTAGCCTGGGCAATGATATTCTCTGGCAGCTCCTAGGTTGTAGAATTCCCAAAGAGTTGCATCGGACACCTTCATTAGATAGTTTCCGGTGTATGCTGAAGACTCACATCTTTACTCTAACCTTTACCCTAACACCTGAGATAAATGTTTTCAGAACCCATCCTATTCCCGCAACGCTCATTTGTTTTAATTGTTTTTAATGTGGAATTTTTAATTGTTGGAAGATGCCCTGGGACCTGCTGGTGAAGGGTGGATAATAAATTGAGTACTACTACTACTAATAATTAATAATAATAATAATAATAATAATAAAGGGGTTGACCCCTGCGAGGATGGCCTTCGTCTACTGGGCTGCCTGCAGGACATGCACTGAGCACCACGACAATGTGTTTCATATGATCCTCATGTTCTGTTTGACATGCATAATCCTTCAACTCCCCAAAGGGGTCTGAATATCACAGATCAACCGGCTTCGAGTGCTCGTCATTTGTATGATCCTCAGGCTCAGCCCTAGTTCCCCAAAGATCATAAAACTACACATCTTGACAATATGATCTACAAAACACCTAAGTCAATATCAGTGGTGCCTACTGTGTTTCCCAAGCTCTGTTTATGTGTGAGTGTTGCTCATTCCTTCTAGTTATGCATGTTTTTAGACATAAGTTCCATTTTGGTTACTGCCAAGTATAGGATAATTGTGTTGTTGTTATGAGTGAGGAAAGGGGCAAGCAGATTCAGGTACTAATTCTTCATATTTCTGAGTGTAGTTACAGTTAGGATTATCTGGCCAGTGCCTTTTTACAGCATAAACTGCATTGTCCAACCGATGGCATTCATGTTATTGTTTTTATTCTACATGGCAATTATCCCCATGTAAACAATGTGCGTAGAGCAGACCTTTGATTACTGAAATAAATCTCAGTTACATGGCCCTGGTTGTGCAATTCACTGGGTTACTAAGGTGATATTTACTTGTATAGAAGGAGTGTTCACATCAAAGCATGATGTTAGCCAACGTTTGAATCCTTTCATTTTGTTTTCAGATTAGCTAGAAACAAAGTCTTCTGTCCTCCTAAGTAGTCTCATTTTTAAACGCAGCAATGTTTTTGACATGGAAATACATATGAAATGAGTGGAATGTTACCTCCGAGAGACCAATATTCTCTGTTAAATTATGTTTGTGCAATTTTTTAAAAAAATGATCCGGAATTCGCTGTGAACGAGGCTAAACAGGAACTATGCCATCCAGCCATATCAGACCTCCCACATCAGAGGTGAGAAATAATGGAACTTAGAAAGCATGTCTATCCAATCTTAAGTGTACATTTTCTGCTGTAGATTGATGAGGTAACAGCAACGTATATAAATTGCTTTTTCCTATAAACAAAGCCCTTTATTATCTTCATTTTTGTGCGATCAAATCTCACCGCCTGTGAAAGGTGTTTACAAGTGGGCTGGTTTCAAACATTACCCAAATAATGTTTTAAATTTGCTTTATGGGGATTAAATACATATAGGCATTGGGTGTGATTTAGTAAAGGTTTTCCTTTGTTGCCAGTGGGAGTTCATCTCCATCAGGAACAGTGCCGGTGGTAACTGAAGTCTCCTCAGCATTCTCTCTTGTCTGCTACACTTTTTATCTTTAAGCTCGGGGTCAGATTACCCTACGTGGTGCTTCAGTTTAGAAGGTTGCGACAGCTGCTAGTTACGTACATGAGTGCTCAGTGTTCATGTTCTGTGACTAATAGACCTGAAATGCTATTAGCAACAGTTGATACTTTTTTAAAATAAGAAGTTCAAAGCAAAGGAGTGTTAGGCTACCTTAATACAGCGAAGGGAGCACCTCCTCCCTGCTATCATGTCGCTAATAGCTTAACTGTACAGACCTAATGGAGGGAGGAGCAGGGCTAACAAAGCCCTGTTTCGCTAATTACTCTGCTTTCCTAATTTCTAATTAAAACAAACCTCCCCGCAAATCCACTGAGTTGTGAAAATAAAATCTAGACTGACCAGATCGAAAGCAGATTCTGGCCTAATTGGTTTAACCTAGAAAAGAAATGACATATTTTGAAAGGATTGCATGAATGGACATGTAGGGTTTTCATCAACGCGCCCTCCCCCCCCCGCCATGTCATCTTTTGAGCACCTGCAAAAGCTTTTAATTTATTGTCTATTAATATTGTCTCTGCACCATCCTTATTCCTTTAATTTCTTGATTACATCTTTTTATTTGCACTTCTAAAACTGTTATAAACAATAAATGTGACAGTGGGCAGCCTTGCCTGGTTCCTTTAGTTATTTTACAATTCTCAGTCAGTATTTACTTGCAATTTTGCTGATTGATCAATATATATTGCCTTAACTCCTTTTATAAAATGTCTCCACAACCCATATATTCCAGAATGCTCAAACAGTATTTTAAACTGGTAATGTAATTATCCCTTGGCACTTTTAGATTATATGAGGCACAGCTCTCCATTCAGTTTCCATAAATTTAAATGACTGTGTTGCCATTTTTACCCAATGATGTGACACAGCTCTTTTATGTTCTGAGCTGTGTTAGAAACAGAGATATGAAAGCTAGGAGCTAAACGGCACCTTAAACCTAGGTTATGGGTGCAACAACTGAATGTCTCTAGGCAGACTTTTTTATAACAAGAATACAAAGCTGAAAATAAATGAACTGTGGCTAAAACATTATGTTCATTTTCCACAAGGTCTAGTCCTTTCCATGCTCCCCCTCCCCCCCTAATATTATTAAGAGGGTCTCTGCTCCAGTCTTTGAAGAGTAGCTTGAAGTGGGGAGGCAGAAAAACATCCTACTTCTACTCTGCAGTTTTAATCTGAAATCTTAGGCTGCGCCCAGATCTCAGAAACTACTCACTCCAATGAAATTCCCTGTCGCAAAATGTGCCTAGAACAACGGGAGTTTCCAACACTGGTTCCGAGATGACATTACTTTTCTTTTTTGAGTGCTGTTACTTAGTAGTCAAGGGACGCGGGTGGCACTGTGGTCTAAACCACAGAGCCAAGGGCTTGCCGATCAGAAGGTTGGCGGTTCGAATCCCCACGACGGGGTGAGCTCCCGTTGCTCGGTCCCTGCTCCTGCCAACCTAGCAGTTCGAAAGCACAAAGTGCAAGTAGATAAACAGGTACCACTCTAGCGGGAAGGTAAACGGCGTTTCCGTGTGCTGCTCTGGTTTGCCAGAAGCGGCTTAGTCATGCTGGCCACATGACCCGGAAGCTGTACGCTGGCTCCCTTGGCCAATAAAGCGAGATGAGCGCCGCAACCCCAGAGTCGTCGGCGACTGGACCTAATGGTCAGGGGTCCCTTTACCTTTACCTTTACTTAGTAGTCAGTCAAACATGGATAACAGTGCTAGATATTGGGGAAGGGGAAGCTCTTGTCTCAGTTCAAGAGCGAAACTAGCACAGCTTCATCCTACCTGAAGCCACTTTTGATCACCACAATGTGTTAAGCTTGCCCCAATTCCCTGAGCAGTGTGGAAGCGTTCAGCATACATGTGGAAGCTTGCAGCTTAAGCATTCCAACAGTACATTCCACTGCCCCAACAACCTTAGATTAGCATTAAGTGCCAAGCAGGCCAGTTGCAGAAATCTGATAGCCAAACCTTTAACAGTAGTATTCAATTTCATTGTGTCTTGTTACCATGTCAGAGTTTCTATCATCCCAGCAGACGTAGTGTTTGACTAAACAAACAAACAAACAAACAAACACCATTAATAGTTCCCTCCTGTTACAGGACTTGTGTGTATAAGAAATCAAAGATATCTCATGTCAGTCCAAACTTCCACCCCATCTAAAGCCCCTCCAGAATTGTGGATTGTGGGTTTGGGTTGCCCCTTTTCATATTTAGTTTGTCCATACTAATCGCTTATAAGATTTAAAAAAAAAAAAATAATATTTATTTTAATGCATTTAGCTTTTAGAGCTTCACGTTTTTTACGTTCCGGAAGATGTGTGGAATTTCAAGTTGAATACAGTTCCAGTAGATGTTGCCAGCAAATTTTTTTCGGCGGGATTTATAAGGTGAGTTGGAATAATAAACGTTGGGTCTGCCTTTGAGTGTAGCAGTTCTAGTAGCAATTTATCCATTATATAAGCTGTATAGCCAGTGTGGTGTAGTGGTTAAGAGCGGTAGTCACATAATCTGGGGAACCAGGTTCATGTCTCCGCTCCTCCACATGCAGCTGCTGGGTGACCTTGGGCTAGTCACACTTCTCTGAAGTCTCTCAGCCCCACTCACCTCACAGAGTGTTTGTTGTGGGGGAGGAAGGGAAAGGAGATTGTTAGCCGCTTTGAGACTCCTGAAGGGGAGTGAAAGGCAGGATATCAAATCCAAACTCCTCTTCTTCTTCTTCTTCTTCTTCTTCTTCTTCTTCTTCTTCTTCTTCTTCTTGTTTTCTAAAAGCCAAATGTCGTATGTTGGGAAGCTTCCATGATTCTTCCATCAATTCTTTAGTAAAATGGAAAGCAGCCAAATTACTCAAGGGGAGGGGAGGGGTTTTTCAATCATTTGTCTTCTCAAAACCACCCTCAAGCTGCTTTTCTCCCTGAGGGGAAAAGATTTGGGTTTCTTGTATCTTATCTCTCATTAATGAGAAATGAGCTTCTGGGAAGACGGGGTTTGGGCTGGACAAGTAACAGGAAGGGACAGAGTCCCTTCAGCCTGGTCCTTTGCTCCTGATTTCAGCATGCCACATAGGATATTATGATAAAATGTGTGTTATATTCATTGTATTGGAAAGTTTTATCATTAAGGTTTTAGAAACTAGAGTTCAAGTTCAAACAAGACAAGCAACTCGCCTATACATTTTTGTAAACACTGAGTGAAGAACTGGATTGCAATATTCAGATAAGTATGAATTTTGAAGGACAGTTGCATTTTGGTTTGCATTGTTTCAGAAAGAGCCAATTTTATAGATTTGGCTTTAAATGAGTACCGAGTCAGATTTCTCTTCCATCCCTGACTACAATTCCTAGATTTTACTGGAAATAAGTAATGGTTGTTCAGGTCTATTGTGCAGAAGTGTTTAGTGTTCTTCTGTGTAAAGTGCACTCCTTCAATACCAGACATATTGGTGGGAAAGGATGTTGGCAATCACTGTAGAAAATGTCGACAACTCTAAATTAGGCAAGAGTCTTATTATCTTCAGGTTAATCGCCTTACTAAGTTCAGAAACTTGTACCCACCTAGTTACATTTCCAAGATCATAGGGAATTTTAATAGTTACTTATCTATAGATCACAGAAACTATTAATGTCCTATTAGTGTTATTCATTCCTAGCATTATGAATTACAATACAATGCTATCTTATAATGAAGAAAATCCCTGCCTTAATTATCTGAGAAACTGCTTAGAACGTCGGTCTTGCTAACTAAGATCTTACGCATGAAATTAGAAGTTTCGGCTACGGTTTTAACAGAGCTTGACATGGATGAATCATGTGAATAAAGAGATTTCTGGCACCTTGGAGATTCTATTTGTTATCACAAAATAAATGTTTCATTGTTTGTGCACAAGAAAACCCACCTTGGTACCAGAGGGCTCTAAAAGTTAATGTTCAAGGATTAAGTCATCAGTGTGAGCTTTGGGAGGTAAAATTAGATCTTTGTGGCATGTAATTAATGTACATTTCCTTTATACACCCACTTCCAAAACAAATATATCAATCATGTCTCTGCAGTAATGTAATCTGGTATTCTAGGGTGCCACCTTATATGATATTGAGAACATTAAGAGAGCAGCTTGGAGACTACCTGGGTGAAGATGCAGTTGTGGATAAGTATATCTTCCTAAAATGTATAGGGAAGAAACTTGCAGTGGTAAGTTTCTTCTGTGTTTCTGTGAGTGGGTTATCAAGAAGAGCTGTATGCTTATTTTCAAATGTTCCCATTTAACATTTCATGTTCATGTAGTGGCAGTCAGGGGGAAAATGTGATTTATTTTTTTCCCCTCCCTGGCAGTTACCGTTTCAAAATAAAGAGTTATAAAACCAAGATTTTTTTTTTTTAATTATGCATTTTTTGGTCACAGTCCAGTAGGCTTCCTTGCTCATGGGCTGAAGATGCCAAAAGGAGTTTTGGCTTTATCTTCATGGCTGCCCTTACACTATACGCCACAAGTTTAATTTGAAGTCGTGAGGAGGTGAATATTTGGGGAAATCCACATTATATGGGTCTCTCCTGTCACATGCAATTTTGATCATGGCTTACATTTCTAAAATTCTGTAACTGCCATAACTGCCACTTACAAGCAGGGAGCTTGTGAGAATATGAACCATAGAGTTGGATGGGACCATGAGGAACATCTAGTCCAGGGATCGGCAACCTAAGGCCCATGGGCCGGTAGCAGCCCACGAGGCTTGTCTAACCGGCCCATGGTGACCTCTGCTGCCCCCCGCTGCCTGCTCTTACCGGCCTGGTGCAGGGACCGACTTCTGGGTTGATGGCACCTGCGCACAGGCGCTTCTCCGACCCGGATGTGCGCTGGAAATAGCACGTGTGCATGTGTGCGGGATGGAGAAGCGCCCATGCGCATGCACACACGCTATTTCCGGCACACTTCCAGGTTGAAGGAGCACTGGAAATAGCGTGTGCGCATGTGCACAGACGCTCCTCCAACCCGGAAGAGCTTGTGTGTGCACACGCTCCAGCCCATCCTCTGACGGACAGAGCGTCTACCAGCCCATCCTTGGATAAGGTTGCCTACCTCTGATACTAGTCCAACCAATGCAGAAATCTTTTGCCAAACATGGGGCTTGAACCTACAACCTTAAATATAACAATAGTGGGGTTGTTGTTGTTTAGTCGTTCAATCGTGTCCGACTCTTCGTGACCCCATGGACCAGAGCACACAGGCACTCCTGTCTTCCACTGCCTCCCGCAGTTTGGTCAAACTCATGCTGGTAGCTTCGAGAACACTGTCCAACCATCTCGTCCTCTGTTGTCCCCTTCTCCTTGTGCCCTCAATCTTTCCCAACATCAGGGTCTTTTCCAGGGAGTCTTCTCTTCTCATGATGTGGCCAAAGTATTGGAGCCTCAGCTTCAGGATCTGTCTTTCCAGTGAGCACTCAGGGCTGATTTCCTTCAGAATGGAGAGGTTTGATCTAGTGGGGTAGGAGAGCTTTAAAAAAAAAACACACCTGGCAACCAATGCACCCCTTTGGTTTCAGATAATGCATTGGTAGATGAATCCCAAAAGGCTGGGACACAAATTTTCATGGCCTTCTAGCAGCGATGGTGGCTCATTTAGCAGAAGTAATGTATTTAGCATTAACCCTGAAAGTGAGTACTCGATTCTGACCAAACTAAGCCCCCTAGACATCAGGTTATGCAGTTAGAGCCAATTTGGAGCTCTTGCAAAGCAAACCTGCTTTGCCAAAACATTGTTTCTTTTTGTGATAAGGAAATAATAGGAAAATGCACTGGAAAGTGTGAGATAATGCTTGGTTGATGCAACACCTGCGTAATCTCCCCAAGAGCAAATCAGGACGAACACTCATAAAGTAGCTGGTGACATCTGCAATCAAATCCTAATGACTGCTTATTAAATAGGTTGTATTGCAGCACCCTGAGTGTAACTTAGTTGAGTGGAACCTTACGGGTGTTAGGTTCTTTAAGAGAGTCCTGCTGTTAACTGGCCTACAAAGCAAACTTTGAACCTACGTTGTCCACCATCTTTGTTCTCTGCAGAAATGCCTCTCGCTTTCACTTTCATTTCACCTTTAACAACGTAAATTCCCACGAATGCAATGAGATAGACCTCCCATGTAAAAACGCTCGGCAATTTTAAAAGCACTCTTAATGTTTTGATCTTAATAGCTGACATAGCGGAGAGTAGTAATTCCAAGGAAAATTAATGGTCTAATTGCAAGTTTTAATCATTTATTTCCCTTTGAGCTGCTGGAAGCCTTTCTGACAAAGAGGTTTGGAATTTGTTTTGCTTTCCCTTTTTTTTTACTGCCCCAATTCTTTTCCAAGCCAAGACTAATAAAAGACGCAACCATGAAGAAAATGAGATGGTTCTTTCAAGTGCACAATCTGCCTGTGTGCAGAGTGCGTAGCTTGGAAAGCCTACTCTAGATGGTTGTCACAGACTCCCTGGGAAGAGCTGACAAGCTCTTGTCTTGTCCAAACATATTTCTCTTTACTGCAAATCTCTCAGTTGTATTTACAGAATCAAATCAAGTTTTAACTGCTCTGCTAAGGACAAAGAAAAGCTTAGTGTCATAATATTTAAATAACTACAAAAATTACCCCCCCCCCCAGTCTTTGGTACAGTGGTACCTCGGGTTAAGTACTTTATTTGTTCCGGAGGTCCGTTCTTAACCTGAAACTGTTCTTAACCTGAAGCACCACTTTAGCTAATGGGGCCTCCTGCTGCTGCCGCGCCGCCGGAGCCCGATTTCTGTTCTTATCCTGAAGCAAAGTTCTTAACCTGAAACACTATTTCTGGGTTAGCGGAGTGTGTAACCTGAAGCGTATGTAACCTGAAGCGTATGTAACCCGAGGTACCATTGTATTCCCAACAAACGTGATGAAGGCACTAGGTTTTATCAAGAGAAAGCGATTCATACGTTGTCCAAGTGAAATAGCTGGAGTATAAGCTAGTCATGACCTACTTGTCCCATTGATTTCTGTAAGAAATGTGACCCATTTTCTTTGGATACGGGTCACTGTGTTTCTGAAAACTATGGTTTGCTGACTGGGAGCCGGCCTCAGGAACATGTACTTCATTCCCTTCCTCCTGACTCCTTCAGTGCAAGTCCTCCTTCACTTGCCAGCTGTCTTTTCATATTGTAGTGTTACATCTGCTGTGATGTTAACCAAGGCTAACACTAACCTAGTTCCATCTTAACCAAAATTTCCAAACCTGCTTCAACCCTTGGTTTCAAATCCAGATCAATATCAGAATTGGTTAGTTTCACTGCAGGCATTATAATCAAACCATGATTAAGACCAACAAGAAGATGCAGTGAGGGATTCTAGCAAGGTGTGGGGAGGAATAAGGGAGCAGGGAGTGCATATTCTCAAGCCCTGCTCCCAATTTACAAACTACAGTTTGTAAGGAGCCCATGCTATATCTTTAGCAATGACCGCTCCCCGCTTAAAACGGGGGGTGCCCTTTGCGTGGACGCGCGCAGCCCTGGATCTGGAGCGGCCCCATCAGCATAGGCTTGGCTTTGCCTTCCCTCAGGTGGGATACCTGGAGGTCCCCGCCTACCTCAGTCAGTTGTCCACTCGCACCTGTGGGAAGCGTGGCCAAGGAGACCAGGCCAGGTAGGGGAGGGATTACCTGCCCACACAATAGAGGGAGGATCTTACCTGGGAATCCTCACTTGGCTCCAGAGCTTCTCCCACCCTACCCACCCTCAGTTAATGTCTTCCTTTGCAGGTTAACTTTTCTTCATAGGTTTTGCAGGTTAACTTTTCTTCACAGGTTTCTTCACAGGTATGCGGGCGCTGCTACGTTAAGGTCGCTGTTAAAGGGCCGGAAAGGAATTTCCCTGCATTGGCAGGTTTCGCCTTTCCCGTAGCAAAACGTCACAACTTTGGCGGTATCAGGCCTTGGGCGGAATCCTTTAGTCCATCTTCCTCTTTGCGGCGGCGATACCAGGGTTCCCCGTTAAAGGGGTTTCTGAAGGGAGGCTTTGACCGTACGCCGAAAGGTCGTCATTGCTCTCCCCTGCGGCGGTGGCGTAACGGGGGCGGCTATCTCTGCTTGAACATATGTTCTCCAGAGCCGGCCCATCCCCCCCACACACTGGATAACCCTGAAGCTCCCTAGGTCCCCGGCTGGGGACTGGGGAGGGAGAACGCCCAATGCCTGAGCCAAGGTCTACCCACATTTGAAATTTAATAAAGTTGTGGCCAATTTAATCCCATAGCACGTTGTCTTGAGTCGTTATTACACATGATGGGGGGACCGCGCGGGATCTGGGGACTCCGCCTGTCCACACAAATCACCATGTATATTGTTTTGGTCTTTCCCCACTTTTTTGTACGTTTCAAAAAGCCCTTGTACAAATGGTATAAAACACCCTTTTGATTTACTTGATAGGAAAGGTTGAAGTTGTTTTATAATATTTGAGCGGTCAGAGCAATTATATGTAATTATACGCATGTGAACAAACATTTGCTGAATTTCCCAGTTCTACCGTTGCCCAACAGCGCCTTAATCTCTTCCCAGAGATACTTCTTTCTAATAAGAGAAGAGATACTTGAACTCTGTAAAGACATGTTGCTTTTATTTTAGGGGAATCAGCAGCCTTGTTTTTTGTAGCCATTAAAGTTAAATGACATTCAAATTAAGCAACATGCTTTTATTTTAATGAACCGCAACCCCTCACGGTAAAAATCTGGTGTGGTTTTAAACAAGCATCTTTTTACATTGTTATGTACTTCCAACTCCCCTGTGAGAAGTCCAGAGGTAGCACAAGAATGAGAGATTTTATAACAGTTTATTATTTATAAGGAGAAAGTAATAAAGACAGACTTCTAAAGCAAAACCACCAATTCTCTATTAGCTCTCAAAAGAAAAATTGCACCCCAAATATATTTCTGTTTTAGTCAGCTTATCTATAAACTCCAAGTGCTCTTGGCGCTCTTTCCCTTTTTTTAATCCAGATTCAAAACTGCCAAACTTGCTTCTAAAACTCTTTTTGTGCCTCCCCATTAACACTGATGAGTGTGACTTTCTGAAGACTGGAAGCATTATACTTTTGATAAACCTCTGATCATATAAATTCAGAATAATAACAAAGGCAGCCAAATTTATACAGTAGCAGCATTTTCTATGTTACTTGTAAGGCATTCACACAACTGAAGAAACCTTAGGTGATTAATGAGATTTAATTAATTGATTTATAGGTTGATTAATGGAGTAATCCTAAGGGAGCAGTGATCTAAGATGGTTCAGACACTTCTCCTGAATCGCATTCCCTTCCAGAAATGGAACGAGCCGTTTGCAGAACGGCATCTCTGAATCTAACACTTACAAAAAAATTATTAGAAATTAGCTAAAAACAGATGGATGCAATAAAACAATAAAAATAAAACTGTTGAAGTGAAAAAGAATTTATAAGCCTTTGTAAATAAAAAATAGTTATGCCATTTTTTATTTACAAAGGCTTATAAATTCTTTTATAATCTACTAGAATTCCCAAGATAAATATTCTGTGTTTTCCATTATTCACAAAAGTTTGAGTATAGCATTTTTAAAAAAATGTTATATTCTGGCTTTCAGGAATGTAAGATGCTATACAAATTGAATGATATGGCACTATCCTGTTTTGATAACGTCGTTTCTGTTGTTACCTTCCAAGGTAAAAGCAAAGCAAGAAACAGAACTGAAGCTCAAATCGTTTGCTCCTCCCTATGTATGTATATTGTTACATCACTTTTCATGTAAAAGCAAAGCTACTTTGCTTTAAAAATATATTATACTTTAAAAATATATTATTTATTTCAGATTAACTTGCTGTATATTTCAGGCATTTCATCCAGAACTTTATTTGTTGCCTGGAGTAGAAAGTATTTATTCATCTTCATCGTCAACTCCAGAAAGACATCACAGTAATGCAGACTATATACGTGCATATACATCATATCATAGACCACCTGACGTATCAGCTCCAGATCATGAAGCTGGTCAGAACCCCAACATTTTGGAGACTTCCTTGAAACATCATCTCAGCCCAACTCAGGATAAAAATAATTTAATAGGATGGGACGAAACTGAAAAAGGAAGTGCTCAAGATCTCCCTGCAACACAGATCTCTAAGCAAGAACAGAACGAAAGGATTAAAGAGAAATATAATTCACAAAGAAGGGAAGGTGAGATATATCAAGGCTGCTTAATTGCTATAACAACCAAGTGCAGGTCAAATTGCAAGGACAGCACAAATATTTCTTTTCCTCTGATTTTTTTAAAAAATAGTTTTCAATTATTTCACCTCCAGCAAGAGCTGTACTTCATATTACGATCAGACAAGTTATACCTTGTTTGAATCCATGAGGAGTTTTCAACATGAGGAGGAAAGCATGGTTTTAATTTCTTTCTCCACAATCGAGGCTTGGAGCCTGTTGTGTCAGGAGAGGGCAAATGATCTCTCCCCCTGCCCCACCATACCTTATTTGAGAGGGAGATTAAGCATCTTTAACCTGGCCATTATTTCATTGTCTGTATTGATGATGCTAGCAGTAGGATTCCCATCTACTAATTTGGTTTTGTGCCTTTTTGGTGTTAACAGTTTAGCTAGAGTTTGGGTCCCATCAGGTGTTTCTTCCCTGAAACTTCGTTTGTCACACTGCCATTCCCTTGTTCAATTAATCATATGTCCGGACTGGTTTCGTTCAAAATTAAGGTTTCAGGGGTGGGGAGGAAATCAAATCAGAACGACTTGTTCGCAATATGAGTTCCTGATCTTTAATTGTATTTTGGTCCTACCTAGACTGTGGCATATGTAACATTTGCTTTTTTAATTTAACAAAGGTTCCAACAATATCACTTGTTACCAAAAAACCCCCTTTTATTTACTTGGGTATATATTTCTTTAAAAATTTATACCCAGCCTTCTTAGAAATAAAATAAACTTAAAGTGGCTTACGAAAAAAAGGTTCAAAATGTGCATAAAGCAGTTCACGTTACTTACGTTAACATGACTATTATAGTTAAATATGATTATTTATAATAATATATGATAAATCTACAACTTAACACAACTCTCATAAGTATATATAGCCTAATATATAATTATGTACCGCCTCCAGGAGAAATTAGTTTTAACAAAGAGCAAAAGGAATCCATTAAATCTCCCTATACATTCCAAGATAAAATTTCTGCAAGACAAAACTCTGTAAGAAAATCCACATCAGTGAAAATTCCTCAGCGAAAGTCTTTCAGCCAAGCTCGACAGCAAAATACTCCTAGAAAGGTCAAGAAATACAAAGATTCTGTTGCACCTTTGCGTATGAATCAGAACCGAGAGCAAGAGGGAAACAACCAGATTCAAGTCAATCACATCACACAGAAGATAAAAGGTATACATTCCTCCACTAAGCACTACGTTTAAAGTTTATTTGTATTTTGCATTAGCATTGTTTTTTTAAAAATAAATCTATCTGTAAAAGCTGCTCTGGAGATTCGGGGAGGGGAGGATTGCAAGGGGCAGAGGCAGAGGCATAAGTAAAGATTGCCTCCCACCTTCCTCTACTTGGGGAACTTCCCCGGGATCTGAGAGCTTTCCATCAACAGAAGGAGGCCTTCCATTTACGGAATAGCCAATCTGAATCCCAACCCTTTGGTTTGCATGAAAGCATTTAATAATAATGCACTTAACCGTATTTTTCCATGTATAAAACGAGGGGTTTTTTAATTAGAAAATAATATTAAACATTTGGGGTCATCTTATGCACGGATAGTGCAGAGGGGGGACGGGCAATTGGTAGCAGCCGCGAGCAGGAGATTGTCAGCGGCGATTGGGCGTGTGATTGGTGGCTGCGGCAAGGGCTGTTATTGATTGGCTGTTGCTGTGGCAATTGGGCAGGTGATTAGTGGCGAGTGGATAGACGATTGGTGGCTCTGGCGACGCGTGGGATTGGTAGTGTCAATCAGGCAGCTGAGCAATATTTGGCACCCCCCCCCCAAAAAAACCCCTTAACAACTCTTGGCAATCTTCCCCCATTTTCTGAATTTGGAGTCCCCAAAACAGGGGCGTCTTATACACAGGTTCGTGTTATACACGGAAAAATACAGTAATTTGCATTAAACTATTTAATAAAGCTCAGTGATCTGCGGAACTGGTCCAGAAGCCACACGAGGACAGCTTTTCGGTAGTAAACATTGGTGGTTCTTTAGGTGATAAGATCCGCTTGCTTGCATCAGGTCTAATTAGAAGCCAGGAGTGACACCAATCCTAACCTTGATGAAAAGAATAGAAACTTGAAATGGTTGGACATTGCAAACTACAGCAGTTTAAGAAAGGGGAAATGTATTGTGCCCGTCGGCTAATACGCACTTTTGTCCAGATTGCCTCCCATTTCTACATTTTACAATCTCCCGTGTAATAGGGCTGGACACGTTTTTATTAAAAAACACTGGCAGTTGCCCTTAGATTTTTCTTTCATCTCAGGGTCTTCCTTCTATATCCTTCCTGTGAGCCAACTGGCGTTCTTGACTTTGCGTTGATAATTTCCATTTTTGCTTCAGGCGGATATGCCCAGAATCTGTACACACTCATTTTTTCGCCAAGCCATTGCTTCTGGCGCTGGATGGCAGAAGTAAAAACATGAATATAGAAACAGAAATATTATTTAATATAGGGTATTATTTATTACCCGCCCTACACCCTAACATCCCAGGGCAGGTTACAACATTAAAACACACCATTAAAGACAGCTAAACAATTTTTTCCCCCAACCTCTGATGTAGAAGGAGCTCCTATTGCGCTGGATGCAAATACAGAAAATGAAGGCAACCTGACAGGTATTGGAATGGGAAGACACACCACAGGGGATTCTGGAATCCCAGAATCTTTGGAGGAGAGAGACATGGACTATTCACACAGAATGAGGAGGTAACGAAACGGAGAAATTTCTTAATATACCGTATTTTTCGCTCCATAAGACACAATCTTTCCCTCCTAAAAAGTCAGGGGAAATGTGTGTGCATCTTATGGAGCGAATGCAGGGGGGAGGCAGGCAGGAAAAGCCCCAAAGAGCTGCACACAAGCTCCGCAAGGCTCTTGCGGGCTTTTCCACAGGAGGGAGAAGGGACTGACACGGCCAGTCAGTCCCTTCTTCCTCCTCGTAGAAAAGCCTGCAGGAGCCGCACGCTCCTTAAAGGATGCACGGCTCCTGTGGGCTTTTGCGGGAGATGAGGCTTCTGCCATAGCCGCGCGCAACCTGCTCGCTGCCTTGGCTTCTTTGCTCTTTGGGGCTGCGGGGGGGATGGGACCCGGACTTCCCTGGCAGCCCCGAGAAGCTGTGGGAGAAGCGGACGGGCTGCGCACAGCCTGTCCGCTGCTCTTTGGGGCTGGAGGGGGGAAATCATATTTTTTTCTTGATTTCCCCCTCTAAAAACTAGGTGCGCCTTATGGTCTGGTGCGCCTTATGGAGTGAAAAATATGGTATCTTTGTGATAAAGGCTAAAAATACTTGAAATAAACAAGCTGTCATGTTGACAGTATTAGCTGCTCTTCATTAAAGTTGCATTAAGGGCTCCCAACATGTGGGATAATGGGGAAAAAAGCAAACACTTTAATTAGTTTTCAGACAAATATAATTAAACCTGTGAACCTGTTCTCTTCAACTCATTTCCTGTGCGTGAGGTTATCGCTTCCATGGAATGTTTGCTACCGGTCCAGTTGGCTACCAGCAAGCTGCCGCACCCTAATTTCAGCACCCCGTTTTCAGATTGGTAATCTGCCACCCCAGCACTCTATATTTGCTAGATCCCACCAGCCTTTTAAACAAATTTAATTAAGGTGGTTTGTTTCTAATGTAATTACTACACTGCACTTGGATCTCATCTTTAGCCAACAGCACCCTGGAATTATTTATTGTTTCTAATGTAATTGCACTGTGCTTTAATTTCATTTTTAGCCAACAGCATCCTGGAATTGCCAAGTCTGTTGCTGACACCGGTAGCGTGCAAGATAGCCAGGTATGTTTCCAAATGTCTAGCAAAATAAACAAATAAGGTAGCTGAAATTGGTTGCAGTCGTTTCAGTAACTTGAGGTCATTTTTCTTTTCTTTTGGATTGTTGATTGCAATAAGATTTCGTTGTTGAAGCAGAATAACGTTTACCCACTCTTGGACAAATGCTCATGAAACAAGCGCTTTTGCCATACATTTGAAGTAGCACATATGCTACAAGCAATTGGAGCTGCATGTGGGTTTATAATGTTTGCATATGTATGTGTATGTATATGTACACATACACAGAGATATATTCAGTACCAAAGTACCAAGAAGTAGACCAAGTCTATGCATATTTAGTTGGAAATAGGAACGGAAGGCTATGTAAATTTTGGTTCTCTCAGTTTTTCATTTTTTAAATCTTAAATTCACTTCTCCACGTTTCTGCAGCAATTCACATTTTTGGGGACATAAATCCTCATGAAAATCCTTACACATTTGAGGGTGAAATATCCTGTTTTGGCTAATGTACATATTTTTGCAAATAATCTACCCCAATATAATGCATTTTTGGGTTGTATTTTAAAAAATAATCCTAGGAGGTTTAGTTTGGTTAGTATACACTTCCAGGTAAAGGTGACACTAAATACATTACTCCTGGTGACCGAGCCACCATAGCTGCTAGAGGGATATGAAACTTTGTGGCCCTGGCTTTTAGACTCGTGTACGCATGTGCTATCTGAAACCAAAGCAGCTCATGGATTGGCAGATGTGAAATATATTGGCATTATTTTCAGCTCTCCTACCCCACTATCTGGGGCAGTGCTGAAGTTAAGCTTGCTTGTCTATCTGAACACATGGGCCAGATGTGTGCCATGAAATATTCCCTCGATACTCTGCAATGTTCAGAGGTCGGTGGCAGAGGTATATGGATTCCTAGACAGACAGGTTGCGGACAGGGTTCCCTGAAGGTAACTATTGTTTTCCACTAAAAGGGCACTTGAGTTAGCCTTCCTTTTAAGACTGATACAAATAGAATCTCCAGTTTCATGTACTGTAGGGAAAGCAGCAAACGCTGACATGCTTTTTCATTTGGTCCCTAGACTGATGAAAATAACCTAAATGACTTTGCACATCTGAGCCAGTATATTTCGCCTCCTACTCCACCTCTTCTGGCTCTGTCTGTAAACAGAGCTGAAGCTCCCAGCGGAATCTTTCCAACAGAGGGTGAGCAAATTGTTCTAAGAGATCTTATGGGGTTAAAGTCTTCCCCCACAATGCCTGACTGTGAAAGGGAACAAAGATTGACAGCAAGAGACCTACACATCCACACTGTACATTGAAAGCACACCTTTCCCCGAAGGTTCCTGGGCACCATAGTTAATGGTAGGGATGTCAAAGAATTCTGCTGGAAATGGAAACAACAGCAGAAGTCACTCCTAATTCACAGGTTCATCTGAGATCAGGCACGGAAATCTCACAAGCGAATGCGAGCAGTTTTTGCTGCTGCTTTTCAGTCCATAAGCGTCACATAAAAGATACACTGTTTTCCGCATTGTTTTTGCCGTTTCTCTTGCACTGAAATGTACTGGAATTAATTATGTAATTAGTTTCAGTCATAGTGGATAGTGAGATGAACAAATGTCTGTTTTAGCAGAAGCCAAACTGCAGCAGAATGGAAACGGATTGCGACAAAGCTAGGTCAGGACTGAAATCACTGTCTTACATTCATAGTTAAGAGTGCTGGGAACTGAAGCTCTGTGAGGGGTAAACTATGTGTCCCAGCATTCTTTGGGGGGGAAGCCATGTTCTTTAAACGTATAGTGTTAATATGACTTGACAGAAATCAAAGCCTCTGGAAACCTAATGGGAAAAGCAGGAAAAGCCTTGAATCTCATGCTCTGCTTGTACGTGTGTGTAGATAAACCTTATAACACATACACAAAAATGACAATTCTCTAGGGACCTTCATTCCAAGGAAACCAAGTACAAAGTATGTGCTAGGACCCCTCTCACCACTCTCATTTTTGAGGGTGTGCAACAACTCGGTAGTTAAAAATGGCATAACTTAACAGCAGCAGGCTTTTCCTGGCTCTCTTACAAAGTAGGAGGCAGAGTTTGCTTAAACGTAAGTGACCCCAGTGCATGCATTGTCTAAGCAAACACCGTTGTCGGGGAGCCTCTAAGGAGTCACTTGTCATTGCTGGCATGTTCCAACGACACTAATCCCAACCCCGGTGCTTGCCTTTCCTTTGACCGAGTGCCCCTGAGGGAGGATAATTTGGCTTAATTCAGTTTTTACATCATTAAAATTAATCCAGCCGCCTGTGTCACATCACAGACTAAGTGTTTTGTTATACAATTAGCACAATCCCCATAGAACTTATATTTGTTATTTCACATACAGTATATGTACCGTACTTTTCCATGTATAAGACTAGGGTTTTTTATTTTAAAATTATGTTCAGAATTGTGGGTCATCTTATACACGGATACAATCTCCCCGCTCCCCCACTTTTTCAAGTTGGAGTCCCCCAAAACAGGGGACGTCTTATACATGGGGGTGTGTTATACACGGAAAAATATGGTATATAGAGCACCATTTGTCCAAGGAGCTCAGCCATGTAAATACATGGTTCTCCCCTTCCTCATTTCAACCTCACAACAATCCTCTGATGTAGGTAGGTTACCCTGAGAGGTCATGATTGGCCTAAGGCCACCCAGTAAACTTTGTGGCTGAGAGGTGATTTGAACCCGGGTTTCCTTGGTCCTAGTCCAACTCCAGCCACAACACCTCTCTGTAGTAGTGCAGACTTTTTGTAATTGCCCATATGTTGCACGGTTTCTGCTTTTGATAGGAGCTATGCAGTGGCAGGTTCCCAGTAGACATGCCTGGTCTCATTAATCTCTAGGCGTTTAGGCATTGTTTTGTTTATTTAAAAGCATTTCTAAAATGCTGAATATTCAAAATCTCTATGCAAAACTACAAGCATTAAAACATTACCGTCCTGGCAGAAATATATTGATCGGGGAAAGCCTGGGCAACACAATATATGTGTTAGCAAGTTTTAAAATTCCCTTCCCACCCCTCAAGAGGAATTGTTGCAGTGACACCTTCAGATGGTATGTCTGAGGTACGTGAAGGGAAAAGTCACAGAGAAAGATTTGTTTCATACGGTGTGGAGTTTTGCGCACGAGCATCTCGTACAGCCAGATACAGGCAGAATGTTAGTGTGGGCTGTGTGCCTGGATCTTGGGAGGCAGGCGGGGATCTGATGCTCCAATTTGCCACACCAAAGACCCCTAAAATACTGCAGATCTTTCTGTAGAACCAGGCTTCTTTTCTTCTCGGAGGCACTCCTGTGTCAGATTTCTTTATCCTGGGCTTTCCGCATTTTTTAACCAGCACAAGTATACTAATCTTGAGGTTTCTTTTCCTCAGGTAGTGAGTTGATCAGACAGCTGCAACACATCAAGGCAGAACGAAAGCACCTGGAGAGGGCTAGAGAAGAGCTGGTTAAAAAAGCGAGGAGCTTACTGGAACAGAACAAACTCAGGAGATACCAGGGTATGTGTTATTAGGCTGAGATATCTGGTGAGGTTGTTATCCACACCCACACCCACACCCACACACAGCCCTCCTTAGTTTTTGTTTTAGGCCAGTTGCCAGAAAAAACCGAACAGCGAAGTCTCTCTGCTCCACCCCACCTTCTGCTTTTTAAAAGTTGTACTTAGTTGAACAGGCAGCTTTTGCGTTGGCCTCCATTGTCTTGGGAGTCACAAAAGCAGTGTCTTGGAAAAAGGGAACCCCAAGAGATACACTGACAAAGGGTAGCTGCTTTATGTATATAAAAACCAAGGTAGCTTTTGGCTGGTCGCGGGTGCGGTTTAGTGGGTTTTGACAGGTCAAGGGAATAAAGAAGGTGAAGGAAGAATAACTTTATTTCTGCTTGAGTGGAGGTGGTGGAGGACTGAGGAGCTAGAAAATCTAGAAGATAGCATCATTGTTGGAGGTGGGTTTGCTTTACTTCCCCCTCCATGGCAATATGTCATCTAGCACCCTGGTTTCCATCAGAATTGGACCATTTCTTAGATGTCTCTCAGTTTATACCCCTTCTTTACCTTTGTTAAAGCAAAGCCTCATACCTTCCTGCAAACCACACATTCAAGAGTTTGGGTTTCCACATGCTAGAGTCCAGCTATTCTCTTTTAAGTACTGTATGAAAGCCGTGGCACTTGACCTAGCATGTTAAAATTTATACAATGTTTTCAACTCTTAATATTTTTGGTTTATGTTTGAACAGACAATATTGCTTACTATTCTGATTCTTAAGTTACAATCCTGTATTCTCCTAGGACTAAGCCTCACTGAACTAAACAGGGTCTGAAAACCTGAATAGACTTGCGCCATTGAGAATATCATTTTGATCTGTGCTCTGGTTTCCCCGTACAGCTCGTGATTCCTGGAAAAAGAAATATTTTGAAGCTAAAAAAGTCACAGCTTCCTTGGAGGAAGTTTCAAATAAACTGCGGGAAGAATTAGAGCTTCACTACCAGAAATTGTTGATGCAGCTAGAAGCTAGGGATATAAGGAAAAAACGAAATAATTTGACACAAGTTGCTAATTCAAAGGTAATGCTGTTTGTTCAGTCTTTAGCTCCCCTCTCCATAAAATCTAAGCTCCTTCATGCCATTTAGACAGATAAGTGTTCTTCAGATTTTATAATAACCCTAGAAGAGAGTTTAATAATTTCCTTCACTAATCTGACATAATCCCTGCCTGTATAATTTAATTTGAGCTACTTTTTATATCTCAAAGGCTCAATTCCTTAACTGAACACGCTCATCAGGAATATTTGTATCAGACTGTTTTTCTTTTGCACAGGAAAATTATATCCATGCAGATTAACTTTCAAGCCATGATCCTAAACATACACTTACCTGGGTAGTCAGTCCTTTGCTACAGGGATGGGCAAGCTGTGGATTTTCAGATGTTGTCATACTACAGCTCTCTGCCTTCATCCTTGACCATTGACCATGCCAGCTGGGGTTGATGGAAGTCCAACAACTTCAGAAGGACCACAGGTTGCCCATGCAAGCTTTTCTGTATCAAGGCATTGTGTTTAGAATGTGAAAATAATGGAAATTGATAGTGACCTGCACTAGAAGACAAATACTATAATGGCAAGAGAGAGAGAGAGAGAGAGGGAGAGGGAGAAGTCCCTCAAACTAGATGAAATGTAAATTAATACATAGCATTGTAACAATGTGGCCTTGCCAAAAATCATAGCTTACAAACAGGAAAGATGGAAATTTCTCTGCAGGCTCTTTCCCCCTCAATTTGAATTGGCATAACACACTGCTTGCCTGATTCAACTCCGATATGTAATTAAATTGTTTTGTGTGTGTAAAATAGCTTTCTCGCTGGCTCGACAATGAAACTCATGAGAATACAGTTTTAAGTTAATTAAATCCTTCCCATATGAATCATGCCCTTGAGATATCAACACAGTTCTGCTAATTACTCTGAGAACCAAAGGATTTGCTTGTGTCTCAGCCTTTTCTCATGTAGCAAACTTCCTCCTGTTTACATCTTTCAAGTTATCTTCCTGTTAAACCAAGATTTATTCCAGTTATATATCGCAGTTATAAGGCATGAATGATTCCCCCCCACTTCAGATCAGCTTCTGTTTACAGCAGTGACAGTGTGCCTGTGATCTGCCAGATGCTGTTGGACTCCTACCAGCCTCGGCCATCATTGCCAGTGGTCAGGGATGATGGGAATCGGAATACAACATCTGGAATGCCACAGGTTCTCCATTCCTGGTTTCGATCATGCGTTAAGACAACATCTTTGCCAGCTCTGTTCATTCCCACAACTGAGTTCTGCATTTGCACGGAGCAACTCTGGAACTTTCTAGAATGTTAGTCAAGGAGCTGGTGTTCTTTCCTGCTCGTTCTGGTAGAGAAAGATGTGATTATTTGAGCACATTCTGAGTGGGTAAAGGAAACACATTCTTGACCATTTTCACTACTGCACGGATTGTAGCACCAGGAACTTCCTCATTTAGTTTCTCACAGCATTCTATCTTCATTTTCAACCATTTCAGCTACCACTTGTTGTGTTAGTTTTCCTTTGTGGCAATGGTGCTGCCATTTTCCTTTACAAAGCTGTGAGGCCAGGTGACATCTATGACAATTGTCTCTTCTATTTGGGTGAAGGAAAGCCATCCAATAGATAGATAGATGCAATAATTGCCTGAAATAATAGCTGTAAGGAGAAATTAATACTCAATTTTATTATATAGTCACACATTCAAACTCAAAACTATGTGATATCAAAAGGGGAGATGGGAGGGTCTAAAACTGGCAGTACAATCAAAATACAAACCACAAGATTCCTTGCCCATTTTCCTTCATTTGCCGGAGAAATATTAGACAAAACTGGATCCCTTGATTCCAGAACATAGCCTCTTGTCTACCCCAATCCCCAAAATGGAGTCCAGCACACGCCCTCTCACAATAAAGAGGTGTGGAGAGACAGGAAGATAACTCAAGTTGGAAGCACCCATATCTGCACATGAACTCTCTCGCTCTTTGAAATTCACCTGTGCCTTTTAATAGATAGAAGTCTCATGGGGAGAAGGGAAGGACAAATTTATTTTGGGCTTGGGTCAGTCTAGGGCAGCTATAGCAAAGTCTACCAGGTGTGTACCAACTAAGCATGGAAGTAAATTCACATGCAGAATTGCATTATTTTATGTTAATACAGTGAGGCCATGGCTTCACCTGCCATGTGACCAATCAGTTCACCATTTGAGTAACTGTATGAGACATAGCCCTGATGTTCTGCACTATGTATGTTTCTGGGAGGAAGGTGATACAACAGGAGCTTAGGGACTAAATCATATAATTTTAAGGAGAGATGCAGATTTGGACGATTTGCACAGACAGTGATATTAATAAGTGCAGGATGTATGTTAACTCTGATCTGTATGAAACCTTTCTTTGTTTCTTCTAGAATAATACAATAATCCAGATCACCACTTTGCAGCACGAAATTGAACAACTAAGGAGAAAGGTTGATAATGCAAAAATGAAGCTTGTCATAGAAATTAAGGTATTACACACTAACTTGCCTAGTTCGTTTTATATCCAAGTGAAGAATGTAAACATTATATTTAGATTTTTATCTCAAGCATACCCTTTAGTGTTTTTCTTTTTTTAAAAAAAAATCATTTAAGTCACACTTTTGCTTTCAGAAGCTTCATAGCTTCTTGAGAGCTTCATAGTTAAGTGAGGAATCAAACCTGGACCTCCCCAGTCATAGTCAAACACATCACCCACTACACCACACTTGGCTCTTCAGTAGCTTAAGACTGGAGAGCTGGAGGTCAAAGGAAATAACTTCTCTTGCTTTTCAGTTGCTTTTGTTCCGTAGGCGTATTCTGAGTTCATTGCACTATGGAGCTGAGGACTAAAGGGTGTTCACCCCGGAGTTAAGCACATGGTCATATTTGAGATCTGGTTCACCAAAACATTGAACTTTAACTTTGCTTCCATAGCAGTGGTGTTTCTGTAAGCAGCCACTACTCCACTAAGGAGGAAGGAGAGGCTATTTTTCAAAAAGCAAATATGCAACCCTTGTTCTTTGAATAGGGACCTGAAAGTCTGTGATGCTGCACCAGGGAATGTCCTACACCACATAGAAAAGCATTATAGCTTTTTACTTGTTCGTCCCATGTCTGGAACCAGCAAATACAACTGGTGTCCACTGTGGTGGTTGCTGTTTTCAGTTGGCAAAGGGCATGTAACTGATGAACAAACCACTCGTCTTGCCTTTCATTTGCACTGAAATGATGGGTGGAATAGCATACGGGCAGCATAATTGCAATAGGGTACACAAATAAATTTGCTGCAGCGGACAGCAAGACAAATAGCGTAGATTTCGGCAGAAGATGAATTGCAGTGGAACAGAAAACAGTTCTGCATGCAACTGACACAGGGTGGGACAGAACATGATGTTTTCTCACATCCGCTGTGCCTGTACCACTTTTTCAAAATTCAAAATGTGACTGGGATCCAAACATGTTTAGCATCTATGCTTTAAACATTGTACCTGCCAACATGGAGTACCAAGATGGCATGTGTCAGAAAAATCACAGGAACGAAAACACACCACTTTGAGATCTGCAGTACAATCTGTGGTATTTCTTCACCTCATTTCCCACTCTCATTAATGGAAATATGATGTAATTTGTACACGAGGGTTTGCCATTACTAGTGACCTTAATATGCCAGAAACAAACCAAAATGGTTCATCCTTTAACTTATTGGGCTTGAAAGATGAAAGAACAAGGAAATGGTTATTAATCCACATAAAGGTTGAACTGTATCTATAAAATAATACGAAGGTTCTAATTTAATTCTCCTTTTTGCAATCTCGGAATATTTTTTTCTAGATGAGGAAGCAGGCAGCTTCTGATTTGCGAGCACTGAAGGCAGAACTGGCCCACAAGAAAGTTCAGTCTTCTTTAAGACTCCACCCTGAAGGACAAGTCTATTAGCTGGCTTCCGTTCGTGCGATTCTTCTCTGCATATTTGTATAGCTACTCCCAGAACCTATTTCTTCCAGCTTTAAACTTGTTATAGGAGCTATAGGAGAGATGTTGTATGTGTTGAAAATGAATGTTGAACAACAGTAATTCATCATGACACTGATCTGTAATAATTCTACTGCTGGCGTTAAAATGGCATTATCACCTCATTCCAGTGACAGATATCCATGTGCAGGGACAAAATGTCAGTTGGAAGAAGGAACATAGGAAGAGCCCACTGGATCAGGGATATGACCCATCTAACATCCTGTCTTCACAACAGAAAGACCACATACCTATTTTCCAGGTGATGGTAGCAATAGCAGCCTGGTCACTAGATAGCTGGGGTAGGTGGGTGAGGTGGACCTGCCCTCACAACCAGCTGATGCCACAGTCGGCCTCAGCCGGCCGCGGGAGCTAATGGGATTACCTGCCGGAAATGGACATTTAAACAGGTCAGTCATGGCTCTAGTTGGCCAGGGGTTGTTTCAGCGACGGACCTGACAGAGCCAGTGTTCAGTCGGGTCCACTGCCAAGGCATAAAAGCTGGCTGCATCGCAAGCAGGAAGTTCAGTCAGGAATTGGCCCATAGCCATCATGGCTAGTAGCTGTTGATTTGTTGAGCCATGAGTTTATCTCATCCTCTTTTAAAGCCATCCGAGTAGGTGGCCAGCACTGTCTTCTGTGGGAGCAAGCTCCATAGTTCAAACATGCAGTTGCTTGAAGAAGTACCTCCATATCACCTGAATCTTCCCACATCCAGCTTCATTGATGTCCATGAATTCTTGTGTTATGAGAAAGTGGGGGGAAGCTTTCCTCTATCCATTTTCTCCATTCCACACATAATTTTATAAACGTCTGCCATGTCACCTCTTACTTGCTTTTACTCTAAACTGAAAAGTCCCCAATGCTGGAACCTTTCCTCACAGGGGGAGGTGGAAAACCCTTCTAGTGTGTATTGCAATGGCATCCTTCAGAGACAGAGGAAGCCTGACTCCAAAACCATTGCCCCTCTGGTAGTTGCCTTCTTCTTAATGGCAAAGAGCCACCTGGGTTGACTCCTGAGCTCTTCCCACCATCCTCTGGTGATTAGGATGCTGTCTGAAGCTTTGCCCAGACGCTGCACGTTGCCTGTTAAGTAGAGCTGGTTCTGCATGTGCCACAGTGTGTGTGGACAGTTATCTGCTACGGATTGGGGAAAACCAACATTTATAAGAAATCTAAACACAAAAGACCAAAAAAACCCTATGAGTAAACTTCTCCACTTTTTGTATTTATTTCAGATCTAAGTGTTTTGAAAATCAAAAACTGGTTATAAACTTAAACACAACCTTAAACACACTTGTAAGTTGCAAGTTGCATCTAAATAGGGCTGTAGACACGCTACACTTTAAGCCACATCCTTTTTTCAAAGAATTCTGAGTACTGTAGTTTGTTAATGGGGTTTTTTTGGGGGGGGGGCAGGTTGAAACTGTGAGGGGTAAAACTAGTGTCCAGAATTCTTCGAAGGAAGGAACGGGCTTCAAATATATAGCAATTACACAGCCCTAGTCTTGCTTCCATGTAGAGTGAGATAGAAGGAAGTAACCAGTATCTAGTATTATTACTATATTCTTTCTCATTTATGGAAACCACTTTTGACTCCTTTTTCCTCCTACGCAGTTGCAATTTTGGTGTAAAAGAAAGGTATCTGCTTCTGAGTAAGCTGCTACATACCTTCTTGCTTTTCACTATCAAGCCCCAAGGTTTTCATTCTTAGCAAGATCAACAATATAGTAGAAGACTGCTATTGGGTTTACATTTGCTCGTGTCTAGTTGAAGTCTCTTGGTGGCTTAGTGGGGAGCTTAGATGGGTGAACGATGCACAAAGCAGATAATGGAGATCTATCTAAACCTTACGCCTTAGGCCCCACACTGGTGTTGGTTCATCTTGTAAACAAGCTTCCGTTCTTTCTGTAGAAGTTGAGAAACAACTTGCCCTTCACAAGATCACAATGCATCTAAATAATGACAGCTGATGGATTTACTTTTAACAAAAATTGATTTGGTTAAAAAAGGTAAACGCATCAAAGTAAATCCATCAGCCACCATATTCCGATCAGATCTTAGACCTGTTATCATCCTCAGAGAATGAGTTTCTGGAATGTAAATGCCTCATCTGTGGTAAATTTCGGCAAGCCCTGCCCGTGAGCTCTTCCTGCCTGAAAACCGTGTCATACGTCTAGTCAAGGAGCCAAATAGGAGGCATTAACATGGTAACAGCTGGAAAGCTGACAAGGAAGTGCTAATTACTATGAGTAATAGACGATATGATATATGAAAGAGGATATTAAAATCCTGCAACGCTTTTGGGAAGAGGAACTCTGCATACATTGAGCAATCCCTAGCACTAGTATTATTCAGAAAAACCTTTATCGGGGTGCACAAACTTTTTTCAAAGAGGGCCAGATTTGATGAACTGAACATACATGAGGACCGACCAAAATTGTTGAGCTTTTTGCTTTTTTGGGGATTGAAGTTGCTGAGCTTTTTGGGGCCTTTTACCCAAGGACATGTACTGCCATGGGGCCCCCTGAAACAGACTTTGGACATGCCTGCTTTAAATCCTTTTTAGGATGGATAGGGACTCACTCTATTTCACTTCGTGCTTAATTTTAGATGCCAGATTTGTTTGCTTTTAATTAAGAAAACAGAAGTTGCCAATTCATTCCTGGTTCAAATCAGTGCTATTTTTCTAGAAAAAAAGGTGCCGGAACTCACCACGAACCTCTCCCTTGTTCTCTTAGAATGGCAATGGCACCCACCTGAGAGGTGCCACAACAGAATTCCAGCGAGTTCTGCCCTGGTTCAAATGTGTTTTGAATCCTTGGTGACATCAGCTTTGTTTACATGGAGGGAGCAGTCTTCCTGCAGGAGGCAAAGGTTCGTGTTTTTTGCCTCTCTGTTTAAACAGGGGAGATCTGTTGTCCATCACTGGACAAAAGAAATGCACAGTTTTCAAATCTTTTAGCAAAGTGGGGGGACCCACAAAATATTTTTTTAAAAAGTGATGCAGAGCAATGCAAAATAAAGCTGCTAAACGTCAAAAATGGCACACAGGTGTTACTAGCCATCAGAGATGTACCTAAGAGACCAGAGTTATTGGGGTGAGATTGCAGCACCCAAAATGGCTGCCATGCTTTCACACGAAGAATGGGATGAAGAGGTATGCCATTGCTTGTTAGCAATGTACATATCTGCGGAACAAAGTTTGGAGGATTTTCAATTATTTTAACTATTTCTTTACTGAGTTAATATTCCTTGTAAACCACTTCGAAGTTTTATTACAATCTCTCTCTCTCTCTCTCTCTCTCTCTCTCTCTCTCTCTCTCTCTCTCTGTGTGTGTGTGTGTGTGTATTATGCAAGTTAAACACCCGTGTATGTCGTGATCTGTGCACAAATATTCTAAATAAATGGGTGGAATCGTCACTTGACAGCCAGTCAACTTCGAAGGGACGGCAGAGAATAAAAGTCTCAGTGCCGACCATCTGACTTTCTCACTTCCTTGACCAGGTGATTGATTAAAGTAGATTAGTGCCAGGACTGAGCAAGCTATTTAGGCTCGTGCAAGAGGCTTGCGCTAGCCCAATGGAAAATTTTGCTTCCCATTTCACTCACCCAGGGCACTTCTGAACAGACTCCCAAATGCTACTTAGGCTACAGTCCTGTACACAGGACTATAGATAGCATCTTTCACTGCAGATAATAGCAGCATGTGTGTGTGTTACTTTTTTTTGGCATCAACAGGCTTCCTCTTTCAATACTAAAATGGTGCATGACAAAAATAATGTTACATTGTATGAATGGTTTTAAAGATAATTTTAAATGAATTTATTAAATTATTTTTTGGAAAGAAGTTTAGAACTTAAAAAAAAAACCTCTTCAACTGATCTGATAAAAACAAGCCTAAACATGATACAACTATTAACAATGTTTTGTTATATAGTTTTTAAAAGTGAAGGCCTGAAGACACAACCAAACTGTCCTACTGAATTACTCATATTGAACTAGACTATGGAAACCACAAATAATTCAGCAATGCAATATTTTTTCTCCCCATCCAAATGATGGACTGTTCATTTTTCAGTTTGTGTATGAGAAATTGTGCATGGCTTTCATTTGCGCAGCGTGATGCTCATTTTAACTACAGCAGCATATCCCCAAATACTGCCTAATATTCATAGCATGCATGTTTTAAGTCAAGTAATGAGGTCCAACGGCAGCTATAGAAGGTTTTCGATTGGTGACTCATTTATTACATTTTTATGTTGCCTTTCTTCCAGGGAACTCAAGGTAACATACACAGGGTCATTGCTGTAACGTTTCCCCCCTTCTTATACAGAAATAAATAAATGACACTAAGAATCCATTGGTACAATAGTACACAGTATGCCTTTTTACTGTAGTGAGGGAAAGGTGAGGTACATTTCAAAGGATTCTCCCCTCTTTGCAGTCTATGCCCACGAAGGAAAGTAGCCATTCACAGCTGTCCAAATTTTATCCCACATTTTCATAAAGTCACTTTGGTTTCAAGGCCTCCCACATTGCTGCTGTCTGCCCTTGTGCTGCCGAGTCTCCAGAGTAGCTGAGACAATCCGCATGCCACATGCCAATGCCTCGTAAGCCGCGTTTTTTCACGTAGGCTGCCTTCAGAGAAATGCTCCTGGGATCGTCAAACCACACTTGGTGGAAAGCGCCCCATGGGTCCTGAAAATGTGTCAAACGAAGAAAAGATGTTAACGTGCTTTCCCTGTGTTCTTTCCAAACACAGCCTCACAGCTTTAGGTATTCATGAGCATAGGAAAAATCCAAGGAACTGGGGCAGGCTTCCTGAGCCTTGGCCCTCCAGATGCTTTTGGCCTACAATGCCCATGATCCCTAGCTAGCAGAACCTGTGGTCAGGGATGCTGGGAATTGTAGTCTTAAAACATCTGGAGGGCCGAGGTTGAGGAAGCCTGAACTAGGACTATACACACACTGGCCAGTTAAATAGATCTGGTATCTTCTGCAAATTATTCTGCAGAAAGCTGATGGGAAAGAGTAGGCAAGTTTTCTTCTGTCGTTCTGTCGGTTCCCTCACTGTGAGAAGTGATGTTACAGGGAACCAAGCAGAAGGTCTTCTCAGCAGTGGCGCCTGCCCTGTGGAACGCCCTTCCTTCAGATGTCAAGGAGATAAAGTATCACACAACTTTTAGAAGACATCTGAAGGCAGCCCTGTATTGGGAGGTTTCAAATGCTTGATATGTGTTCTTTATTATGTTTTTTAGATATGCTGCAATCCGCCTGGGGAAACCCAGCCAGACGGGCGAGGTATAAATAGGAACTATCATTATCATTATTATTAAACTTGCTTGACAGTAAAAGTAAAATCAATATGGTGCTACTGGGAAGCTAAGCCCCTTCAATACAGACTTGGTTACAGGGACTGATGCAACTAGCTAAAAGAGAAATTTTAAAGAAATAATTGCTAAAAACTGGGGGGAAAGAAACTGTGCCAACAAAAAAAGGAATGGCAAGTTAAACTGTTAGAGTATATTGAACTGGCTAGATTAACAGAGGCAGTTAGAGATCACACTAGACAAGAGTTTCAAAAAGCATGGGGAAAATGCAGAGAATACTTCACAAAACAGTGCCCTAAAATACATACCTGAATTTGTTTCTATTAATGTCTTCAGGAGACTTTGTGGATATTTATATAATTAGGAAAATCTTAATAATTATTCATAAAGGAAACAGTTTATAAGAAGTAAATAAAGAGGCCAGATACAGGATAAAGGAAGCCTTTTATTTGGTTGTTTGTATTGTTGAATGTTATACTCACTGTATGTTAAGTTCATGTTTAATAAGGGTGGATTTGTGTATTGGGGGTTTGTGTTATGTTGTAAATAAAATTCCAATAAAAATTAAATAAAAAAATAAACAGATTACTTTCCGTCCACCTTTCCTCCTCCTTTGGTTAAATTATTGCTGTTGTGCATTTATCATTTTCTCTCTTCTCCAATTATTACAGAAAACTGATAGACCACCATGAGATTACCAGAATTTTGTGTGTTGGAACTAGGAATGTACGAGGTGGCTTCTTGCCAGGAGGGATTAAATTCTGAATGAACAGATGCACTGCTGTAACTTTCTTTTTTATATATAGAATAATAAATAAATGGTTTTTTTAAAAAAAACATATAAAGGATTTTTTTACAACTTGCCTTGTATTCCACATATGGAGCTTTCTGTTCCTTATCCCACAGGATCCCAGACAGTGATCTGGGAACTATCTGCTTCATTATTGCTTTGTAGGGCACTTGGTGTCCCACAGGATCACTGCATGGAGCCCCTCGGAAGGGGATTTTTGCAACGGAACAAACATGGTCCTGAAGAAACACAACTTGTGTCATGCAAATGTACTAAAGCACAAAAAGCGCTATGTAGATCATGTGCATATATTTTAATTCATCCTCCACACAAGAGTCTACTACCCCATTAAAATCTCTCAGAAATAAGATATCTCCTGTTTAACAAGCTCTCCATTTTCTTAACAAAATTCTGCTTAAGTACACCACGCACCAACCACGGTGTGCAAATTTATAAAATTGGGCGGAGGTAAAACGCAGGCTGTTACAACAGTTTTGAAGCAGTGTAGAATCCGTGCCCACAAAAACAAACTTTATAAACCACAGTGAGCAAAACATAGTTAGAAATTAGCAGTCTTTCTCTTACCTTAGATAAACCTCGGCAGGTATAATCATAGCCATACCATGGAACACCCATCACAAGCTTTTTGGGATTAATGCCGATGCGAATATAATTGTCATAGCCTAATTTAATATAAAATTTAACATTTACCTGCCTGCTTTTTTATTCTTACTTCCACGCCTGCAGCTACGTTTGTAGCATTAACAAATCAAAAGCTGTTGAGAAACATTCAAGATACGACTAGCCCTCCAAGTCTTTTTCACATGCAGCCTTTGAAGAGTGCTGTGTGATTCCATTTTCCATGTGATTTATGTCTTACGCTTATCAAGAAGGCACCTTAATATGAGAACAGATGTTGACAGATTTTAAGGTGGCTACATTTCCTTTAGAACCAAGATCCACAACTGGGATTTCTACTACTGTAGCTGCTTAAAGATGTGCATCGCAACTCTCTCAAACATGGTTTTAATGTATCGCTTCCAAGCAATATACAGATTTATTCGAAGTTCCACAATTTACATAATTTATTCTAATTAAGGTTCTTAGGGTTGCTAAGCCTACTGCCAATTTCCAGTGGATTTTCATAGTCCATAAACTGAGGCTAACTCTTACCAGCTAAGGTTTGGTTGTATGGAGCGTTAGCTCCTAGTATGCAGCGTGACCACATCTGACTCTGTTCATCATAAGACATCACAAACACGAAATCACAGGAATTAGCTATCCCAGTATAGTTGTATACTCTTTTGTATATGCATTCTGGACACCAGGGTACATCAAAAGTTACCTGGGGAGGAAAGAGAACTGCACATTTGTCACTAAACAGGCATTATTTGTAGAAACAATTGTCAATGTTATTGCAGTAACAACACACACACACAAGCATACCCTATAACATGGGTAGGCAAACTAAGGCCCGGGGGCCAGATCCAGCCCAATCACCTTCTAAATCCGGCCTGCAGACAGTCCGGGAATCAGTGTGTTTTTACATGAGTAGAATGTGTCCTTTTATTTAAAATGCATCTCTGGGTTATTTGTGGGGCCTACCTGGTGTTTTTACATGAGTAGAATGTATGCTTTTATTTAAAATGCATCTCTGGGTTATTTGTGGGGCCTGCCTGGTGTTTTTACATGAGTAGAATGTGTGCTTTTATTTAAAATGCATCACTGGGTTAGTTGTGGGGCATAGGAATCTGTTCATCCCTCCGCCAAATATAGTCTGGCCCCCCACAAGGTCGGAGGGACAGTGGACCGGCCCCCTGCTCAAAAAGTTTGTTGACCCCTGTCCAATAACATTGCATTAAAAATTACAATCGAAAAAATGTTTCCACCTCAACTGCAGCATTATCAGAACCATATATATATATATATATATATATATATATATGCCCATTATTTTTTCCAAATTATAACAAGGGAGTGTCATTAGAGCTGAATTCTATACATGTTTCCTCAGGTGTATGTCCTACTGTAATCAATGGGGCACACACCCAGATAAGTGTGGGATTCCAGCCTAAATTTCAAGACTAGCTTGCCAATTTTCTCCATTAGTGCAGCCACCCACAATTTGAGCAGCCAGCTCTTCACACTTTGCATATATTTGGGTTTTCCCACAGCCTAGCTGAACACATATATGTTGTGAATTCAGTGCTTTTTTCTGGGGGGTACGCAGGGGTATGCATATTTTGTGAATCTAAGTTTGGCCTCACTGAGGGGCAGTATTTCAATATGAGTAGGAAAATGAGAGTACCCCTAAACATTTTTTTTTTAAAGGAAAAAAAGCACTGGCTATCCGTTACAGAATAGGTGTTCACAGAAGGCCAAAAAGCTGGCACAGATACACTAAAAGAACGCAACAGTGCTCTCAGATGGGATTGTGGCTTAAGTTGATAAAGAGTTGGTTAGTTGGTTTTAGGTTATAGTAGTACCTCAGGTTAAGAACTTAATTCATTCTGGAGGTCCGTTCTTAACCTGAAACTGTTCTTAACCTGAGGTACCACTTTAGCTAATGGGGCCTCCCGCTGCTGCCACCACACCGCCGATGCGCGATTTCTGTTCTTATCCTAAGCAAAGTTCTTAACCCGAGGTACTATTTCTGGGTTAGCAGAGTCTGTAACCTGAAGCGTCTGTAACCTGAAGCATCTGTAACCTTAGGTACCACTGTATTTGTTTTTTACAAACAGTGAACCTGTGGGGGGAAACGTATTTTTAAGACCCAGACTATTCTTGGGACTGTAATTAGTTTTAACTTGTTTTTACTATTATTAAGATCCCAGGATGGGTTACAACAATTTAAAATACCTTATAGTGAAGAAGAGAGAGTAATAAATTGAAATGCTAACCATCATCATCAACTGCTACTATAGGAACATAAGAAGAGAATATGAAGGACTTGCTCACAAATTTATTGGCAGCTGCATGAATTATTATAGCTAGGAAGTGGAAGGGGTAAGCAGAATATAAAATGGAAGAATGGTATAAAGAGGTGTGGGATATAGCTATTAATGATAAATTAACATGTAAGATGGGGAATATGCAGGAGAAATGACTTTGAGGAGATATGGAAGGTGTTTGTAGAATTTGTACTGTAGAATTTTGCAGTTCTTCATACTTTTAGAGTTCTACACTTACATTCAGGACCAAATTTTTTGCTCACAATGGGAAATGCCAGCAGGAGCCTTGAATCCCATCCATTGGAGTGACACACTTCATCATGTGATATGTAAACAACCTGTAAGAGGAATCTGCTTTATTTTTACCTGTGATCCTGGAATTTCTTTGTGAAATGCTTCTGTCATTTCTTCAACCAAAGCTGTCAATGCATAATATTTGGCCGAATACTTTTTAACCTGTTGCTCAATGTCTATATTGATTCCATCCATGTACTGCCTTTTGGCCAGGGCCACCTGATGGTTTATCCAGGCTGTCCTGGCAGCAGGGTTAACAATTTTCTTCAGAGGTATGTCTCCTAAAGAACAAATGGCAATTAGTTGTCAAAGTTTTGCATCACTAGATGATATATATATATTTGGCCTATTGTTTTTATTGATTTTCCAATTTTTTTAAAAAAAACAATTTTTCACCAAATTAATACAAATGTAAATACAAATTTCACTAGATGAGATGTTTATATAAACAGCTGCATTCTGGGTCATTGCACACATCAGCGGGACATGAACTCCCATCACACCCTCTTCCAGGTCTGAAAATGGCGCATGGTTGCATGAGCTTTGAACATGTGCAAAATGGTTGTTCCCTGTATATAAAAATACCACCGACCTCTTAAATATGTTTACTCAGAAGTCTACCCCATGACTTTAGGATTAGAGTTTGAACCACTTATTTCATTACTGTCTATATCTATAGACTTTGAATCTCCTTTTGGCGGCGGGGTGGGGGGGGAGATAAGTTTTTTAAAATGGTTGGAAATAAAGTAAACACATTCGTCTTGTTATAGCTCTAATGAAGGGCAATTAGTCAATCGCAATAGTTAGTGGCCCCAGATGGGGGTGCACAGGCCACAGCTGCATACAACCAACTCAATAAAGTCAATTTGTGATACAGATGCAGATGGATTGCTAGGTGTGTATTTTTTTTTACAATAATTTTTATTAGTTTTCAGTTACAGCTATCCAATGATAGTCTCATTATAACAATGCCAAATTATAATACAATTACTAATCCCAATCATTATATAATTTATATAATTTAGGTGGCCTCCCGCATGCTAGAATTGATGGTTTGATGACTTGCTTTGTTTCTGTGTTCCAAAATCTTATTCATCTCAATTACCTTTCAGTCAAAAAAAATCCCTTATACAACAACTGCAATATTAATTATATCCATTCGTCTTCACACATTTAAAGAGTTTATAAAACTAAAGGTGAAGCATTCAAACTACATCCTTATTCCTCCTGTGTGTGACAATTATTCTGTCTGTGGTGTTCCTTCCTGTCCTTGTAAAATGTTATGTCCAGTGGCGTAGCGTGGGTTGTCAGCAAGGCAAGTAATTTGCGCCCCCTAACCCGTGAGCCAGGTAGGGGCAGAGAGCTGCGAGTGCGAGCTCGCCCCCCCCGATGTTGCGCCCGGTGCGGCCGGCCCGCCCTGCACCCCCCACGCTACGCCACTGGTTATGTCTATCTTTTTCCAGCCATTGCTGCTCTCCATCATGCCTTGGGCAAAGCTAATGCCAGATGTGTATCTGCTGCTACAGTGGCTGAATACACAAGCTGATTTTGTTGAATCAGGGAGAGGATGTTTCGCCATATGCCTTTGGGGATTTCCACACCAAGATGGGTGGCGGCAGTTGAACAGCATTCCTGGGAAAGGCTACCTGAAGAACGTCTATGAAATCAGTGGAACTTGTTTAGGTGGGTGAGCAAAGAACGCAGCAGATTCTACATGCATCTAAAGCTGTGAACCTTCAAAAGAGAGATTCCCCAAAAGCAATGCAATGCAGACTATTTTCTTTCTTTTATAGCAGAGGCATCTTAACGTAGGCTGGAGATTATTAGCCAGTTCTAGGCCTCTCAGGTAGTACCAGCTGGTGGAACAACTTACTTTCACACACTACAGAGAAACTGTGATGAGAATCACAGTTGTTATGTGATTCTCATATAGGGTCATATTAAGGTTTGCCGTCACACGTGCACTTAATGGAAGTAAACTTCATTGACCTACAAGAGACATATACTTCAGAAAGCATCCATTCCAAGTCTGCGCAAAAATGTTCTTATTACCCTGCTCAGAAGATACCTTTTAAAACTACTCTGGATCCTTTCGAATGAGCATAGCACATGAGCTCAGGGTCATATTTTCCAAAAGTCGCCACTGTCGTAATTTGCGACCAGTCATAGAGCTTCCAAGTTTTCCCGCCGACATCAAATACAAAGACCTGCAGAAGCATAGCAAAGTAGATAGCTCTCTCTCTCTCTCCCTTAACAGCTGGAGATGTTAACTCTCTTCACCAGCTCTATTTGTTTAATGTCTCAAATGCCAAGCACACTCTCGCAGTTGACCAATAAAGTGTTGTGTTGCGAATTAATAAAAAGTAGGGTGCCCAACAAATCGTGGATCCAGCAGTACACTGCCGCCCAAAAATATATGTTCAATTTGTCTCCTTTGGTCGCTACTCTGCACCCACGTCTTCTACTAAAAGGCAACTCTTTGTCTAGTGTTTTGATACAGAATGCACTGTCACCCAGTTTTGTACAAGGGGAAACTCCGACTTACACATAAGCCCTCCTGAGTCCTAGAGGATGTCACTCGACATCCCAGGAAAGGATTTCTATGTTTGTGCTTCTGTGTCTTTGTTACGTGTTGGGGGGGGGAGATAACAGAGGAAGCTTCTCCTGATATGGAGGTGCGAAAGTTGGTATTTACCACAATAAGTTCCTTCTCTGTAGGGAGGAAGGGGAGGAAGGGGAGGAAGGGGAGTCTGTGTGGAATGTTACCTCCCCCCCCCCATTGGCAGGGAATGAAAAATTTTAGAGGGTACATCTGGTGGGCAGGGCACGCCCCTCACCAGTTCAATTCGTGCTTAAGCAAGCAAGTCAAAAAATAAACAACAGAACAGGAAGGGAAAAACATAACTTGTTAAGGGAAAGTAACTCAAGAGATCCCACAATGTCTCCCTTCTCCTCTTCCCCTTCCACCTCATCTGAGGAAAGCTTGCCTTCCTTCCTTTCTGAACAGATGGAGGTATTGGTGTGGTATGGAAGTTGCCCCGGGCGCAAAATTGTTAGGGGGCGCAAAATTTCAACATCCGGTGCTGTCTCAATACAGCTGCATGCTTCTGTCGCTGGGCTCTTTTGAAAATGGCTTCTCCATGCGAACCAGGGTGTAACCTCTCCAGACAACAGAATGACTCCTCTTTCTCTGCGGCTGCAATCTCCTGGATGACGTGGATACCGTTAGGCTGTTGAATGTATGCATGCGTATTCCAACCGTTTCCCTCCCTCCCATGCGGGCCCCATGCACTGGCAACCCACGATACACCACTGGATGGAGGGAGTGGGTGCAGGCCTGGAAATCGAGAATGGAGTGGTGGTGAGACCTTAAGGCACTCTTTGAGCTGGCTGCCTTCAGAGAGGAGAGTGTCCTATATTCCCTGGAAGCCCCTCTGCCAGAGCTCCTTCCTCCCCTGCTCAATAAAATCAGAGCTACCCTTTGAGGAAGAAAACACAGCAGGCCAAGTAGTAGGGGAGCCTTAAAACAGGTGGCTAGGGCAGGAGGTGACTTTGCAACCGTCTGTTAGATTTATCCATTTTGTTGTTAGGTATTGGCCGATGTGCCCTTTAATCCTATTCATTGCAAAATAACAACAATAATAAATTTTACCCCCACATGGTTCCCATAAGGGACCTTGTTCCTGCGCACCTCGAACTCTCTGCTTTCAGAGATGGGATTGCAGAGCACCGGGTTTTCGCAGGGGCACGTGCCTGAGCCCAACCACAGGCGGAGGAGAAGGGCGGCCAGCAGGTGTGTGTCTCTACTGCCTAGCAACCTCCCCATGCCACAATCTCACTTCCACAACCCCTCCCCCCACCGGAATCAAGATTCTTTGTTGGTGTGTACAGAACTCCCCTCCCCCCTCCTCATTTTCATCCTACGGGAAGTGGGACAAGTCAAATCATTCTGTCTCAGGTGCCAGAAAGTCAACGTAGACTTCCAGAGGATAAGAGCGATAATTCCATAGTCCTTTAGATAATATTTTCCATCATATTTATTTAAATAATTTAAAAAACAACCACCATTTTAAGACTCCGATCCTCTGCATACTATATTCAGCTGAACTAATCGGGACTTATTTCTATTTTCACAGGATCAGGCTGAAAGAGAATTTGGGGCTGTTGACCGTTTCTTGCAAGGGAGTTTGAGTTTTCATCTGCAGCACACATTTAAAACACTTAAATAGTCATGAAGTGTTTTTTGGGGGGAGGGGAGGGGGTTTCATTGGTATCTATAGACTATGCCTGCAATATCCATTCAACCCCTCTATAAAGGAACAGGGTCAAGGAAGCACGTAAAACCAACAAGGACCCACATGGCCGCCTAGTACCCACCGCTTCCCTGGTCAGCAGGTCCCTTTATTATAAGGGAAAGGTGGCGACCCTAGACTAGCCGTCCTTGTGGTCTGGTAAACGCTGCTTGAAAATGCAGCAGTTGAAATGCACCAACTGGTCACTTTCAGTCTGCAGCTGGTTTGAATGGGATTTCAGCAAAAGAAGCACCCCACAGAAAACACGCTGTGTGGCTCAGTCCTAGCAAACAGCACTATGTTCCGTGAGTTAAGCAGGCCCAGGATTGCAGCCGAAATTTCCAGCAACAGTAAATTTAGTAACATTGCTCCACTGCTTCCTTTTCTAACCCAAAGCCCAACCCTATCGAATCAAGACACTACGTGGTGTCGCCCTTGAGCCCTCAGATGAAAATTCCTGGTCCAACTGGGGACTAGGTCTTGCACATGGCTATCGGATCTGTCGCTGTGGGAACACTTCCTTGGCTGATTCTTAACAAGGAAATAAGTTCTAGGCCAGGGGGTGTCCAGAAAAAGGGGTGTGCATGCTGGGTTACTCAGTGATGGCCACCTTAAGTCTGTGGGCTCCCCCTAGTGCCAGTCAGTGCCTCAGACTGGGTTTGTAGATGGAGTTGGTCACCATTTCCCTCAGTCAGCTGCCCCTGCCAGTGTCTGCAGACTGAGGGGGATTTTGGCAGAAGGAGGAAGGCAGCATTTTACAGTATTAGTGAAGGGGGGACTTTTTCAACAAAGAGGAAGCAGCCTAATTTCGCAAGGTTTGAGAGAGCTGCACCTCCTAGCCCTCTGTATTTGGTATCCCTAAATACATCAACCAACAGAAACCCCACCCCTCATCCATTTCCTTTTTACCTTTCGTTAAGGAAGCATTTGACATCTAAGATTGAAAGTGAGACTCAAGTCCTTAATTTTGCAGCCGCAAAGCATCGATTCTGCCTGCTCCTTGGCGTGCAAGTTTGAAGAGCCAGCGCTAGCCAAAAAAATTATTTTAAAAAACGTATCTGCCTCCACTGTGGAAATGTAATATACTATTTCATAAAACAAAATACAAAATAAGGTGTGGCTATGTTGCAGTCAATCTGTTCTTGAAATATAGTGTTTTATTAAATGTCGCAACGGGTAGAAAATTATTGTTATTAAGGAGAACTGTGTGACAAAAGCCCCCTTGGGCTCAGGTAACTTGTTTCATGGTTTTTAAGACCCTTGGCCCATATTTTGTTCCGTTCAGTAGAGTATCTTACTCTCAAACATTTTTTTCCTCTGGACAGATGGCCATTTCCACTGTTGATGATAGCAAAGCTGAGATATATATCTACCTTATCAACAAGTTATAAAGTTACATGTAGATAGGGACTGACATCCCGTCTGTCCATATTATGAAGCCCCAAGGGGAACTAGATAAGCCTGGAGGGCTGTATTTTGACCCTGGGCCAGAGGTCCCCTCACCGCTGCTTTAAGGTGTCGTAAGACTTTTCATTGTTTTTGCTACAGTAGACTACCCCCTCTGGTAAGATGTAAATATCCTTGGGGAAGGGCTGTTCATTCTGTAGTACACTGGCCCTGCGTCAAAGGGTCCCAGATCCGATCCTATCTCCAGGATTGGGAAATGCTTCTCTCTAAACATCTGGAGGGCTATTGCTAGATGGAGCAATGGTCCAAGTGGCTGGGTGTAATACCCCCAGTGCCGGATTTACGTATAAGCTAAACAAGCTATAGCTTAGGGCCCCACTCTCTTGGGGGCCCCCCCAAAAAATAAAGGAAAAAACCTGGATGTACATTTCCAAAATATAAGATAAAAAAATAAAAATAAAACCTACAAACAGCAACAGTGTTTTGTGTTGTGTAGGCTCCTATGATGTAAGTAATGGGCCCTGCCTGCTAGCCTGCTCCCTAAAATATCACTCGTTTGCTCATTTCTATATCAATTACTTTAATAAAATCCATATTTTGTTATGTGCAAATGGCTTTTGATACCTCATAGGTCCATAAATGACCATACTGTATAGCATATATTCAACACAAAAAACAGCGACAATTTGTTGTTGACAAAGGACAGCTGGACATATAAAGGGCCCCATTACCTTCAGTAGCTTAGGGCCTCATCGAACCTAAATCCGGCCCTGAATACACCACCTTATCTTCCTAAGCAATTCCTTGATTTGTTCTTCAGCTTAGCTGATAAAAAGAAACTGAAATGTTACACAAAAGGTCAAATAAAACTCGGCTGGTTTTCCAGAGTTAATATAATTTGTATAGGTAAAGGCCTTACATATATAAGGCCAGTCCCCGTGTGATGAATAAAGCTAAGCATTATCAACGTTATCAGCTATGCACCTTGACCTAAGCTGTGAACATGGGTAGTCGATTATTAACCAGAACTGTCTCTTGCCCCTCTCCCATGTCAAATCACTGATCTGGCAGTTCTCTCGATGTTGGCAGCTCAGGATATGGCTCATGGTTTTATGTGCATCTTCCCCTTGCATTTTATTTACACTGACCAACAGTTTTCTGTCCTTTGCTTTCTTAGGGTACGTATTTTCAAAAGAGAGAAGTTCTTCCTGCAGCTATGAAAAGGAACACTAGTCAGTATACTTTAGTCAGAGTTGATTGTGCACAGTATATTCTCTTGAGTAAAAATGGTACATTGAGAAAAGGGCACAGTGTACTTTGCTACGTCCCAATATGTTTGTGCATTGAGTTAGTTCTGTGTATGCCTATAAATAAAACGGGTAACTTAAGCCCATAGGAGTGGTGTTTCCAACTGTCCCCCACTTGTCCTTGGAAGCCTTGCAGGACCATGAGCAACTTCATGTGAAGGATGTTTCTAGGACCAATGTGAAATTATAAAGCGCCTTTATTTTTGTTATTGGATGCTGGAATAATTGTTTATGTAATCTTGTTATACGTAGAGTTCTGGAATGCTGCTTTTTTATTATATTTGCTATTGTGTTGCTTTGCTGCCGTTACTAGGAAATTCTTTTTGTATTGTTTGGTGTTGAAATGTATTGTTTCTCTTTGCCCTTAGCCACTTTGAGCAGGCTTGTTTTTGTGGGAAAGCGGCATACGCATAGAATGAATGCACAAGCTGCTGAATGATCGCCAGGATTATAGGAGTCTTTGGACTTCCATCTTTGCTTTGGGGAGCGAAGTTTTCGAGACCTAACTGAAAAAGAAAGTAGAGCAGCGACAGCACATCTCCTTGAAGAGTGACTTTAATGTCATGCTATCCTACTTCTTGAGACGGCTGTTGGAAGGAGGAGCTAGTGGTGGCATGTTGAGCCCATGTAGAAACTGCACCCCCAGGGTGCTTTCTGAAGTGGCTGGTCAGGGAGAGGTTGTCCTGAGGCCAGCTTGTGTATTGTGTCACAAGAGTGAGGGTGCTCTGCCTTTTGACCTTGTCTGGGTCATCTCTTAGTGGTGAAATCAGGCCACGCAGTTGGAGTGTTGGTGAGCAAAGGAAATTTGTGTGATATTTGTTTTTCTTGCTGTATTGATTTTTTTTTTCTGCCATGGGCTCAGGTTGGCTCTTGTTATAGGGCACTGCTGGTCCCCTGTTTTAGTCAGAAAGTGATGGGTACATTGGAATTAGATTATGTGTTTGCATAGACCAGAGGTGTCTTGAGAATGAGAAATGCTGTCCTGAGGGTGGAGAACAGAGGAACACATGATGGGTTGAAAAGGATGGGCCTTTACAGGAGAAGGGAGGTTAGAAATATTAGGGATATTCCCCTCGCTTTCTGCTTCTTCCCCCATTCTATGGACTCTTCCTAGCGCCCATGGTACTATCGAAAGGTTTTGCTAAATAATCAATCAGTTACAGGATAAAAGAAACACATGTGATATAAGGTACTTAAAACATTATTTATTAATGCTGAACAAAATATAAAGCAGGTATTTAATTTTATTTGTTGATAAAGATGTATTAGAATTGAAAAAATAAAAACCAGATAATTAAAACTAATTATATCTGTATGTAAAAATGCATTAAAATTGAAAATAATGACACCTAACAGGCAAACTACACACTCTGCTTTAGTCACTTTGGTATCAAGGCTGCCCACATTGCTGCTGTTTGCTCTTGTGCTAAGGAGCCACCTGAGTAGTTAAGGCAATCCGCGTTCCACATGCCAATACCCCTTAAGCCAAGTTTTTTCACATAGGCTGCCTTCAGAGAAATGCTCCTGGGATTGTCAAACCACACTTGATGAAAAACGCCATGTTCGTCCTACAAAACAGTGAAACAAAGAGAATGCATTAATATGCCTCCTGCAAAGTAAGCTTGATGATGAGAGGTTTTTGCACTTGGATCCAAGAGAGCCGAACTCAAGTCTCTGCCAAATGCTCCTTTGCATATACTCAGACAAAACAACTTCTCTCGGCCTTTGAAAAATGGAGCTAATGGGCACATGCCTCAAAGTGTTACCGTGAGGCAAAGCAAGAGGAAGCCCGTTGCAAATTTTAAACGCTATATAAAATGATTGGTTATTGACAAGATGTTACACAGAGTACTGGTTAATAATATGTCTGCTTACTGTTTATGTTTCCAATAATTATTTGCAAAGCCTGCAAGTCTACTTTTCCCATATATGAAGCCTTCAGCCAAGACATGACAGGTACCCATTTCATCAGGAATATCCATGCTTGATTAACGCAACACGTTATAGCTTCTGCTTTTAGAAAAAAATCAGAAACCAGTTGGTGCAGAATACAGCAACTAGGTTGTTGAGAGATGCTGGTTGGTATTAGCATTTTCACCCCTATACTTAAAGAGCTTCACTAGATCCAAGTTTGCTTCTGGGCACAATTTTAAAAAGTCGTAAATGGTCTGAGATCAGGGTCCCTGAAAGACTGCATCTTTCCAGCAGTGTTTGCCCAGCAGCTGAAATCATCATTAGAGGCAACTGCTTTCACTTTAGATGGGTGGTGAGCAATTAGAGGAACATTTCTCCAGTTATGCCTCAGTTATAAAACTCCTTCCAACAGAGATCCGCTTGGTGCCTCCCCTGTTATATTTCGTTTTCTAGGCAACATATGTCCTGTTGTTTTATTTTTTTTACTATATGGGCTCCGCCCCCATCTTTAGAAGATGAAAACCATGATAACTTCTGTTAAATAGTGGGTAAACATAGCAGACGACGCAGCGATTTCTTCAAACAGCTCTTGTTTATTCACAGGCCAGAACAGAACTGAACTGAACAGCAAACAGCTCAGCCAGCCTGCTTTTATAGGCAGCCGGCTATCAACATTGTAGCAACAACAACCCAGGGTTTCCCGCCTAAAACAACTGACGTGGACCTGTGTGAAAACTATCTACACAATACTCCTGGTGGCCAGGGTGAGAACTTCAATACATAACAAGTTCGCCCAAGTTTCGTTTTGTATATCCATGCACATCCAAGTGGAGAGTTTGTGGGGTGAAGTGGCCAGGGAGAGGAATTTTTTAAAATGCATCTTGTAATCTGTCTTGCATTCAAATGTGGCTATTCCAGCTATGTCTTCATGATGCCTGCTACTCTCTCTATCTTAATCATAGATATGAGGGACAAAACAACCATCACCTACTTTTTCTCTTTCTCCAACTCACTCCCACCCCAGCTTTTAATTTGTTCAGCACGTTGCTCCCTGAAGAGTTCCGGCAAACTCAAAAGCATGTTCATCACTTTGTGACACTGGGGTTTTTTTCCTTAATGGATCAACACACCTACTATCTGATTCTGGTGTACTTGTACAATTTATATTCTTATAAAAGAAATACATTTCAGGAAGCAAGTCTTTTAACAACTCACCTTGTATTCTAAATATGGGGCTTCCTGTTCCTCATCCCACAGGATCCCAGAAATAGAACTGTTTACCAGATCCATGATTACTTTATATGGGCGCTGACGTCCTGCTGCGTCACTGCATGGAGCCCCTCGGAAAGGAACTTTTGCGATTGAACAAACATGGGCCTAAACAAAAGCAACTTCTGTTACACAGATGTGTTAAAAAAAGGGAACAGTCTATAATCCATGCCCCTGAATTAAACTTCAGAGACAACAGTGAACAAAACATAGATGTTAGCTATTACCTTATTGGCTACTTTACTGTAAAAAATAAGTATTGCAAAAGCTTAGACAAAGAGCACTGCATCTCCAGTCTCAAAATGGGTTTGAAAATATTTGGGACATTGAAACATTATCAGAACTTGTATTAGAAGAGAAAATAACATGCAAATAAGCAGGTTTTTATAAAGAACATTTGGCACTGCTATTGTTTTGAATAATGATTCTAAGGAAAACATATATCCGTATAATTTATTTATGTTATTGTAATATGAAAGTTATAACATTATATATTATGTATCTCTGTAAGCATTTTAAATAATAAATAGAAGTTGTTTTAAATAATAAATAAATAAATAAATAAATCAGCTATCTTTCTCTTACCTTAATTAAGCCTAGACAGGTATAATCATAGCCATACCATGGAACGCCCATCACAATCTTCTTTGGATTAATGCCCATGTGAATGTATTTTTCATATTCTAATTAAATAACAAAAATAATAATATTATATCCAACCATCTGAAATTCAACTAGAACAATCATATATCAAATGTTACAATTCTTAAATCCTCTTGCCTGCTTCAGATCTCCATTTTTCAACCCCCTCTCCCCCAATTTTTTTTATTACTTGCTTTCTTCCTTGGGGGGAAGAAAGTGGGAACAAATTTCCATGGCTTCAACGTTTTTGGAAATATTATATATTTGGTTCTTACCCATTATGGTGTGGTTATATGGAGCATTGGCTCTGGCTATGCATTCTGACCACACCTGACTCTGTTCATCGTAAGACATAACAAATACGAAATCACAAGACTCTGCAATCCCGGTGTAGTTGTAACATCGTTTGTCTATGCAATCTGGAGACCAGGCTACATCAAAAGTCACCTGTGGGGGGAAATAAAAACACACATCTATCTCTGAATGGATATTCTTAGTACATTATACACAATTTGCAATTCATTTCAAGACTGCGTATAGTGTGTTCTTCAACTTTGCTTTACTCAGGGTGAACCTATCAAAATTAAGGCCCTAACTGACTCATGTTAATTTCTTGGAATGTTTGGAGACACAACCACAGCATCATCTGTGTATACTTAGCAACAAGGTATAAGATCCTAAATTTGTTTATTTAAAAGTTATTGTGACGTTTTATATTGGATCAGATTGTTATCATTAATGTTTGATATTTTATTATGTTTTTATATGTGTTGGAAACTGTCCAGAGTGGCTGGGGCAAACCAGCCAGATGGGTGGGATATAAATAATAAAATTATTTATTTAATTTATTTAATTTATTTAATTTATTTAATTTATTTATTATTATTATTATTATTATTATTATTATTATTATTCCTGGCCTATTACTATTTTTTTGTTGCTGGGCTGACACTTAATGGAATAGCTGTGCCTGCTATCAATATCCAATACCAAAATTTGTGCTCACAACAGTAAATGGTGTCAAAAAAAAGAGTGTTTAATGTCATGCACTGAGATGAATCAATGGAATTTGGCTGATGCGGAATTGAATTCATATTTGTGTAAGAGTAATCTCTGCTTTATTTTTTTACCTGTGATCCTGGAATTTCTCTGTGAAAAGCTTCTGTTGTTTCTTTAACCAAATCTGTTAACGCATAGTATTCAGGTGAAGACTTTGCAACCTCCTGTTCAATGTCTATATTGATTCCATCCAGATGCTGTCTTTTGGCCAGATCCACTTTTTGTTTTATCCAGGCTGCTCTGACAGCAGGGTCAACAATTGACTTCACAGATATGTCTCCTAAATAAGAAAATGTGATTAAGTGCCAGGCTTGAATTGCTAGAAGGGACAAGAAACATTTTAGACTACCGTGATATTAAATATCACTCAATATATAGCAGTATATTCCACTTAACTCAAGGGGGCTTACTTTGTGATAGGCTATGTTTAGGATTGGAGCCCTAATCCCTTACTTCATAACTATCCCAATCTATCCACCCAGAGCTCTTTGTACACATCCTGGGGCAAAAAGCCTTCATCAGCAGATCAGGGTTTGTGTGAACACCTGCTGAAGTGGATTATGTGATTAGCAGTGGGCTATGGATATTAGCAAGAAGAGAGGGCCTGAACACCAATGTTCATAAAGGAAAGGAGAAAGCGAAACAAGAAATTAAAAAAGCATTTAGAAACTTCTTCAGAAGTTGCTTAAGAACTAAATCTAGTCACAAGATATATTGCTGAACTTTTGTGAACGCACGTATATTGTTGTACTAAACTTATTACAGTGGTACCTTGGGTTACACACGCTTCAGGTTACATACGCTTCAGGTTACAGACTCCGTTAACCCAGAAATATTACCTCGGGTTAAGAACTTTGCTTCAGGATGAGAACAGAAACCGCGCAGCGGTGGCGCAGCGACAGCAGGAGGCCCCATTAACTAAGGTGGTGCTTCAGGTTAAGAAAAGTTTCAGGTTAAGAACGGACCTCCAGAACGAATTAAGTTCTTAACCCGAGGTACCACTGTATACTGTTGCTGACACCACTGGATTGGCTTGTTGATTTACTGCTGAATAAAACTGAGTTGTATCCTCCATCTTTTGTGATCCAGATTCTTGTTCCCAATTACTTGATGTAGTTAACCCCAATGTGTGCCAGAGCTTACACTAACAATTTACACTATGTAGTGGGGCCCAAGGAGTAAGCTACATGTTACATAAACTACATGTTACATCCAGCACACTTTTTTTAAAAAAAGTGCGCTTAATGCTACCACTTTTATTTTGAAGGGAAAGCAGTTGTATGGGTCCCTAGTCTCCTGGCTGGCATGTGCCTGTGAAGATGCTATTTGCAGTAAACAGCACCTCTGGTGCTGGCGACAAATAGCAGCCACAGGAGATTTCGTGGCAGGAGATCTGTATGGGACCCTGATCTAGATTGGGAGTATGCTACCAGTTTGAAGATATGCAAGTGTGCTTCTTTCTCAAAATAAATGCAACACTGTTCTTTGGTGTGTGGGTGGGTGTTTAAAAAAAGCACGTTAAATGTAAATAGAAACACCATAGCTTCCAGACTTTACATCCAGACCATGGTTTTCTGGAGCGACACATTTGTGTTCTTGCCTGGCAGCATGTGCTCAAGCAGTTACATCCCCTTTTATCCTTGGCTGTCCACAGTATGACAACAGTACAGGATATTACACGAAGTCTCATGATCAATTACACAACCATTTAACAGAGCTTACATAGAAGTTCTCCTGAAACAATCGGCACTTTATCTTCTGTGTAAATGAGTCTAGAACTAGGGATGATGGGAGGAGAATCATGCATGCTTTACACTTCTTAGTATGCATGAATCTAAAGCCAGCAAATTTCAAAAGAGAGTTCCCCCAAAGACAAACTGATCGGTCCATCATCCCTTTGTGCTTGAAGCAGCTTAACATAATGGAGATTGCTAGTGTGTCCTGAGACTGGTGGTGCAAGTTGACAGTGCAAGCTTACTTTCACACAATCACAATATTCTCATATAATTATTAAGGTTGCGCTCCTGTGCACACTTAACAGGAGTAACTCAGTGGAGATTACGTATGAGAAAACGCATACAAGATGCTGACGATACACCAAAATGTTCTCTGCAGAACGTACCTTTTAAAACAACTCTGGCTCCTCTTGAATGGGCGTAACACATAAGCTCAGGGTCGTATTTTCCGAAAATCGCCACTGTAGTAATATGTGACCAGTCATAAAATTTCCAGGCCTGCCCACCAATGTCAAATATAAAGACCTGCAGAGGCATAGCAAAAAGAAAAAGAAAAATAGTAAAAATCTATCTCTCCCCCTGCAACAGCCAGATGTGCTAACTCTTGTTATTGGTGTAATTTACATCGTTTATTTGTTCATTTGGTTATTACTTATTCAATAGAGTTCTATCAATTGTTCAACAGAAATCCTCAAGGTGGCTTACAACACTATAAGCACAAAAATCGTCTGTATTTAAGCCCACCAACACTTAAGTTACATGATAATCAAAAATTAAAAGCCAGTGGCAACAGCAGCGACACAACTCAGCTAAACCTACTGAACACCATTAAATGTACAGGTAAATAAAATAATTTGCACCCAGTGCCTTAAAACTCTAAAGGCAGGTGCAACACAAAGAGATAAGGACCAGAAAAAAACACGAAAGCCCTCATAGGTCATCAGTGTAGCTCCCACAATAGGCTCTCATAGTCAAATGCTAGTAGTGTTCCTAATTCATGAAGTAGATTGTCAAAAAACGATGGCTCTAAAGAGACTTAATCTTTGTATGGATCAAATAAGATAGTTCGCTAAATTATGGGATCTCATGATAAACATTTATCCTTTCAAATAAGTATTATCTTTAAAGAGATTAGCTAAAATTCAAGGTTTACTGACTAATGTGAAGCACAAAGATGGGTATCATTAATTAAACCACTTCTAGGCAGCAACCCACAGAACATCTTGTAATATAAGTTGGTGAGGATTTTCCAGGGCTCAACCAATTATCCCTGGGAAGCAGGAGACAATACATTTGGGAGTTAACTTTCAGATAAGTAGGTGAGATGCACTTCCCATCTAATTTGAGCATTTTAACAATTAGAAGCATGCCTGAAGGGGCAGGGCACATTGGTTTCATTTCCTCAGATACATATCTGCCTCAGACAAATTTTCTCAGTAAAAGGGACTATTACGGTTCAGCAGTGTTGTGGTAAAAACAGAGGATGTTCAAATGAAAAATAAATAAAACAGTCCTGTATACATTTCAACGGAGGACAAGATACACCTAAGCCCCTTGAAATCTATGGATCCAAACAGGTTTAATTATGCACAAGATTGCAATCTATGCATTGCAACTTGGGACTCAGCTTATACAGCTGAAAATAAAATGTTTTAAATGTGTTGTAAAGTGCAATATACAGATGTGACACTAGGTGGTGACAGTGAGCTATGCCAAATTCAATGTATTTTTCAAAACGTTTTTTAAAAAAGCATTTTCACAGCATTTTAAAAATATGTGAGTAGATTGCACCTTGGACAGCTTAAAATGGGAGATGAGACAAATTCATGAAGGATAAGGCTATCCATTGCCACCAGCCATGATGGCTATATATTTATTATGCACAGCAGAGATAACGAACCTTAAGCCCAGGAGCTAAATGTGACCCTCAATATCTTTCTATCTGGCCCTCAGTCCTTTGCCCAAGCCAGGCTTTCTCTCTAGGATATATATTCTCTCCTCGCTAGACCTACTTCATGCCTTCCACTGCTGCTTTTGCGTAGGTGGGATGTGTCCTTGAGCTCTGATAATGCCTCCTGCTTACCTACATAAAGAAATTGTGTGTAGGAAACTCTTGACTTTCACATGGCTAGAGCCACAACAGGAAACGGTTGTTTCCTTCGATTCTCTTTTCCCACTGCATAGCCTCTGTTTTAACTCATTCTCCTAGTGTTTTGGCCACAGAGGGCAGTGCCAATCAGTTTTCAACAAGGGGAAGCCCAGAGTTACATATAAGCCCCCAAAGAATATTCAGGTTTTGTGCCTTCCTTGAGAGGACACCAGTGCCTTCAGCAACTGCATGAAAAGCAGAAACCCAACAGGTGAAGCTTTCTGTGTGGTGCAGAAAACTTGCAGTTGCTGAATCTCTGCCTATGGAGAGGGCATGGCGGACTTAGCAAGCACTGCGGGATATGTATGGAAGCTTCAGCCTTCCAGATCAGTGTTTCTCCAAGTTGTGTCTCCAGCTGTTTGGTTTTTTGGACTACAACTCCCATCAACCCTAGCTAGTAGGACCATTGGTCAGGGATGATGGGAACTGTAGTCCAAAACCAGCTGGGGACCCAAGTTCGGGGAAACCCTGGTCCAGGTGTTGCTGAACAACCACCTCCCGTCGTCCCTAGCCATTGGCTATGCTTGCTGGGGATGGGACGGGACTTTGTAGTTCAGCAACGTCTGGCGAGGCTTCCTCACCACCCCTGACAGGAACAACCTTCCAAGTTACCACCACCTCCCGATCTCTCTCCCCACCCTCACCAACACCGTCGAGGATTGGCTGAGAGGAGCGTCACGTGCTCTCACCAAGCAACCGCGCCCTCCTCTCCTCTCTCCCCCTCCCCACGCCTAAGAGGTTGTTTGGCGCTTGCGCACCTCGAAGTCCCTGGCTCCGGAGATGGGGTTGCAGAGCGCGGGGTCCTCGCACGGGCACGCGCCGGAGCTCAGCCTCAGGTGGGAGATGAGGAGGAGGAGGAGGAGCGCAGCCGGGAGGCGCGCGCAGGCGCCGCTTAGCAACCCCTCCATGTCTTCGTATCAGGTGCTTAAGCTGGGCGTGCGTGAGTGCGTGCGTGCGCGCCGCGGCTGCTGCTCCTTTTCGCCTCTGCCTCTTCGAGAATATATAATCCCTGGTTTGAGGGCTGGCGTGGGGGAAGGTGGGAAGCTGACTCCGCCCATAAATGGAGGGGGAGACGCTGAGGGGACGGTTCCATGAGCGCCCCTTAGCGTCAGCCGCCATGTTTCACCCTCAGGGATTGGCTGTGCCTTAACAGTTCAGAGACAAAACTCAAGTGGAATAATAATACAAATAATAAAATAATAAATCCCTCAGGAGCTGCCTAATTTGGACACTTTAAAGACAGCAGTACCTGATCCTCTGCGCTCTGTATTCACTGTGTAAACTTTCCCAAACTTTGAGGGGGGTGGTCGCACCACAACTCCTTGGCTCCATAAAAATAATAATTATTTATTGCATTTATATACCGACCTATACCCAGAGGTCTCATGGGCGGTTCACAGAACAAAATAAACAAAACCACAATTTATCGATGGATTGAATTTATATACTATCTTATACCCGGGGGCCTCAGGGTGGTTCACAGAATAAAATCAAGATGTAAAGCCACAAAGATACCTAATAAAAAATAAAAACAACAACCCAATACCCCCCCCCTCCACAGAAAAAAACACATTTTAAAAGAGCATAGGATGTAAATCAGATCAACCAATGGTCTGGTTAAAAAGGAACGTTTTTGCCTGGCACCCAAAGGTGCACAATGAAGGCGCCAGGTGAACTTCCCTGGGGAGAGCATTCCACAGACGGGGAGCCACTGCAGAGGAGGTCCGTTCTCATGATGCCACCCTCTGGGTTTCCCCAGCCAATTGGGGTGGCTTCCAACCCATATAAAAACATAACAAAACGTCAAACATAGACTCATCCCTGGTACCCACCAACCCTATAAAAACTGTTACTCGGAATGGCAGGTTGCACAACCAGCTAAGGAAGATAGCAGCACCATAAAATTTGAGGCAGTAACGATTGCCTACTTTTACTGAGAATTCGTTTTAAACTGTTCAGTTTGAATAATTGAAATTGCTGAGCATGATCCAGTGATAGCGGCTTTTCAAAGTTTGGTTGCTATTTACACCTCCAGCAGCCCCCTAGGGAATCCCACCGGCCCCCAGGGGGTGGTACCACCCACTTTGGGAACCACTGTCATAGAGATCCCAGAGCTTTGTTTTTTTTTTTTAGAAAAAAGCATCATTCGGGTGCCTAAAAGCCAAGTCACCTTGCTCCCAATTCTGAAATTGCTCTGCAGTAACGCCTGGCTACTTATTTCTGGTATCCGTTGCAAGAGCCAATACTGAGGGTGTGTTTTGTGAATGTGTGTCATGGAATCTGGACTCGATGCAACATGGTATTTCAAAAGACACAGAACAAGTGCAGCTATGCTCTTGGAATCATGATGTTTTATTAAATGATTTAACACAAATAGATTTTTTAAAAATTATTATTGAAAATTACTGATAGTATTATGGTAGAAATGCATTGTTCTTCAAAGGAGAAAGCGATGCTACTTTTCCTGTTTGAAATAATTCCATTGCTCTGTCCATTAAATATATTGGCCTTGGAATGGAAACCATTTGAAGCTCTAATCTTCTGCCAAATAACATCAAGCTGTGCATTGCAGGTATTCACAGGAACATGCTGCCTGAATCTCAGTTACAATTTTGATATCCTTGAGCTTCCGGTCAATACCTATTTGCTCTTCCCCGTGGAATGGTAGCAGATTCTGGAACAAAAATGGGATGTGATACAGTTTTGCTATTTGAAACTTTTCCTGTTAATTCAATTTCACCATGTGACTGTTTAAAAAGACTACGCATTTAGAACTCTACTTATTGAGCAGAACACTGATAAAGATTTCTCTCAAAGATTTATCACTGGATCTACAACAAACTGGAGTACAATGGACATAGCTTGCAGCCAAAGTAATGAACGATAAATTTCTGGGCATCATTTCAAGAGCAAAATAACTTCAGTGAGACTTCACTTGATCAACCCCAGTGGACTGCATTCTGTACTGTAATACATAGCTCTCTGTTTTAATATGCTTTAGTGTGAGAGGGTGGTTTTTATTTACTTATTTATTTCCACTTTCAAACCCATATATATATATATATATATATATATTCATTTAACTGCGAAGAAAAAAATGGTTCTTGAAGAAATCTATCCTCCCATCCTTAGTCCTGACCCAGGTGCCTCTTCCTATTTCCTTAGTCCTCTGATGTAAGGGGATTGAGGAGCTTACCTGCCCAGGACTAATCAACAGTAGCTACAGACTTTTACCTATCCCCTCCAAACACCTGGAACAGGAAAGGGTGCAACCTGTTACAAGTATATTTCTGAGACTCCCAGGAATAGAATCATGTCAGTCTTCACAGGCTCATGAAATAAGGTAGTCAAACTAAAGCCCAAGCAAACTGTATCTTAAAGGCGACATATTCTGGGTAATATTGATGGATACTATTTCTCCCTCCGCATGGAATAAGGATTAAAATACTGCTTCACATACTTATGCTATGTCAAGATGTCATGTTCAGCTGCAAGTTGCTTTCTCATATCTTGAAACATTTGTATGTGAACATTTAGGCAAGCCACAATGAGAAAATACATGGAGTTTAAACTATATCTAAATTATAGCCTGGACTGTTTTCAGAAACCTGATTTTTGCTAAAGCTTCCAAACTGCAGCTGGAAATCTCGCATTACAAAATAAATTATGAAAACATGGGAAATTGATAACTTGCCTGTGTGGGTGGGTTATTCTGTTTTGTTTGTGCAAAATGTGTTGCAGCCTGACATGAAGACAGAATGGGGAAAGGTGTCTGCTTAAATTGAGCAGGGATTATGAGCTATACTAAAGAGTGGGACTCAACCAGTGTTCTGCAATGGGAAGCCCAACTACCTGACTACATCAATGCAATGCATGAGAGAAAGCCATAATGTGTGAAGTATGCAATTTTAGAAGACACATACTTCCCAGAGTTGAAGGTTGTTCATATTTTTCTGCTGCTGCTATATATCTTTAAAAGCACATGTTGGCTTTGGTGATTAGTAAAGTGGTCATCCTGAGTTCCTAAAAATTTTGTGAAGGGGTGGATGGAACCATGATTTGGAAATTAGCTACAGTCATGGAAATTTCTGGTTCCCTTTTTGGTGCCCCCCCCCCCGAACTGTATTCTGTTAAAAGGTTGTGAAAAAGAAAATATGTGCATCAGTGCCAAGATATTCACATATTAATAGATAATTGCCTAACCTTTGGTACAGGATTCTGATGGAAGAATCCAAGACTGAGCAAAGCTCACAGCATTTTTGGCTTCATATCCACTGGGCATCTTATATTCCTGTTCATATTCAGCATCGTATCTTCCACACATTCCACAGGTTTTCCCAATCATTGATAAAGGTACTTGAATCTGCATAGGAACATGGTAAAAGTCAATGCACTTCTGGCTGCATATGTGTTTGTAAAAATCCAAGACATTGGTAGGATAGCAAATAAAAGTATACCATAAGCGTGTGTCCATCATAGAAGAGATTTTCAATGCCAACTTCTGGAGCTTTTAGTGATAAGCCATTCTTCTCACGAGTGATAAGGATATCACCTGTAACCAGAAAACAGAATTACTTCCCCCTAAAAACTCTGGTGTAACATCTCAGTACAAATTGTCACCATTACTGATTTCTCTCTGTTTCAATTAAAGCATCAGATATGTGGAGCTAAAATCTTGCTGCTGCTTATGTGAAAGCTACCCAGCAAGTAAGAATTACTCTATACTGTGTTTGCAATATAAAAGGTTACCGGAATAAATAAAATAATGTTTAGGCCTAATTCCACGATCAACTGGTCCCAAAGGAAAAACCAGATATATACCAGACCATAGATATTGGAGATCAACACCTGCCAAAGTAGGGGCCCAGTCTGGCTCCTTGAGAGAAACCATCTGCTCTCCTCCAAGTTGCCAATGGGAGGGACAGATGAAAAATTTGTGCCGGATTGTGTGGGCATGTGATAGTTTAGCTGTGGTAGTGGTAAGCCCTAGTACATGACTCTAAGGTCATCCTTTCAGTTGCTAACCACTGGCATACATAAGCCCCTTTACAATTTGCTATAGATAGTTCAAGTACAAATTCAGGAGAAGTCAGAAAAGGTATGCTACCTTTAGAATTGGAAGTGAATGGGAGATTCTCTGGTGGAAATTCAGTACCGTTAATCCTCAGCTTTGCAAGTCCATTTGAAGAATACATGTCAACCTCCCTTTAAACAGAAAAAATCTGGTTTAATTAAGGCAATGATGCATTTATCTCATACATACCAAGTGCATACCTTGTTTGACAACTTGTTCACATTGGACCAATGAACATTCTACTTTGTTATCAATCACTGGTGGTTAAGAATATTTTGTATGACAAATTCAAATATTTGTTGGGGAAAGTGTATCAATCTAGTGTGATTACCAGTATAACTAGTCTTTCTACTAGTCATATTACCAATATTCATTAACTATTTGGCTTCTCATAGTTTGATCAGGTTGACTTTTGTAGGGCAGCCATACGTCTGGAAAATCCTGGACATTGCCAGGATTTTGATCCCTAAATTGGTGTCCGGGCGGAATTTGTTATGTCCATTCTAAATGTCCAGGGAAACCTGGATGTACGGCAACCCATGTCGTAAGTGGGTCTTCTTGCCTATTTTCTTATAAGTAGACGGGGGAAAAAAATTTCTGGTGGTTTTGCAAAAAAGCTAAACAACCTTTCCCCCTAAAATAAATAAATAAATAAATAAATAGGTCAACAATTTTTTTGTCCAGATTTTCACTTTCTGAAATATGGCAACCCTAACTTATAATGCTTTACTTACAGATTGACAAAGTCGATACGGGCCATTATCAGATCAGTTGACTGTTCTGCTTTCATTGTCCTCACCAGGAATTTCAGTTCCGGGCTACAGTCATGGACCAAGACATGGTAGCAGTTTGCAGGCATTATATAGCGAAAGCTAACATTGTTGAAAGTTGTGATAGTATCTTGTGATACTGAACAACGACCTAAAAAGCAAACACTATCAGTAAGCATCTTAAAATGGTTAGAAATAATATTCTGATAAGAGATACTCTTCTGGCATATTTTATTACTGAGTTTTCAACCCAGAAAGTGATTCAGTAACTGGCATGGAGTTTGGAAGGTGTGCTGAGGACCAAATGAGATCTCTCAACCACCTGATAAGATTCTTCCAGGATTTGTGGTTTGTAGCCCTGGTGTAAACCAACTTTTGCTGGAACCAGGAGAGCAAAATGACGCTGGCTAACCTACTAACCTTTCAGATTTTCCACAAATGAGGATGGCAGATTAGAGATGAAACTCCAGGTGTGGGACTGCTTTGCTAAATCTTCTGCATGTTGGGCTACAGGGAGTGGAAGTGGTAGCCAGATGTTTGTGTCATAAAGTGTGACCTAAAAAAAAGGTAAGATGTATACATAATATATTTTTCGAGAAAAAGATGTGCCGGAACTCACCACCAACGCCTCCCTTGTTGTCTTATAATGGCAATGGCGCCCACCTGAGAGGTGCCGCAACAGAGTTCCAGTGAGTTCTGGCTGAAAGAAAGGCCCTGCATAATGTTTCTATTGCAAGGGGAAGCAACACAGGTGGTAGAAATGGTTAGAAAGTCATACTGGAAATATGTTAAGTAAAACAATTGCACTCAGTTAATGGGCAGTGTCTGTTCCAGGTTTGAGAGACCTCTGGGCTAACTGCTCTCTGAAAGGTCCTCTCCTCTGCTGGTGCTTCATGGTGGCTCTGTCTGGTGACAGGGGTCGGCAGCAGCACTCTGAGCAGTTGGATCCAGCCACCATTTAAATTTCCCAGAATGCCACAACACTCCAGGGCATGGTAAGAAATTTAAATAGCAGCTAGACCCAGCTGCCTGGTGGTGGCTAAAGTGCCCATCTGGAAATGGGTTTTGTTTCTTAAGGGCTCCAAGGCAGATGTCCATGGTGAGTTGTGTCAGTGTGTTGGGTCCTCAGCAGCTGCCCAAGAACACCAGACACTAAGACCAGGTGCAGCAATGGCGAATGTTTCACCTGCTAAATTCCCACATCCTATATATATATTGGGACGCGGGTGGCACTGTGGGTTAAACCACAGAGCCTAGGACTTGCCAATCAGAAGGTTGGCGGTTCGAATCCCCGTGACGGGGTGAGCTCCCATTGCTCGGTCCCTGCTCCTGCCAACCTAGCAGTTCAAAAGCATGTCATGTGGAAGTAGACAAATAGGTATCACTCCGGCGGGAAGGTAAACGGCGTTTCTGTGTGCTGCTTTGGTTCGCCAGAAGTGGCTTAGTCATGCTGGCCACATGACCCGGAAGCTGTCTGCAGACAAACGCTGGCTCTGTCGGCCTACAGAGCGAGATGAGCGTGCAACCCCAGAGTTGTTCACGACTGGACCTAATGGTCAGGGTCCCCTTTACCTTTATACATATATATCTATATATCTTTATATATATATCTGTTAGAGAACTAGGGCTGAACAAAAATGACATTTGGGTGGTGAAAGATGATACTTTTCACCCTGCCTGGAGGTGCCAGAGATTGAAATTGGGGCCTTCCGAATGCAAAGCAGATGCTCTACCATTAAGACACTGGCTAATGAAAGTCACCTCCTGCTTGGTTTTGGCTCAGCCCTAGTGCCAAGCATATAGCCCAATCCTAGGCATGCTGACTCAGAAGTATGTCTTATTCGGTTCAAGGGGACTTTCTCCCAAGTAAGCGAGTATAGGATTTTAGCCTTCATCTGTATTTCATTTCCTCTTTTCATTTGCTTAGTTCTTGACAAAGCCTTACACGCTCTTTGGAAAATGGAACAGATTAACGGAAAATAAACACATTTGCTTCATTTGCACAGTCTTATCGCATTAGTTCCTTCTTTCCTATGGTACAATATGAGCGGTTGGCACATGCAGCCTTCTTTCCATCTGCAGATTTGTGGAGGAATTTATCTTGAGAGCAGCATGATTCCATGACTCCCTCTGTGGGAAGCTTGGTTTTATTTGCTGATCTGTCATTTATTAATTGGAGCGATATAAATGACTATTTAAACAATTGTTTTAGGGTGGTGGGATTCAGAACGGCAAAGATTTGCCAGGAACAACCATACAAAAGCCACCCCTCACCTCCTGCCCTGGCCATTGTGAGCTCACAGGGTTCCGGATGCCATGGCAGTTCCACAACAGATCTTCACTCCCCGCCCCCCATCCCCACACGTACACTTTGGATTGCTGCGTTATTATTAAGGAATGTGAAAACCCCAAAGCAAATAATTTACATTATGTAGCTTCAGAACAAAAGCACAGCTTCTCGGAGATGTGAGAGCCACGACTACAGAAGTCTGCTGTGAAGGATTCTTCTGTTCTCTTTGGGACAATCCAAGCCTACAGGCCATATCAGGAACAAATGTGGATAGCCTAAAGGGAAAAGGAGTGAAAGGATTAAATCCACATTTGGTAGACTGCCTTAAAATTCTGTCCGTTTCAGACTAGAAACAACCTTGTGCATCTTCACTGGAAGGAGAAGAGGAAGAGTACTAAGGCTTTTAATCTAACTCATTTTGTTGGGGCAAGAAACACACACATAATGGCATCCCTTGCTGGTAGTTCTCTGCAGATGTAGCTCAGATTGATTTCCACATATAGATTTAAACATATATTTGAAGTTCTGAATTACTTAATTCTCACCCACTTGCAGCAGCTTCTAGTCTTGGAGGAACTTTGAGCCAATCCACCTTGATTTGCATAGCTGGATAACCAGCAAACCATCCATATTCAACCTTTGTTGCAATATTGTAGTCTCGGCAATCCCAGCCCCATTTTAGATAACCCTGGGAAGAAATAGGTAGTGGATTTTATGCCTCTGATATAAAAATTAAAGTAGCTACATCGCTGCAGTTACTACACTGATTTGCATATCACTGCACTCTTCTGTTTCCTTAACCATTACTGGGAAATGCAGTTCTAGGTTACAGTCTTTTTTTTGGTTAAAAATTTTTTTTAACCAAATACCATAGTGGCCTCTGAAAGTCAGGTAACACTTTCCATCCATTGCAGCTCAAGGCAACAACTGAGATGGCATTTCTGCCACCATTTGCAATGAATCTTTTCAGGCAGAACTTCCAAACAACTGCCTGAAATAAAAGCGACCAGCAAAATGGCAACCCAAGAAAATCTGTTAAGAAGCAGGCCACAACTGAAATAAACTTCTTTCTTGCTTTGACTCCTTTACGCCTGTGGCAGCCCTGTTGTCAGGGAACGGGGGGGCTGAGAAGGGGGAAAGGATGGGGAAATATAGAGATAAGCCTCCGATCGTTAGTAGTTGCACTTCCTCGGAGGTGGAGGGTGACGAAGAGTTGTCAGAAAGCAATGAATCAGGGAGGGGGGAGCAATTTCTGGGGCCTAGCTCTTCACGTCCCAGAGGAAGAAAAGGGAGAGGGCTCCGGAAGTGGTTATGCTGGAGAAAATGAAAGGAACAGGCAGTCTCTGCAACTGACACCGAATGATGCAGATGTGCTCTGAGAGCTCTGTGTAAATAGGAGAATGAAACTAATAAATCCTATAAATCTGGCCGGAGTCCTGGACTCTTATCTCCTCTAGCACCCACCAATCAACCTTTGACACCTGTTTAGGGAAGTTTTTAATGTTTCATCTTTTATCTCATTATTATTATTATTATTATTCTGCTGGGAGCCGCCCAGAGTGGCTGGGGAAACCCAGCCAGATGGGTGGGGTATAAATGATAAATTATTAATAATTATTACTGCTACTACTACTACTACACTCCATGGCCCTGACTTTGCCACCACCTCTCCCCAGGGGAGAGGTGGTGGCAAAGTCAGGGCCATGGAGTGTAGTAGTAGTAGTAGTAGTAGTAATAATACATAGTAATAATAATACATAAACAGCAGATACACTGGTGCCAGGAGTAAGGTGGTTCTGCAGCTCTGCCCCACTACTACTGATAAATATTGTAATTGTTGCTGAACGACTTGGTTGGGGAAATACAGTATTTTTGGTTATATAGTTGTTTCTTACCTCAGCCTTCTGAGGATCAAGAATGGAAATACCAGCACAGAGCTTGGGTCTTTTGGATTCTTTTAAGTCTGACACAAAGACTTGTACTGTAGGCCTGGAAGTGTGTAACTCATCGTGGAGCTCAAGGTGAAATATGGTGACCTTCTTCTCATTCTGGATAGCACGGAGATCAGCAACCAGCACCGATGCTTTATTGTGTCTCAAGAATTTGGGCTAAAGTCAGAAGTAAATGGGGGGGGGGGGATTACTTCAGAAACATTACCACAAACATTATTGCACAGTTCAAGCAAAACTGAACAGCACACTGGAATTTAAATACATCTTCCTGGTATAATATGCTGTTTTACAAAACATTTCCAATGAAATTCTATTGTGCAAGATCAGATATTTAATGAGGTTATATCATTTAAAAGGTCCTAATTTTATCAGCACAAGGGCTGAAAAACAAAGCAGTATTAAGTAGTAGGCTGAATATTAGTTAATAAGCCAAAAACATTTTGAAATAGGTTCATAATCTATGAAAGCTTTAGTACACTAACTAGTAAGTGTATTTAATAATGCAGCGATTTTAACTTTCACATATATGAACTATATAGCCTAACTACAACTGAGCAGACTACAGAATAGGTGCTGAAAAAGTTCCCCCATTCATTGTGATAGCCCATTTTCACATGCAAGTTATGAATATGGATGAGCGGCCCAGCACTTAGTTGTAAGACTGGGTGCTTTCCCTCTGCGAGTCTCACCCAACCACCTCTTTCCATTCATTCCCTCCCTCCTCCACACACCTTTGTTTCATTTTCATTTCAAGCCATACAAACCAGTTCGGTTCCTTTACTCTTCTTGGTTTTAGCGTCCTCTTTCTTCACTTTAATCTTCCACTTCTTTCTCTTAGCCTTTTGGTCTTCATAAGAAGAGGATTCATTATCTGCATTATCTTCATCTTCCTCGGTGTGCCTCAGGTGGATTGTGTTTGAATGCGATTTAGAGTCTGCTTGAACCTCCAGCTGTATTTTGGTTCTAGCCGCTTCTGTCGAAAAAATCCGTGCATGAGTTAGAACAATAACTATTGAAAGGTAGACAACCATCAGTTGTGGGGAGCATCAGGTAGGGTGTCAAGCGCTGAGATTACTGGCCCACAACTGTGCAGGGTGCCGGGGGGGGGACGACTGCTGCCCTCCAGAGCTTCCAGGCCTTACTCCTCCTCCTAACATGCAGCTGCTGCTTGTTCCTCCCTCCAGACATGCAAAGAATGACCAGAGTCAATAGATTCTCCCCTTCTTCTGAATAACTGCACTGGGCCCAGAGAAGGAGGGCAAGCAAATGGATAGCAGTGATGGAGATGGGTCCATTCGTGGAGAGAAGGACCAATGGAGAGCATCTTGCCCAAGGGCTCTTCAAAGTTGACACTAGTGAGCATTGTGGGTGTAAGGTAAAGGTAAAGGTACCCCTGCCTGTACAGGCCAGTCGTGACCGACTCTGGGGTTGCGTGCTTATCTCGCTTAAGAGGCCGGGAGCCAGCGCTGTCCGAAGACACTTCCGGGTCACATGGCCAGCGTGACGAAGCTGCTCTGGCGAGCCTGCACCAGCGCAGCGCACGGAAACGCTGTTTACCTTCCCGCTATAAAGCGGTACCTATTTATCTACTTGCACTTAGGGGTGCTTTCGAACTGCTAGGTGGGCAGGAGCTGGGACCGAACGACGGGAGCTCACCCCGCCGCTGGAATTCGAACTGCCGACCATACGACCGGCAAGTCCTAGGCACTGACGTTTTACCCACAGCGCCACCCGCGTCCTATTGTGGGTGTAGATTACTGTTAATGAACCCATTGACCTACCGCATGGAAACTGCAATGAAACCTTTCTCCAGACCTAAACACATTTGCCTGGAAATATTTCCCATTGATTCATAGGGTGCACACTGCCCAAACAAATCAAAGCTGGCGAGATTTCCCCCTTTTAGTGGGGCTTCTTGTTCACTTTTAAGATGACATATAATTCCTCAGCACTTTATTCATCAGTGATAAGGAGAAACTGCATTTATGAAAGTATTTTTCTAATCAAATGTTTGGTGCTCTCCTTTTTGCAAAGAATTGACTGCCATGAGGTGATGGGTTGGGGCTTCTGCAGAGTATGGAGGGAGACCCCCAAGAAAGGCAAAGTATTATTGTATAGGAATTGTTTACAATTCAGTATAAGGGTTGAGAACCACAAAATTAGTGTGCGTATTCAAGTTTGATTAGTAATGATAAATTTCTAATAGAAACTGTACCTGGTTTCACAGCTAGTCTGACTTCGCATTGCCCAAAATACTTGTGTAGGTATGCATCTTTGAAGAACGCAGTGCTGCACTCTTTCATGGTGAGACATGTTTGATATCCTAAGCTAGATAGTTTGATATATGAGCTGGGTGAACACATTGCGTTTCTTTGACTGTGGTGAAACTCTTCTTTCAAGCCATAAATGAATGCCCGTGATGCAATATCAAAGACACTTCTTTGCTGCGTTAAAAAGAGCAACAACCGATAAAATATTGGACAGGGAAAAAAGTAGTAAATAAATTCTGAGGCAATTCCCCCCCCCCTTTATATGATACTGTATTTACTTCACCAGATTAGTTAAAGCTTAATGCCTGGATATGCATAGATAGGTAAACTGGGTGCCCCAACGCGTTTCCACAAAGTAGATTCGGTGAAGTTTTATTATATAGATAGGCTACAATTGTGAATTACTGAAACGGTATATATTTACTTCACAATATTTCAGTGGATAAACAAATATTTTGATTCTTTAATTGAGCATATTGGATAAGTATGGAAATTTATAAATAAACTCGAATCAGCAGCAGGACCTGGATCATCTGCTGTGTGTATATTTGCAATGTACTATCCATTACCCTTTTGGTCCTAACTTTTGATGATCCAAAGCATTGTTCTAGAACATCAAATCCAATCAGGTCTGGCGGAACCGGGGTCATCAAAGGTGAATTTGGTTCATCCGCATTCCTTGACACAGCATAAAATTTAGTCCTGAAAGCACAGGTGTAAAACACTCAATATGTAAGTGAAATAAACCAAATATACATAATATAAGGTTGCTGTAATTTTCAGTCCAGTCATTCTCATGTTTGTCATGACTTGAATGAATGGCAGAGGTGATACTGAGAACAACTGAGACACAAATGAGGCGTGTGATTCAGGAATCTGCTGGTGGAGAGAGTTGGCCAACCTTTCCAAAGCACACTCCAGACATTGTTGTGTTGCACATCCTTTGTTGCTCTTGGAATTCCACTGTAGTGAGAATTGCATTTTGATCTGTAGTAGCCACTTTAGTGTCTATTGAGGCTGACCCTGAAGTCCTTACTTAGGCAAAATTCTCATCTACTTTATTGCCTTGGTAAGGACTGCAAGATCAGGGCCACCAAATACCGGTAATAGAAATTGCCTGTAAAGGTAAATACATGTTTAGAAACCACCGCAAACATGACAAATTAAAAAGAAAAAGCAACCCTGTATACTTCCAGAAGTATTACTGCATTAAGAAACCAACATATATTTATAATTTTTGCAACAGTACAATTCACTGCTATTTGCCACAATTAAGTTATAGCTACTGTACCTCACAGCCAATAATTCTGTCTGCGTCTGGACTGGGGTCATTTCAAACTTAAATATTTCCTCTTTCATGTCTATCTTGGCATCAAATTTAACCGGCATGTTTGCATGGAATTTAGCGTGGAATTCAAGACCAGATTGGAAATGTGGTGTGTTGATTGCCATCACTCCTACCAGATGCGTTGATACGCTGAAAAAAGATGGAAATACCAACTTAGATAATAATGTAAACTATTCCCTCACACTCACTGTACACACATTTAGAATCTCATTTAATATGCAACATACAGAATGAGAATCTGTCAGTAAATATAACCACAAGGGACTATTAGTGATTCAAACATAGGAGCCGTGTCAATATTTTTGTTAGATCATGCAGATTATGAATTTTAGTGGTAGGGGACTTTCTTTCTTGGTGGAGTGGACTTGTATAGTTACAAATAAACTCAGATATTAAAGAATTTTTTTTAAGTCTTTTGTCACCTTTCCTTTGAATGGAAGCCAAACCTGGTTAAGCACTGCCTCTGTAATTTCTCACAGACTGAGGTAATGGAAGCACAAAGCAATATTCTTCTTTGATAAAGGTATAGTGCTGTCCGCTATACCTGCAATCTGACATTCCCAGGTGCCAGGTGGCTCCACTTGAAAAACTTGCAGTAGTGTGACTCATATCTCCCATCTTTGGAACAGAAGACAGAAGGCCAAGGCACTACCAAACCCCAGTTTGGACTATGTAAACAATTCCTTCCTAATTTCACCATTCATCAGAAAATTAAGCAATCCGAATTTCATATCAGCAATCATGCCTACCTTGAGTTAACGTCAGCACTAAGAAGCAGGCTGGCTTTAAGCAACTGTTCTGCTCCAGAGTCATTAGTCAATGAAGGAAATATCTTCCCATCGACTGCAGGAAGTAAAAAAAGAGTGATTAAATGTCAAAAGCATGAAGTGAAAAAGGAACTTAAGACATGGATTTCTTGTTTTCAGCTAGCATATTTTCATTTTCACAAATGTATAAGCAGTTCACTAAGTTCTAGGGATGGGTGAATCTGTCAATATTGGTTTCTCTGAAGTTTCTAATTTTCCAGCAGCTCACTATGTTACTGCATCAGTTTGCATGAGTATGAGTGTGTGTGTGTGTGTGTAATCACAAAAAGTTGTTGGCATTTTAGTGCATATTTTCCCAGGATGTGCTTTTCTGCAAGCAAATTCCCATATGCATATTTTGCTAATATAGCATTTTGCATGTTATTTTCATGAATATGTGCATTTTTAGGCACACTTTCCTCTAATATGCACATCTGTGTACACATTTTCTGGATGGGGAAGTACACCGCAAAATCAGGAGAAGTGCAATTTTTTGAAGGATAGCTGTTTTCCACTTCACATACTGTTTCTGAGAGTGAAAATTAGATAGGTTCATGCAAGCTGAACTGAATCTCTCCACCATCCCCAATGATCACTAACAAAGCTAAGGTGGTATGGGGCTGTACCAGTGCTCACCTTTTGCTGAAACATCTGCCACGCTGGCACTATATAAGCCAAGTTCCAGTGGGAGGCCTACACAGGTAGGTACAATGTGTCGAAGTTCTCCTGCCAGTATGGGCTGGGTCCATCTGCCTGTTATGCCATTTTGGAACAGGGTGGTCAGCATCTCTGCTGGTTGTGTCACAAGCTAAGCAAAATTAAAGATGTAGGTGTGTTAATCAGCAATTGGAGATGGAGAGTATTTCCACACCCTTCCAGACTGACAAAAGTTGATATATACGATATCTTTATTGTCATTGTCACATACAGAACAATGAAATTGAAAAACTACATAAAACATTCAAAAACCCCTAAAAACTCTGAAACCCCATTTTAAAATACACTATACTTAACATACCTTCACAGCCTTTTCAATGAGTTCTTTGTCAACCAGAACAAAGGCAATATCATGACTAAATAATTTCAGAGAGCTGAACAACTGAGGCTTTTCTGAAGGGAGTTCCTTCCATCCCTTTAGCTGGCAAGAGAGAAATAATTGGTTTTTTTGAGGTTGCTTATAGTCATGTCGGGTTTCACATAGTGTCAGTTTACCTTTAATTATTGCAGAAATTATATAGTTGCTAATTGAAACATACTCATTTGGTTTTCTTTGGACAAGGGGTAGACAACTGCAAGCCTAGGGACCTCTGGGCCTCTCTATATCTGGTCTTTGGGACTCTCTCCAGGCCATAACCCTTCTTTGATCCATACCCCTCACTGCCCCTGCTCCACACCCTCCTTTATTTATTTTGCCTGGCAGGAGTTTATCATTGACCTATAATGCCTTCTGCGTGCCTGGATGCAACAATGTATTTATAGACACCTCCAACTTTGGGGTGACTGAGCCAAACCACTCTGTGAAGCACCTGTCCCCCTCCATTAAACAGCTTGCCTAGCCACCTGCCACCCATGCTGCTTGCTCATCTCCCTGTCTGCTATCACACCAAATAGTCTCCAATAGATGGTCGCATGAATCGCAGCGTGACGACACCCTTGCATTTTATTTATATAGGAGGAGATCTACAGATTCCGTGTGCATGCACATGGTTGTCACTGATTGATTGATTGATTGATTGATTGATTGACTGACTCTCATTGTTAAGACGTACTGTCAACCCACCATGGGAAAGTCTGAAAATGTGTTGTTTGCAACTCCTCTAAAATGGGAGACTTGAATTGTACTCTTCACAGGAGGTATAGTTAAATGGTGGGATTCACTCCCAGAAGCAGTAGCGATGGCCATCAACTTGGACAGCTTTACAAGAGGATTAGACGAATTCACAGAGGAAAAAGTTGTCCATGGCTACTAGTCACGATGACTATGTTCTGTTTTCACTGGCTGAGGCAGCATGCCTCTATATATACCATTTGCTGGGGAGAATGTTGTGGGGGGATGTTGTGTACTCAGGTCCTGCTCACAAGTTTGACATAGGCATTTGGTTGGCCACTGTGATAACAGAATGCAGGACTTGGTGGAACTTTGGGCTGACCCAGCAGTGCTCTTTTTGTGTTCCTATGCTAGCTAAACACCTATTATTTGCTACAAATGTTCTCTGAAACTTCTTGAAACAAACAACTGAAAAGGATGATAAATGGGACATTTCGGCAACAAATGGTGAGAACATGGGGTAGTGGAGATCAAGCCAAGATACACATGGTATGCAGTGTTTGGCTCTGGGAATAAGCTTTTGACTTCTCTTAGGAGGGTTCAGGCTAGATGGGGGATTGTTGTCCTTTCAGCTACTTATCAGGTTTGGTCGGAGGAAGAGTGGTTTGCGGCACCATCCAGAAACACGTATATCCATGCATGCAAAATGCAGCGGCTACTAGCCTCAATGGCTATGTTCTATGGCCACTGCCAAAGGCAGTATGGCTCTAACTATCAGTTGCTGGGGAATTGCAAGTGGACAGGGTGTTGTTGTGCTCAGGTCCAGTTTACAGGTTTCCCACTGGCATCTGGATGACAACTGTGACAACAGGATGCTGGAATGGATGGACCATTGGCTTGATCCATCAGGGCAGTAGTAACCCCCTTCAGTGGGGATGAAGTTAGGCTAAAAAAGCAAATGAAGTGGCAGGCCACACTTCCAATTAAAAATGTACTGTGATTCAAACTAACAACAACAGAAAGGCACACACATACCAGTTTCCCAAGCGCCCTAATTTTTTTGTACATTGAAGACTCAGCAAATGGAATATCTTGTGTTTTGAAGATATCGGCAAGGCCTTCCAGGTCTAAACGAACCTATGTAAAGTAAATAAGCTTTATATGCGCAAAAATATGAATCTATGAATCACGGAATCACTGAAGAACAGAAAATGAAGAAAGGTTGTTTAGTAAATCTTTGTAAAGAAAAGGCCTGGAGGAAACTAAACAGAGCAGAGAAGATATTGGAGGAATTCCATTGACAGTACGATTTCATCTCAGGTAACTTCTTTTCAATACCTTCCCTACACTGAAGCATTGAAACACCAACTGAAATGACTATTTGGAATAAGAGGAAGTCCAGATAGGAAGAAACCAGTGATGTTGGAACCTTCAAACAAGGGGTGGAGGAAAAATTCAATCCAGTTCATATTTAAAGCTGAATCTATCAAAGTTGCACTTTTCAAAACAAATGAGAACCGAAACACAGCTATCTTTGGAAATTCGTGCAGATATGAATTTTGCAGTGCAGTTTTCCAACCTAACAATGCTTACAGAAATGCACATGTTAGCGGAAAGTATGAATAAAAATTGAGATATCAGTGAGCATAACACAAAAATGCATTGTATTAGGGGAAATCGTTCCAAAAATGTGTACACTGCATACAAAAAGCTGTTTGTTAGGAGAAATTCACACTAAAATGCTGGTGAATTTCCATGGGGTTTTAAAAAAACAATAATCTGCAAATTGCTGCTAAATGTGGAAAATTGAATATAAGATTTAAAAATTTCAGATACTGAGAGAACTGGAATTGATAAATCCTTCCCTCCCTACTTCACACACAGTATTTTCCTCGGCAGTGTTCCTTTGTTTATGATAAACTACCATTCTTGCCCCTGGCAAGCAACATGGCAGGTTGCTAGGGACAGGAGGAATATTAGCATGCAATGGAAACAAAGCATATTTGGCCCTCAGCATTATAGCTTAGATCGCTCCTGATGTAGCTGGACTACCATCACATCTGTACCATACATTTAAAGTACTCTTACACCACTTTGGCAGTCATGGCTCCCCTCCCCCTATCCCGGGAACTGTAGTTTGTTAAGGGTGCTGAGTGTGGTTGGAAAATGCCTTGGAGAGCTCCAATTCCCAGCACCATTGACAAAACTGAGGCCTTAATTTTAAGCTTCATGCCTTCAAATAGTAATCATAATGTTGGATCTAATGAAAAAGCTAACATTTTCCTCTAAAATTGTAGCTTTAGAAGAAGGAATTACATACCATTTTCCACTGATATGTACTTACCTCTGCAATATCCATTGCTGAAGTGGCGTAGTAGCCTCTCATCTTTGCAAGGACTGATGGAAACAGTGTCTTCGGACTATTCATTAGGTAGACTCTTCCAATTGCACCAGCTCTGTAATTTCCTATGATAGGAATTTACAAAATAAATAAAAACTGTTTGCTGCTCGTTGTAGGATTTGTTTCACACAGACGGATGCAATTCGATATACTCACTTGCAAATTACACAGCAAGTGGAATCATAGCGAGACAGACTATTGGTCCATTTCGCTCAGTTCTGTCTACACTGATTGGCAGCAGCTCTCCAGGGTTTTAGGCAAGGGTCTCTCCCAGTACGTATGGTGCTCTCAGCAGTGCCTCATCCAAGGAGTGCAGTTCCCAGGCAGGGATATAGAGAATCAAGTGATCCCTTATACATCCTGATCCCAAGTTGTTTAGGGCTTTAGATGTGAAGACGTTTTGCCCTGCCGCATCCCAAGCATACTTGTCCCTTTTGAGGATAGCTACAGAATTTTGTGGGGGCTTAGCCCCCTTCTTGAAAATGGCCCCCATGGCCCCACATAGATGGCGCCCCTGGTACGGGGAGATATATTGCATGGCAAGGCCCTGGGCCCTCCCCCACCTCTTGGAAAATAAAACACACAGACACCAATATTTTGGGTTAATGGGATAATTAAGGCCACAATTTTATTGGTTACAGATGTGAGCAGTATTGGCTTAGGCATTGGAACTGAACTGACTATATCTGACTCCTGCCCACCATGCAGGTAGTCTCATAAGGGTTAACCACCAGTAGGGGGTGCCCTGTTGATGTACATCAACTGCGAGCTCCTCTAGGGTCACTGATGGGGTCATGGCATGGCCCTAGCCCATACCTGGGCTTTGGACAGGATCCACACCCCTGGATCCCTTTAACGGAATACCCTTCAAGAGGAGGGGCAGATGAAGGACACTACCTCCCCTCCCATAAACCACGTTTTACCAATGCCTAACTGCCAAACCTTACAAAGTTGTGGCGATTGCTACGAGGCAGGTGAAAAACACATGGCTGGTGCCAATTTGCCAAATGGGAAAATTCCTACCTGGCCCCCTAAACAGGCAACCAACCGTGGTCCATAGCAAGGCCAAAGGCAAACACATGAAACTAGGGTGGGAGATCCAACACAGGAGGAGGCAAGAAGGAAGAGCGCCCCAGCCACGCGGCAGTTTAAATAGCGTAAGCCATGCCCCCTGGTTGACCAGATAGGTTGGACAGGGACTGTGACGCAGCTGGGTCCTCCAGTGACGCGGGAGGCTAGGCCACACCCCCCCGACGCAGGGAGTGCATGTGGCCTGCCTGCATCCCTGCCCCCCCTGGGAAGGGGAGAGGCTTTACAGAAGGGTTTTGTAGGTAAAGATAAGGAGTTTGTGCTGGATTATACGATGGGAAGGAAACCTGTTTGAGGAATGAGTGCTGGTGTGAAGTCAAAAGATCCCTCACACTTTACCATCTAAAGTCTGTGACATTGACATGGGAACTTGGAACATTAGTCTCCCTTCATCATAAGTTCCTCGTTTAATATATTACCAAACCACAGCATGGGATGCTTCAGCCATAATCTCTTGAAATATAAAGGTGGAGCTTCGTACAGCAGCAACATCTCGCAGGACAAGTAATCCAGTTTAAAAGGGAAAAAAGAAATCATGCAGCTGAACCAGTTACTTACGGTAGAAGCCATCGATGTGGATGACGCTGCTGTAGCGAATGCTCAGCTTCTCTAGTCTGGGAGAGAGCAGCATGATGGCAACTCTGCAAGCTGCAGACCTAAGGGACAGCAGTGGAACGATATCATAATCCTATTTAAGCAGTGCTTTTTTTCTTGAAAAATGTTTAGGGGTACTCTCATTTTCCTACTCATATTGAAATATTGCCCTTCAATGAGGCCAAACTTAGATTCACAAAATGTCTAGGGGTACGCATACCCCTGCGTCCCTCCAGAAAAAAGCACTGTATTTAAGACACTTCAATAGACTTAGCAACTTTCAGGAAGATGTTTACTTATTATCAAGAGGGAAATCAAAATCTTTCACGTTGTTGTTTTTTGTTTGTTTTTAAAGACCCCAGTGGAGTTTAAAGGTTCTCCCACTCACATGGGGCCTGCTCAGGGGCGGACCTTGGTCACATGCTGCCCTGTGCAAAGCCACATGACTCCCTCCCCCCAGACCTTGTGGCGCTGGCCTAAGCCAGGCTTTGGGAAGGACGTGTGAGGTTCTGGCAGGGTCCTAGAGCACTCTCACTTCTTTCCCAAAGGCCAGTAAGTGCTTGCCCATCTTTGGGAAGGAGGAAGGAGGGCTCTAGGGCCCTGTCTGAACCCTCATGCCTCCTTCCCAAAGCTGGGCAAGTGCTCACCAGACTTTGAGAAGGTGCCTTTCTTGGCTATGCGTCCAGTGCGGCTCCCTGGCCTACTTTTTCGTGAGCGGATGCTGTGCAGGTGGGAAATCAATTCAGGATCCAACCACATAGGGTGGGAAATCAATTCAGGATCCAACCACATAGGGTGGGCTGACTGTGTCGGTTAAGGATCTAGAACCTTATTTCTGTTGAAGGCCGCTTTCCCTTGGGGGGTAACATTTGGGGGGCTGCATGCTGGTGGTGGGACCAGAGTAAAAAAAAAGTGAATGACCACCAATCGTCTCTCTCCGACCCTATTTCTCTCTCTCTTTCTGAAAGACCCTTCCCTTCCAAACAGCCAGAGGTGTGAACCAATTGCTTGCACGGGGCTTTTGCAACCAGGCCAATGGAGCTCCAGTAAACTCTTGGTGCTGTGCTGGTTTACTAGGCTCCCTTGTTTGTAGTTCTCCTTCTACTTACAGGTCATAGAGCTGTGGAATCTTGCCCATGGCCAAGACCTTCATGTGTGAATAGGCAAAGCTGGCAACCTGCAGATTTCTCTCCCTTTGCACGGCATTGGCCAAAGCTGTCACTAGAGGGACAGCCGGTTTGGTTTCAAAGAAAACAACACAGGCCACCATCCGGACTTTAGAAGGAAGAGAGTTGTTTGCAAAGATCTGAAAGAGAATTCCCCGCACCTGGAGAGAAAAAGGACAATGCCACAAGTTAAACGATAATTTATGTACCAGTGTAGAAAGCTGCCTTATGACTAGAAATGGGCGAATTTGTCAATTTCACGTTTTTCCAATCTCCACAATTTCCACATCATGTTGTGAAAATCCACCAGCATTTTAGTGCAAATTTCTCCTAATATGCATGTTTGTGTGGCATTTTGCCTAATATACAAGTTTTGCAGAGCAATTTTCCCTAAAAGAATCCATTTTTGCATGTGATTTTCATGAATTTATGCATTTTTATGCACACTTTATCCCCAGAATAAACATTTTTGTACACATGACTTGGCTGGAGAACTGCTTTGCAAACTTTGGAGAATAGACACACATATATCTAGTGGGTTTCTTCCTGGGGGGACACAGGGGGACGCATACCCCTAAACATTTTGTGAATCTTTGTACTTTTGTCCATTTACTGTATTTTTCCCCCCTGATTTGAACTATAAAACAATGCTTTTCTTGAGTCAAAATGAGAGTATCCCTAAACATTTTTTTAAGAAAAAAACACTGCATATATCTATAATAGTCAGTTATAGGACCCTCCTACATCTGAGCTGCAGTGTTTTGCAGAAATTGGTACTGTTGTAGCAGCCCATGATTTGACACTTCGGATGCAATTCAGAGATTAAAAGTTCACCTGTGACACAAGCAGTTAAATGCCTTTTTGCAAGGCACTGCACTTCCTGCTTGCCGCCATGTTACCTTTCTGTGAGAGAGGGTAGGAAAGGGTCTCTCAGAAGGCCACGCAACCATCCCAGTGAACGCCTCTCATGTGCCCTTGGGAGGATCCTTTGCTAAGCAAATACACTTTTAGCAAAATAATTTGCACTGCACGGCATCCATTTGCTGATAACCCCGGTTCAGTGCCCTACGTTAATGTGCATGCTTCCTGGCCCCTATCTTAGATTACACCTGACATTTGCTCTGCGTCCCATTTATTTGGTTAAGAATGGCTTTGCTTACTTCTGGGGCTTGCTTCCTTGCTATTTTCCTCAAGGCTAGTACTGCCTCGGTCTGGACATTCTCTGGCAAAGCATCAGCAGTTGATGAAAACCCTGGCAAGAACTTCTTGATGTAATTAATGCTGGCTGGTTCTCCTGCGTTGCCCATGGCCTTCAAGGCCAGCACCATGTCTTCCTCGTGTCCTTCGCTGATTGCACCAGCTGCAAGATCATGGAGAGGCTGGAAACAGAACAAGGGTCTCATGTTAATCGTTCAGTTGCTGATCTTTCCTAGGAAGCTCAGGGGTGATGTTTGCCTATGTGGAATGCACAGGAACTCAAGAACAGCAAAACAACTAGCAGTTCATCCACACAAAACTCACAACTTGAATCCCTATTAGAAAAAATATATATTTTTAAACACATTTTCTCTCAGAATGCACATGTGCATTTGTAGATGAGAGCTGCTTTGGGACGTTTAGGATGTGCGAAAGTCAGGGAATAACTGAGTCCCAATCAAATTCCCACAACCCAAGGCGCCAATCTGCAGGCAGGTTTTTGCACACTTTTAGGAAATGTGAACACTGCTTTGTTACCTGAAGAATTTCAGCAGGGCAGGGGCGGAAGTCAGTGCAGTGCCTGTTTACCATGGCACCATATCCTAAGTCAACGACGATGCGAAGCGCTGAGGATTTCTGAACTCCAGGAGAGGTAATCAGATCCTGCAGAAGCCAAAACAAAGACAATGTAATGTGGATATTTGCTGGAACCATTGGTTTGTTTGAAATATATCTGAGCCACTTTTCCCAGAGCTCAAGGAGGCTTACATAAATTATTACACTAATAACTCCGGTACAGAGAACTACAGCTTGAAACCAAAAATAATGACCCACTATAAAGATTTTTCAGCCCTTCCTACAATTTTCTCAGACCCCCAAGTCACCTGAAGCACTACCTCCTTCCCTACAGATGCCATGCTGTAAGTAGTTCTACAGCCCTCAGTAGCTTAGATAGTGGTGACCTGGGAGAGGACATTTTCTGTGGCAGCTCCTAAGTTTTGAAATTCTCTCTCCATAGAGGTGCAACCAGGAAATGTTTTGGGCAAATGCTGAAGACACACCTCCTTTACCCTGGCCATTGACACCTGAGATGTGTGTTTTCAGAACCACCTTATTTCTTCTGATTGCTTTTTTTTTTGTAATTGTAAGCTTCTAAAATAATTTTTAATTTAGTTTTTTTAATTGTTGTAACTTTGACTGAAGGATGAAGGACAGGTAATGATGATGATGATAAAACCAATCATCTTGCTATCTATAAGCTTTACTACACAGACGGGCCTTGTGCAATAGTTTAAATCTCAACTTCTGGTCCCATTACATATTTATTCCTGAGAATGTCAAAAGCACACCCTATTCTGACACCCAACGAAAACATATATTGCTTTGACACTGTCCATTTCAGCACCACTTTACATCTTCTGCTTGCCTTCACTGATTTGCTCTTGTTTCCCTATGCAACTTGAAGCAAGATCACATGGGGCGTAACAACCAATGACGTCACACCACCATGATGACATCATGGACCCCATAAACAAAATCATCTGGGTCAACACCACTACCAATTGTATCAAATGGTAGTGCCAGCAAATAAGGACAGCAAGTGCAAAAAACAAGCTAGAAAATGATACTGTGAAGAAACACTAGCTATATGGGAACAAAAGGATTACACACAGCATTGAAACAATGTCATTATTTTCAGTAATTTGTTTAGGGCTGCTGAGCATATTAATTCTGAGGTAAATCTCAATATCTGAGGCTCAAGATTATTCAAACGCTTTAACCACCTCGAAAAAGTGGAGAGATTACAAACTGATTAAAACTGATTGCATATCATTTATTCAAAAGCAAAGGAAGCTTTATACTCTTGTGATCTTTTTCACTGAAGGCAGAAGAAAAACTGAGACTAAAATGCTGCTCTGAAGCTCCCTACTGCTTAGGGAAGTGGGTAACATTAAACAGTATACTTACTGCTGCCGCTTTTAAGGTAAGGCTACTGGTTTTTGTTAAATGGAAGGCCAAAGTAAGACTGAGAGCAGACTCCAAGGAACTGAGAGACTCTTCTTGAATTCTTTGCTTCAGGAATGTAAACGTATTGGTGGTTCCTGCTACAGCAACTGCACTCAAGAGCCAGCGCCTGTAAAGCAAGGTGAGAGATCGTCATCTTCTGTTTCCCCTGACTGGTAGGATCAGCATAATCACCTGGCATCCTTGGACAACGTCCAGTGCCCCACGGAGCCCACTTTTGATGGCTGCCTTGGTCCCCTCTTTTTTCAGCACTCTGCTGACTAGTAAGCCACCATTTCAGTTGCTTAAAATTGCAGAGAGCACCCATGATGACCTCCAACCACCCATTCGAGTCAAGTAAGAACTACCAGTGCACAGAGGAAGGGACCCACTAGAGGGCACTACACTGAGGCCCCACTCACACCTAGAGCTGGCCGTGCCAACTAAAAACACGGGTTGCACATTAACAGCATCAAATACCTATATAGCTGTCTATCTGCAAATTGTTTCCAGAGAGATTCAAGATCTTCAGAGGTGGCTGCTCGGGAAAGTTCAATAAGTTCTAAGAACTTGGCTGGCGTTTCTGGATGGAGTTGTAGCTGGCTCTCCTGAATTAGCCACTCCAGCATTTTCACCATCTATAAGGTAAACAGAGGGCGAAAGGCACTGGTTATATTCCCCTCTTGACTATTTAGAATCATTTTCTAGGCCTTCCGTTCATTTTCTGTTGCGAAACGTCTCACCCGTGGCTCAGGGTTATCGGTCTTTATTAGGTGCAGAGCCATCTGGGGAAGGTCTTCTGGAAACTGATAATGAATATTTCCGTAGTTTTGCAGCAAGTTCCCTGGCATTTTGTCTTGGTTGGTTGTCGTTTCGATCAAAGTCAAGTTTTGTCTGGATGGGGTAAGAAATAAATTCATGTATTAACGCTGAGAAGAAGGATTAAGGTTGAAGTCTATAGATTCTGACAGAAAGGAAATGCATTCACTTTGACTGAGAGAAGCCCGTGTTCAGCATCACCATGGTGCCCAGTCTGAGGGCTCAAAGCATTGGTCAGTTTAGGATTCTACAACCTGTACATGCAGCTCAATGGTAGATCTCATGCTTCACATGAAGAAAGTCCTGGGTTCAGACTCTTGTTTCAAACCCTATAAGAGCTGCTTCAAGGTAGCATTCTTCATCCAGCATTGCATCAAACACTGATTATATATATTACTGCCCTTCATCAAAAGATCTCAGGACGGTTCACAGAATAAAATACAAGGTAAAACACAAGTAAATAATTTAACCAAAACAGCAAAACAATAACCCCTCTTTTCCACAAACACAATTAAAAGGATATAAATATTAATCAGCCCAAGGCCTGGTTGAAGAGGAATGGTTTTGCCTGGCACCTAAAAATATATAATGATGGTGAGCAGGCCACAAATGGGGAGCCACTGCAGAAAAGGCCCATTCTCGTGCTATCACCCTCTGGACCTCACATGGAGGAGCCACACGCAGAAAGGAATGATAAACTCAGAGTCTGGGACGGTTTATACGGAGATAGGCTGTCCTTGACCTTGAGAGTTCTCTCACTTCAAGAGAAAATCAGCTAACCATTTGGAGAGCTGCCATATCTTTAATGTTGTCGTCACTTGTTGACCACAGAATGAAGTGATATTTTCATGTGATGCTGCAGCCATCACAGATCAAACACTCCAAACACTTGCATCTCCCCTGACATCACCTTAGACACAACACTTTTGAAGGGTTTCCCATTCTCAGCTACCAGTCAGCAAGCACAGCCTAATCATGTGCCAATAGAGTGATGTGCATGCATGTGCAAACCAATCCACAATTCTGGTGACATGCTTGTCCCTTGCTCTGATTGTACCACCATGTCAGACATACCTTGCGTCCATAACAGCAGTACTACCAACTTCATTGAATGGGGAGATAGTATACACCTGCCGGGAGTCAACGTGTGTGATCAGGGCTCCGGTATCCATGTATTTTAGTCGGTAGTTGAAGGCCACAGCCCCTCTTGTGTTTGTGATGTTCTAAGAAGGACAAATAAACTGCTTATATCAAGTTCTTTTAAAATTAACTTGGTTTATACTATTTGAAGCAACCTCCATTGTGAATATTTACATCAATGGCTGCTGTTAAGGCTCCTTACCAAAGGACATGTAGGACAAGGCCGGACATAGGCCATTCCAATGTTCTTCACAACTTTGTTTGTGCAGTTGCTGAGGTCTTTGGTTCGGGAAATGGTGCTTACATTATTGGCCTTGTCCTCCTGGACAATGTACTTGGTGAGGCAAGTTCCTCCAACTCCATCCTGCAAAGAGCAATGGACAACAATGAAATCACAAAATCTTAGGTCCTAGGAAGATCGGAAAGTCTTGTGCACCATAGCAATGCAGTGCCCTACATAACCGTCTCCCTCACTTCCTATTAACCCACATAATTCAGGTTACAGTTTGTTAAAAGGAGAAATCAGGAATGAACAAGGCACACTAAGCTCATCAGAGTGAAGTGAGTAAAGTCATATGTTTTCAGGATGGGAATAGGTAAGCATGGGCAATGCAGGGCAATAGATATTTAGATAGGCTGAGTGGGAAGGAATTTATTTCATTTTTGATGTTCTTCTTCACCCATGGTTCTCTTGAGGTACCAGAGATGGGTGCAACTTGGGGAAAGTGATATTGATCCCAATCTGGAGAAAGTTTTCATTTGAAATCAATTTATCTGCAATGAGATCATTGTGGACAAGGCATAATTTATGCGACAAACCTACCAGTATGTTGAATTCTCCCCCACCCCCAGATGTAACTCACTAGGAAGATTTTGCTTTCATTTTCAAGGTTTGAAAGTTCATTGGTCAATGTGAAAGCCACTCATCATATGTGATCACTACATATATGTTTATTTCACTGCTTCTATATAGCTGGAATCCCTTCATGGATCACTGCCTTGTCGTGGTGAAGGGGCTTGAATATCTCCAAGAAGCTATGAGCTATGCCGTGCAGAGCCACCCAAGACGGACAGGTCATAGCCAAGAGTTTAGACTAAATGTGATCCACCTGGAGAAGGAACTGGCAAACCACTCCAGTATTTTGCCAAGAAAACTCCATGGACATGAAAAAGGAGAAGCTTTGAGAAGTGAGAGTTTCCAAGGCACACTCTGGTTCATGAGGTCATGGAGAGTCGAACACGACTAAGACAATTAAACAACATATAGCTAGAAACCTGAGGTGTGTAGTAGCTTCTTGATCAAACTTGCATGTAATGCAATAATCTCACATCATAAGCTACACAGATATTTTTGCACTACTCAGACAATGAAGTTCCTTGATTTAGAAAATGTGTGGAGTAGCACATTACTTTTGGCACTCTCTAATTTAGTTGGCACGGCAGATTGCGTGGACAGGCGGAGTCCCCAGATCCCGCGCGGTCCCCCCGTCATGTGGAATAATGACTCATGACAACGTGCTATGGGATTTAATTGGCCACAACTTTATTAAATTTCAAATGTGGGTAGACCTTGGCTCAGGCATTGGGCGTTCTCCCTCCCCAGTCCCCAGCCGGGGACCTAGGGAGCATCAGGGTTATCCAGTGGGGGGGGGATGGGCCGGCTCTGGAGAACATATGTTCAAGCAGAGATAGCCGCCCCCGTTACGCCGCCGCCGCAGGGGAGAGCAATGACAACCTTTCGGCGTACGGTCAAAGCCTCCCTTCATAAACCCCTTTAACGGGGAACCCTGGTATCGCCGCCGCAAAGAGGAAGATGGACTAAAGGATTCCGCCCAAGGCCTGATACCGCCAAAGTTGTGACGTTTTGCTATGGGAAAGGCGAAACCTGCCAATGCAGGGAAATTCCTTTCAGGCCCTTTAACAGCGACCTTATCGCAGCAGCGCCTGCATACCTGTGAAGAAAAGTTAACCTGCAAAACCTGTGAAGAAAAGTTAACCTGCAAATAAGACATTTACTGAGAGTGGGTAGGGTGGGAGAAGCTCTGGAGCCAAGTGAGGATTCCCAGGTAAGATCCTCCCTCTATTGTGTGGGCAGGTAATCCCTCCCCTACCTGGCCTGGTCTCCTTGGCAACGCTTCCCCCAGGTGGGATTGGACAACTGACTGAGGTTGGCGGAGACATCCAGGTATCCCACCTGAGGGAAGGCAAACCAAGCCTATGCTGTTGGAGCCGCTCCAGATCTAGGGGCTGCACGCGTCCACGCAAAGGGCGCCCCCCGTTTTAAGCGGGGAGCGGTCATTGCAAAAGGGATGTTGGTTAAGGACATTGTCTGGGACAGTCTTCCCTAACCTGGTGCCCTCCAGATATTTTGGACTACAACTCCCATCATCCCTGATCACTGGCCATGCTGGTTGCAGCTAACGGCAGTTCTCCAAAACACCTGAATTATACCAGACAAAGGAAGGCTGGCCTAGGAAGTTTGGCAGGATGTCCTTTACATCTCTTCCAACCCTATAGTTCTGCATTCTGATTCATGTTCATCACTAGATCATTACAGCATCACATTTAATGTATTAATAAGCCACGATAAATCAAACACAACAGAAAGAGCTTTTGCAGCACCACTCATAATTTTGGACACAATGCTCATAATGGAGTTAGCTCACTTTTGTTCAGATGCAAGTCATTAATTGCTAAGTAATCAAGTGATTAGAAAGCAATTAAGTGGTTCACAGGAACAAGCCCTGGGGGACACTTTCAGAAAGTTCCCATGTAAAAACAACAACACATGATTCTAATACGCTAATGTTTGTTCTTAAAATGAGTCATTTTAGAATCTGAAAAGACCAAAAAATAAATCCCATACCTCTTGCAACTCGTACACACTCTCCATCTCATTTACAGATATCTGCAGCAAGTTCAGGATGCCCCTTATTATATTTATGCACTCGATTGAGACATTTTTAAGGGCATAAATATTTCCGATGCAACCTCTTCTGTATTCAAACTTAAATGGTTCAGGAAAACATAGATCCAGCTTCTGAGTGAGAGTGGGTGTTTTGAAGGTTGGATCTCTGGGCCATATTCCATTGTATTCTTCCACCTGTGGAGAAAGGACCTAGGGGCAAAAGCAGCAGAAGAGTGAAGATTTGAGCCAAATTAAAATATTTACATGCAAGCAACAGAAGAGTCATATAAGGAAGAGAGAAAGATTTACCTAAATTTGAATGTGGCACCAAAACTGAGAACATGTATCTCCTGAGTGGGCCCTTACTCTCAAGTAACTATGTATTAAGTAGTTATTACATATTACATATTAACTATGTAATAAGTAACCTTATTTCTTCCTTCTAGTTGGGACCAGAATAGTATGCTGAGTAGGGTTCATCATGACCTCAGCGCTGTTCCTTGTGTTATGACACAATGCTGGAAATTGTTGTATGCTGGCAAACACTTCATTGTGCTCTGGTACAAGAGTCCTCCATTTTGGTTAACCTTGCAACTTATTCTCTTCTGCTGCCTTTCATACACCGTCCCCCTTATCTGTTTCTGGTTGCTCATTCCACCCTCTCTCTTAATGGAGGCTTACCCTCACAAGCTCTGTTCAATTTTACAAGGCCTATCAGAATGAAAAACAGCTCCTACATTTCTAAAGCATTTGATGAGGTTGCTGTCATGTCCACTTTCCCCCCTTTTTATCAGTTTCCCAGACGTACAACTCAACCGTCCACCCCAGTATAAAAAATTGTGTTAAGCTACCAAACTTCTGTATTTGTCTTCAAGTTTGCCATCTAATTCTTTAGGAGGTGCCGACATTGGTAGGCTGGTCCACATCTTTTTCACTAGCTTAGCAGAAATCTCCTAGAAGATCCCACGTAGCTACACTGATGCTTATGTCTTTCTGAGCTATTCTGAATAAACGGACCTCATTAGTCTAGCCATGTTTTGTTTCTGTGTGAGTTGTAATAAGCCATTCTCCTTCAGTTCCCTCACGGATGAAAATGTATTGATAACATCTGTATATTTTGGCTGAAAAAGTTAACCAAAAAGTATTGGGTGATATCTAATGTTAGTCATCTTCAGAGTGGAACCACTGAAATCAATAGCCTTGTGTTGATATCACCTTACATACCAATACGCATAACAAAAGCATCAATGGCATTTTTGTTCTAAGAAAAGAGCTTTGGGTGGGCCCTTCAACCTGTTTCCGCCTGCCTCTCATGAGATTCTAGACACTTGCTTCCATGCTTAAGCTGCCCACCCCTTCTCCACTCCTATCAAATGGTCTCCTATCAAACCAGCTATCTAAAAAACCAGTCTCTCCTGTATCAGTTTCTACAGCCACAGCAGGCTCTGTAACTCTCCAATGGTATGGTGTAACTTCACCCCTGAAAGCACACTCCCTGAGACAGATGGATGCCAGCCAACCAAAGCCACACGATTCCAGGTGAAGAAAGAAAGAGCTTAACAGGTAAGTTTAGTCACTAAAATTAAAAATTGTTATCATAATCTACCTTAAGAATGTGGTCTTCCTGGGATACTCTGCTGATCTTTACTTGGCAAGACAGTTTTAAGACAGATTTTTCTAAATCCCCATCTTCCAATCCAATCTGAATGAGTCCGGTATAGTTGTAAAGGTAGGATTTGAGATTGCTAAAACCAGGTTCTGTTAAAAAGGAGGGGGAGAGATAATTCTGAGTACCTACACAAATAAGAACACAACAGTAACAGTAATATCTGTGATGCTTGGGAATTGAGCACATTCCCAAAGTACTATAAATTATACAAAATAAACTGCAAAATATGTGAATGAATTAGAATATTTCTAGTATATGTCAGGATGCTGAATTCAGCTTGAAACCAAAAGGTTAATTGTCTCTCAAAAGCAGATTTACATGTAAATAACAATTTCTGTGATTCCTAAATACAGCTGAATGCAAAAAAATCCTTGCACAATTCAGTCCTATACATGTTTACCTGGAAGTCTGTCCTTCTGAGTTCAATAGGCTTACACACTAGTAACTAATAGGCTATACAGCTTGGACATACAGTATCTAAGAGCAGGCCTATAACTAGTGCTGTGAATCTTGACCCTCCCAGAAATTTATCCTTCTCGCTCCCCCTCCATGCCACAAAAATGAAAACAACCCTTACTTGGTCCCTTGTGCTGTCTTGTGCCCTTTGAGGGGGGGAAATGGCAAAATGTAAAGTACTGTAACACAAATCCACAGAGAACCTCTCTACGCTTTAGCCAATAACTACCAAAAAGATAGCATGTTAATAATGAGAACTTGACTTACCGATATCATTTTTCTGGCTCCCTGTGTGGGGAAGAAATACATTTGTAAGTGGAAAGAATTGTAATTTAATATGATAGATAGATGATCTATGATAGATAGATGATAGAAAGAGATTTCACTTGGGATAGGGTGAGGTGCGACTTCCAATTCCACCTTGCCCCCCCCTAGAGATCCCCATCCCTACCTAGTGGCAGAGGGAGTAGGGAGCTTACCCACAAGAGTGATGAGCAGCACAAAAACGACCCCCCTCATGTTCAAGGTGAATGAAAATGTCAGGGAACAACACCAGCTTTTATACACAAAGAATGATTAACAGGCATCTGGTGCTGGGGGAGGAGTTATTGAGTTATCAACTTGGTTACTCAAGTTGCTCAAACATTCTGTTGGCAACCATATTGGCTTTTTTTGCTTTATAAAGAGAATGAAAAATATTGATGCGGCCCCTCAAACTATTCACTGCTGCGATGCAAGCGCAGGGTGGAGGAGGGCAGGAAACAGGGGCAACTTCAATGGAATTGTGAAGTGCAGCTGCTCATGATCTGAGCCAGCCGGCAAGCTATGGTTACTTTTGGCATACTAAAGGTTGTTCTCCCATTCATTCCACCAGTAAGGCAGGGCAGATCTTTCAATTTTGGTGCTGTCGGTTTCTCGTTTTTCCAAACTTAAATTCAGTCCTCCATATTTCTGCAACATTTTCTATCTTCATGAAAAATCAGCATTTTTGTGCAAATTTCTCATAGTAAACATTTTTGTACCCATTTATTGCAAGCAGATCCCCTTCATGATGTGTGTGTGTGTGTGTGTGTGTGTGTGTGTGTGTGTGTAAAATCTCACTAATATATAGATTTTTATGCTCACATTCCCCCAGTATATGAATTTTTGTACTCATTACTGGGTTGGTGAAGTGCAGTGCAAAATTTGGAGAATTCTTACTGGGCTATTTTGGGATGTTTCCTCCTCCTTTCCCCTTAGGCCTTTTCTGTCTTTCCTAAATATGTTTTTATCTGTACTTCTGCAAACTTTGGGACCAACCCTTCCGCCCACACGTTGATACCTTCTCTTATTTCTCAATTTTAGCTACATCGCTGTCATGGCTCAGCTTCCTGAATTTGCTAAGATTATATATGATGGAGATTTATTTTCTTTTTTTAAAAAATGGCAAACTTTGGATACATGATTATTTAAGAATATATATATAGAAATGTTTACTCCAGAAGGAGAATCATGGATGGCCATGATGAGCTGGAAGGTTTTGAAACATTTGTATTTAGACATAAGGTTGGCAAGGTCATTTTGACCTGACACACATGGCCCAAGCTCTTATCTGTGTTCTTTCAACTGCAGGACAGAGACATCAGCAATCATATAAAACTATCTGAAAGACAGCCCGGCTTACGTGCATGGCTTCATTGGTATACTGCCTCATAAAATTGAAGAGTTGGAAGGGACCCTGAGTGTCATCTTTTCCAGTGCCTTGCAATGTAGGAATCTCAACTACAGCCATCCAAGCTCTGCTTAAAAACCTCTGATGAAGGAGAATCTACAGCCTCCACTGTGGAACTGCTCTTACCGTCAGAAAGTTCTTTCTGATGTTTAGTTGGAATCAACATTCTTGTAACTTGAATCCATTGGTTTGGGTCCTAGCCTCCAGAGCAGGAGTAAACAAACTTGCTCCATCCTCCATGTGACAGCCTTTCAGATATTTGAAGATGGCTGTCATATCTCCTCTCAGTCTCCTCTTCTCCAGGCTAAAAATACCTAACTCCCTCAACTGTTCCTCATAGGTCGTGGTTTCCAGACCCTTGATAATCTTGGTCACCCTCCTCTGCACATGTTCCAGCTTGTCAAGATCCTTCACGTCCTGCTACGTTGCAGCAGCAACATCAGCAACAGCTAAGCTTGGAGGGTCTTTTTTCCCATCCATTCCTGTAGCTTCTTTGGAAGTAGGGGACCTTTTTTGGCCCGAAGGCCACATTCCCTCAGAGGCAATCCTTCCAGGGGCCACTACTGCCCATAGTGGGCATGGTCAGGGGCAAAAGTAGGCAGAGTAGCTGATATGCCTCTTATCTACATTCCAGCCATGCAAAAGTTCAAAGTTTCTCACACCACACACCCTTCTCTTCCTCTCTTTTTAGGCATGCAAGAGGAATTATTATACTTCACGAACACATTCCAGCCAAGTAAAAGAACTCAAGGTAGGTGCAGAGCTGGAACTGTGAAGGTTTTGTCTGGGGAAATGAATGTGGCTTGAGGGGAATCCCATGGGTTGGGCTGAGTGGCCAGGAGGACTGCTGTTGGCCACCAGACCTGAGGTACCCCAGCCCTGGTACAGCTGTTGGAGTCTTGTTGAAAAGTGCCCCAAGATTCTGTTGCGTTGCCACTGCAGGTGTGGTTGACAAGGGAAAATATAGGGGGAAAAAGAGAAAAAACATACAAAATACAAAGTATAGAAATTGTTTTTAGAAAAAACACTTAAAAACAAATTAATCCTTCCGTATCTTACATTTCATTTCGTTGCTTCCCTGACCTCCTCTCACCTCCCTTTTTTGCATTCCAGTTCAATTGGTTAATTCAGCAATTCCTTTCCCTCTTTGTTTTTGTCTTAGTCCTTTAACTTAATATATTATAGCTTTAGATTCTCACCTATTAACCAGCCATTTTTTCATACACCTTTATGACATTGCTGCTAGAACCACTTAATTTCATTCTGACATCATTCTAACATTCATTAATTTTACAATATTTCTGTAAATAGTCTTTAAATTTCTTCCAATCTTCTTCCACCGACTCTTCACCGTGGTCTCGGATTCTGCCAGTCATTTCCGCCAATTCCATGTAGTCCATCACCTTCATCTGCCATTCTTCCAGTGTGGGTAGATCTTGTGCCTTCCAATACTTTGCAATAAGTATTCTTGCTGCTGTTGTAGCATACATAAAGAAAGTTCTGTCCTTCTTTGGCACCATTTGGCCGACCATGCCCAGGAGAAAGGCCTCTGGTTTCTTCAGAAAGATATATTTAAATACCCTTTTCATTTCATTATAAATCATCTCCCAGAAAGCCTTAATCCTTGGGCACGTCCACCAAAGGTGAAAGAATGTACCTTCAGTTTCTTTACATTTCCAACATTTATTGTCGGGCAAATGATAGATTTTTGCAAGCTTGACTGGTGTCATGTACCACCTGTATATCATTTTCATAATATTCTCTCTTAAGGCATTACATGCCGTGAACTTCATACCTGTGGTCCATAACTGTTCCCAGTCAGCCATCATTATGTTATGTCCAACATCTTGTGCCCATTTAATCATAGCAGATTTCACCGTTTCATCCTGTGTATTCCATTTCAACAGCAAGTTATACATCTTTGACAAAATCTTAGTTTTGGGTTCTAACAGTTCTGTTTCTAATTTTGATTTTTCCACCTGGAAGCCAATTTTCTTGTCCAAATTGTATGCCTCCATTATCTGATAATAATGAAGCCAGTCTCACACTTTGTTTTTTAATTTCTCAAAACTCTGCAATTTCAGTCTATCTCCCTCTTGTTCCAAAATTTCCCAATATTTCGGCCATTTGACCTCCATATTGAGCTTTTTCTGATCCTTCGCTTCCATCGGTGACAGCCACCTTGGGGTTTTATTTTCCAGTAGGTCCTTATATCTTATCCAAACATTAAACAATGATTTCCTGACAATATGGTTTTTAAATGCTTTATGTGCTTTGACCTTATCATACCACAAGTATGCATGCCATCCAAATACATTATTAAAACCTTCTAAATCCAAAATGTCTGCGTTTTCCAGAAGTAGCCATTCTTTCAACCAGCAAAAAGCTGCTGATTCATAATAAAGTTTAAAGTCTGGCAGGGCAAATCCACCTCTTTCCTTTACATCTGTTAGTATTTTAAATTTTATTCTAGGCTTCTTGCCCTGCCAGACAAATCTAGAGATATCTCTCTGCCACTTCTTGAAACAGTCCATTTTGTCCAAAATTTGCAATGTTTGAAACAGAAACAACATTCTAGGCAATACATTCATTTTTATTCTGATGTTCACAACATACCCCTCAACATGCCTCAGAGGAAAGTTGGGGTGCATGGTTTGGGGGCCGCACTCTTGAGCAAGCCAGGTGACTTGTGAGAGAGTGTGCCCCCAAAAGGGGCATCTTTTGGGGCCATACTCTTGCGGGAGCCAAAATGGGCCAACATCCCAGGAGCCAATCAGAAGCTGGGATAGCTTCTGTAATTTCAGCTCAAATCAGGACAGTTGAGGGGTATGTCATAACCTATCATATAGCCATGCCTTCCGATAGTTCTAAATAAAATACTGTTTTTTAAAGGCCTGTTTGTGAACATACTCAAGCGGGGGTTGTGCATCTATGGCTCAACCAATGTCATTGAACTTTAGTTCCTACCAGCCGCAGCCATCACAGCCACAGGTAAGGAATGAGTGTCCAAGACCACCTGGAGGTTTGCAGGTTTCCCACGCAGGATGTACACAACACACATTGCCCTTTCTCGAGACAGAGCAACGGAGTGAACAGTAGGGATGGGAAAGCTGCAGATTGAGACGCGGCTGTCCTGGGACAATTTGGTCTCACAGCTGAAGTGCGCTCCTTTTTAGTTTAACTCGTCGTACTGTCGTTGGGTGCCTGATCTGGCCCAGCAGTGTTCTTACAAACTCCCCTTCTGTCCTAGCAGGACTGCAGATAATGTAGTGCTCTGTAAAGTCCCTTCACTCATGGGGAATGTGTGGACTGCAGCCTAAAACATATGTGAAGATCACTTGTGGAGCCCACACCTGCAATTCAGTTAGGGATGAGGGAGATTTATTTATTTATACATGCATACATACATACATACATACATACCTCGCCCATCTGGCTGGGTTTCCCCAGCCACTCTGGACAGCTTCCAACAAAAGATTAGGAGTACATTAAAACATCAGTCATTAAAAACTTCCCTAAACAGGGCTGCCTTCAGATGTCTTCTAAACGTCAGATAGCCAATTCC